ATAGCTTGTGCGGCTGCCGACATCGCAGGAGGAATCCAAGTTGATGCAGGAAGCAGATGCTCGAGCTTCTGAAATGTTCGGGCTGTTGAGGCAGGAGGAGCAGGAGGCTGGAGTTGGCTGCCTTGATGCTTCATGGCCTCCGGAGATGAGCCTTTAGATTCCAGATGCTCCCATATGCATTCACGTGGTTACATAATGTTTCAGCGGTCACCAACACAGACGATGGCGGCAGGGTCGACTTGCAGAAGCGCACAGGCACTTGTCTGAGCCGCGGCCTCCGTCTGGAGACTTGAGCACGCTTCCGCAGATTCCCGTGCTTCCCAGGTTTTTCCAGGTTGGTGATGCCGTGCCCGCTTTGAAATGGTACGCGTGTCTGCAAAAGGACCCTAGAATGACCGTGCAGTCAAAGGGGAATGCGCAAACATGATTGGCAGTGCTTTGATGCAGGAGTTGCGCTGTCCTCCAGCGACAGGCAAAAGCATCTCGAAGCGCCTGTGCCGCTGGCATTTCTGTGCTGGATGGGATGCAGGAGGCGCGGTCCAGCAGCTGCAGAGGCAACAAAGTGCCTCCCACAGCTCTCTCTTCTTGAGCCGCATGATCGCTGCTTGAGCTCTGCGTGAGGAAGCAGGCGTCTGTTTCTGCGCCGTAGCCGTGTCTAGTTGCATGGGGATGCAACAGCCAGGCTTAGGCTCTCGGCTTGAGTGATGCTACCAAGTATTCGTGAAGGGGGGAGGGCCTTTCTTGAGATTCGGAAGTGGTGGAACTTTGTTGGGTCTAGGTCATTGAGATCTGTGGGGCCTCCGGGCTGGAGTTGTGCAATCTTGGCAAGAATAAGAAATGTTTTACATACAGCGCTGCGCACTGCGAACCGGTTCGGTGAGCCAGCGAGTTGCATGTGCAAGGTTCGTTCGCGCAAGTGTGCTTCCGACTGAGGGAGGCCTGCATGCTTGTTTTCCTTTCACGGAGATTGTTTTCCAGTTTGGGTGCATGTGGCTGCAGCAGGACGTGATGCTTAGCTTCTCGGAGCCCACAAGCCTGTAAACAACTGATTGACCCGCAAGGTCCGCGATCGTGTGGCATCCATCCAAATGCCCCAGGCGCTGGAGGCAGCGGCGGTATCGGAGCACCAAAGCATTTTGAACATGTGCCTACTCCATACTTTACATGCATTGTCACCTCCCGCGACCACTTAAAGAACTCAGTGTAGAGTTCCGACATGCGAACAAATTCTCGGCCAACGCATGAATCAGCATGACGTAGCGTCTTGTTCGCGGATGCAGCGATGTGAGACCAGAAGCCGACAGCGCTCTAGCCAAATTCACGAAAGCCAGCTGCTTGGAGAATCGCTTCTTTCTTGTTCCTCTCTTCTTGGGTCAACAGTTCGAGGGCAATGTGGTAGGATAATTCAGATAATTCACTAGCTAAAGGCGTTTACGGTTAACAGGGTCCTTCCCCCCAAAGCGACCCAACCTGCGTTGGCTAGAAGTGCTTTGCATCGTCCCGAACTAGGTGCATGAGGCTCAGGACGCTCCACCTTCTTCTTCCTCCCCCGCCGTTCTGTCGTATACATGATCGTACCGAATTCAGCCTTCTCGCTCCAGCCACTGCATCTGTACCTGATGACATCTTCACGTCAGGTAGTATGTGAAGGTCCATGGTTTTTGTCCTTCTGACCCTCCTGTCTCTTCTGCACAATCTAGGCAGGCCAGGGTCCTCCAGCCCGAATGTTTTCGTGTGCGATCTCGTGGGCCAGTGTCTTTGTTCCCCGAGGTTCTCCTGTCATTCACGGAGGGTTTCTTGTTGTGCATGGGTTGTTGCGCCGGTCTCAGAAATAGGACAAGTTTGAGCTAGTGGTTATGAGTACCGTGAGCTCAGAACAGACTGCCCCGATTGCGTTTCTTTTTTAAAGCTTAGTATTTAGTAGGGGATTGGGGCCTGAGTGGCTACCTGCCCCATTCAGAAAAGAAATCGGGTTGACGATTTCCTGATTGGAAATCGTTCGTTATGATTGTAGCACGGATTTCGGGGTTCCTCAAAAGTTGAAGGTTTCGGGTCTCTGATTTCTTGGACCCCGCAAACGAAAGCTTGGTGTGTTGGGTCACTGGACTTCAACATACAATTTCGAACAGGTCGGCCTGAGCACGTCACGAGCAGCTAAGAAAAGGTCAGCCTACTTGCTCTTTTTGACTGGTGCGGCAATTGTGAAGTCTGAAACGTCCTCCAGCTTGTAAGCTTTCCAGCCCGAAGCAGCCGGTGAGTATCGGCAAGCGGCACGGGGACATCTCCGGAAGCTCCATGGAAGCTCCGCGTCGGGGATGGGGTCGAGTCTGAACCGGTAGGCTGTCGGTTCTTGTGGTCTTACTTCGCCGAGCCGAAGCCATCGTCCACAGAATATGAGCTCCCGTTTGACTATCGACTTTGTTTCCGAAACCTTACGGGACACATGCCTAAGACTACAAGCATGATTTGCGGAAGAGGCTGTTCGAATTCACGCGGAAATTTGACATGGCTTCTTGCGGAAGGGGTTCGCGCAAGGAAGGCCTCAACACATACCCCGCGGAAGCTGCCTTTCGAGCCGATCGAGCCGCGAATGATCCGCAGATGGGTTCCTCGGAAGTTAAATTTATTTGCATCATTTATGTCATTGAATATTGAAAATTAACCAAAGCTCATTTGACGGGAAGGCTGCTGCAGAAATTAGGTCATAGATGGCATGTGTGCAAGGGAGGCCTTAGGGTAGCGTTGTTGATGCAGGCATATTTAGCGCATGAGTTGCCTTGCCATGAAAACAATACATAGACAAAGGTTGCGCATGTACGGGGACCTACTGAATGAGCCGAGGGGCATTTCAATCATGGATGAGAAGTGCCGTGCTGCAAATGCCACACGCCTGCTATTCGGGACGGATAGCATGTGCAACGAAGATACCGGCGAAGAGCTAGCAAGTTTTCCCAAGACAAACGATATATGTCCGGGAAGATTCCTGATAGCAGGCAACGCGGGTTGAGACGCTGGGTTCCTCAGTGCGCATAAGCTATGAATATCTGTGACTCTAGATGCCCAAGCAGCTCTCAGACTCGCTTCGCCAGGTGATGCCACCACTGCGATCTAAGTGCCGAATCTCGGCGCCAGGCGGAGAGCATTACGACACATGAACACAACAGACGCAAGCAAACCTCGGCACACATGTCAAATCATGTCAAGCATGTGGCGTCCAGGCGATCCTCCCTCCCGTCTCCATGTCGCATGAGAAAGTCTCACCTTCAAGTCGTCCAAAGTGACTGCCACCTGGCACTCAGGATGTTAATGACATGTCCTTCTGGCGCATCGCAAGGTTAAAGAAGACTGCTGTGGAAGCTTGTTCGGCTGATGCCCAGCTCCGCAATTTGATATCAGACTAACAGTACCCAGCATATAAGCACCTTTCAGCATATCAGATCTCCTTCACCAATTTGCTGTCTATGGCTGCTGTTGAATTCTCACGGTCATAGAGCCACAGGGCATGTACGATGGGAAGATGGCATCTCACTAGCACGAAGACATGATGCAAGGGCATCTAGCCGCCCAGCTGAATCTGTGTCATAGGGCCTTCGTAACTAGGGCAAGAAATGGCAGCTTGCGGGAGCCTGCCAAAATTTGGAGCGGGCAGCGGGATGTGTGCCCTCTGCACATCTGCGTTTGGCGCATCACAGCAGCTGTGAGTCAGGGCCAGGCCGGCAACCTCGGGCCCGCATGGCTGGAGAGGAGGAAGGGGGTTCTCTGAACGAGTTCGTGCCAGATGACATGGATGACACGGGCGGCCTGTTACCAGAGCTCCAGCTAATGGATGCATCGTACGTGTCGCACGTGCCAGAAGCTCCTGAAGCTTTTGCGACGGAAGAAGGTGAAGACGGTGAAGACGGTGAAGAAGATGAAGAAGGTGAAGAACGTGAAGAATGTGAGGAAGGCGAAGAGGGAGAAGAAGGAGAAGGTGAAGGATCGAAGGCCTCGGAGGCGCTTGTCACACAGACCCAACGAGCGCCCGTTAGCGGCAACGCGGATGGCCTTGACAGCGCCTCGGAGGCATGCAAGCGCTTCGAAAAACTGGTTATGTGCTTCGAAAATGTTTTCCGAATATCGCTGGGATTCGCATCGGCCACATGCTGCAGATGTTGCAGCGTCCAGAGGATGCTGCAGATGCGGCAAGTAGGCTAGGGTCAGGGCTTAAGCACCGCTGCGAGGTGCAAGCGAACTGTGGATCGAGTCCGACAGCTCAACCGGCACCAGCAGCGAGTCGGAAGAGGCGCCTGCATTGTAAGTTCCCTAGAATCATGTTGAATCGACATGCACCAGTGGCCACCTCAGAACTTAGCCTTGGCCTTCGACTCTTCAGCTGCAGGATGCCGACGTCGTGGCAGAGGCGACGATCTGCAGGATACAGACAAGAGCTTGACGTCAGCGTTGATGAACTTTACGATTTGCTTCATGTTCGGTTTCGCTATTACCGAAGGTTGCTGCTGTTGAGCGGAGTAAAAGGCACGCCGCCCTTCTGCACAGAACCGCCCGCTGTGACAGATTGCCGTATCGTTTTTGGAACATGCTCATGCTTGCAAGCGATGCTGCTCTGCAGGAATGCGCTAAAAGTGCACGGTGCTGATTTGACTGAGCCACAACCTTACGATCGGCACCGGCACCTTGTTGGCCATCCGTGATGTTCATTGGCAACTGTGCTGGCCTGTGCCCACGGCGTTGAGGCAAAGTGTGTTGGAAGGAGGGTACTTGCTTCCCGCAGCCGATGATCGCCTTGTCCTAAGCGAATCGTGACGATTCGCTTTATCGCCAGAAGCCGGCATGTTGCAGTCATGTTTCAGTCATGTTTCAGTCAGGTGCGCAACTGGGGCCACAAAACTCAGAGCACGCAGACTCAAACGAGGCCTAAGCCGGCATGTTTAGGTTCAAATTGTGGGGCTCCGTCTTGCAATCCCTGATGTGATCATCCACCAGATGGTAGAAGCAAAGATGCTGGCAGGCAACAAGCGGAGCCGAAGAAATGTCAGCAGATCATCGAGCTCGAGCCTTTGCCAGGGCGGTCTGACAGAGTTTCGACATTGCCGAAAAAAGCTTGGAAAGTTTCAACGTCGAAGTCGTGAGACATGAAGCCCAAAATCCGCAACTCCCTTCAAATTGCCACTGTCTTTGCCAGACTCAGTGCAAGTTTCGGCACTTCATCATCTGTGGTTTTGGTGCTGAGGCGACGCGGAGCCGGCGCGTGGGCTTGGATTGGACAGCGGTGTCGTCCAATCACAGGCACAACAGTTGAAAGCACCGTGCGCTCGCTAATTCGTTGGCAAAATAGACCAGGGCAACACTAAGGAATTGGGAGATTTGAGGCCTAGGCTGTGTGTGTGTGTGCGCTAGGCCGAAGGAAGATGTTGCCCCACTCCACCTCGACAGGGATCGGGATCAGTTGAAGAAAGATCCGGCCCATGACTTACTCAAGTGCAGAGCAATGTTCACGGGCTTTTCACCGGGGTTGTTGCATAAGGCATCGGCTTTCCAGCTGTCTTGGGAACCCGACGACGAGTTTCCAATCTTCGTAGTGCCTCGTCAGTTGCGTCTGCTCTTCAGGACCCACTCCTTGCGGTCCTTGCTGAATCAATTGTGGAGGTGCAAGCAACGGTGGAACCCGCGCAGCTTGAGAAGGCACAAATGATCAATGCGTTGTTTGTCGTGTCCGCATGTGAGCGTCATGGCTTCACAAGACTTTACTGGCTCTAGCGGTCAATCATGAAGCACGGGCAGGAACTCTACAGGTGCTAGCATAACTGCAGGCTGTCCTCCACTACAGATCTCTGCCGCCAGCACAGCCCACAGCTTAGCTTTTCTGCTCCACTGCAAATGCTGCATTTTGCAAAAGGTCCACCTTGACTCGTGCATCGGAGCCAAATAATTGTTGCACTCTGTTGCGCTTCCGAGATCGCGAAGATATCATTGCCTGGTGAATTTGGCATGTTGCCTGGCGTCCTTGAATCAGCCGCGTCCTGCCCGATCTTTGCTGGAGCAGGTGGGCTGCGTGGCGTAGAAGCATCGATCACGAAGCGTTATGCCGCTGTGAGTTCTTCCATTTCTGAGCCAGGGCAGAAATCTGTTGCTTGTCTGGACATGAATCATCCCAGGTGCTAGTTGCCTGAGAGAGTGACATAGCCCCAGGAGCAGGAGCAGGAGCAGGAGCAGGAGCAGGAGCAGGAGCAGGAGCAGGAGCAGGAGCAGGAGCAGGAGCAGGAGCAGGAGCAGGAGCAGGAGCAGGGAGCAGGAGCAGGAGCAGGAGCAGGAGCAGGAGCAGGAGCAGGAGCAGGAGCAGGAGCAGGAGCAGGAGCAGGAGCAGGAGCAGGAGCAGGAGCAGGCGCAGGAGCAGGAGCAGGAGCAGGAGCAGGAGCAGGAGCAGGAGCAGGAGCAGGAGCAGGAGCAGGAGCAGGAGCAGGAGCAGGAGCAGGAGCAGGAGAAGGAGCAGGAGCAGGAGCAGGAGCAGGAGCAGGAGCAGGAGCAGGAGCAGGAGCAGGAGCAGGAGCAGGAGCAGGAGCAGGAGCAGGAGCAGGAGCAGCAGCAGCAGCAGCAGCAGCAGCAGCAGCAGCAGCAGCAGCAGCAGCAGCAGCAGCAGCAGCAGCAGCAGCAGCAGCAAAGCCAGTTATGCCAGACAATGCAAGTTAGCAAGTCAGTCTAGCGTTCCCACAAGCAAGCGGGTCTGCGGCAACCCTATGTTGCCATGCACTCATGGGCAATGACACACATCTTACTTTTACGACTTGCTGAATGACGAGCCTTAAACCTCAACAGTGCTTCCATTGTCATTCGTTTCTGCAAGTCGTGGCCACTCAAGCAGCTGTTCTCGAAACCCAGCGCTCTCGGAGAATTGGTGTGGGGTTGCCCCCTCCAAGTGCTGTATGTAGAGTTGGCAGACGTCCTCGATGGGGCACAAACGCCACATGCAGCCGTATCTTCGCCAGGCAATACTACTTCAACCACACCGCGCGGCAGCGCGATTGAACCTGATTTACTGCCTCCTCAGAGTCCGGGATCGACCCAATGCAGTGATTGCCATCGACGAGGCCTCGCAGTGGTGCATAGGATGCTTTCTTTTTGCGTCCTTTTCCTTCTCAAATCGGGTTGCAAGTTCCGTGGTGCGGCATGATAAGATGCTAGCTTCGGCATTCGAAAGGCGCTGCGGCATGCCGAGGAGCTGCAGCTGGACGAATCTTGGAAAGATATCGTGAGTACAGCCTCGAGCAGGATCTCAGTGCAGAAGACCACCGGCTGCTTTTGTGGACCAAGAAGGCTTCTTGCATTCAGTGTCATCCTTATTCCCACGTGTGCAGAGAATGCCACAATGCCAGGACCTCTTGAAGATGCTGGCATCCAAGCGTGGAGCTCCGAATCGCTTTGGCCTCCTCCTTGGGCAATGTGGATGCAAGATGATGCAAGTGGAGCTGTCATGCGTCTTGCGCCGCCATGGTGTTCCTTGTGCTCGCTGAATGTCACCTTCAGCGGTTTCCATGCAACTAGCTGGGGAAATGTGCACCTCAAGATGCTGCAAGACATGGTGGCATTGTACATTGAAGCTAAAGGTGACAGTCGTGCCCCTTTGTGCTTTCGAGGTGCACGAGGCAAACGACCGGAACGACCGGACTCCGGATCTGGTTCGTCCGGAAGACAGACCAGGACGCGCAGAAAGCCGAAAGCCGGCATGCCGCAAGCATCCGGGGCCTGCCTGTGCCTGCATGACCCTGCCTGGAAAGGAGACGGCCGGTGACTGGAAGACAGCATGGGGCCTGGAAGCACACACACACACACCCAGTGCTTTTCCAAAGCATGTCTCAAGAGGACGTTCTTGCTCCAGAATGCTTTAGGATGTTGAGCCGCGTGGAGGCGGGCGCTGAGCTTGTTCTTTGCCCGCGCCCATGAGTTGCCAGCTTGCATCCTAAATCATCTTGTCACAGTTCCCACTACGCTTGAGGAAGACCCGACATCTGGAGGGTGTGTATTGAGCATTGCTCATTGAGGTTTCATTCTAAAGCTTGTCAAAAAACTTGACGTTCGCAGAGTGCTCTTCTGCTGTAAGAAGATGTGCTTGAGCATGGCTAGACACTCGGCTTCATGGCAACAGGGCGTTATGCACGAAGGACACATGCACAGACTATATGCCACTGTATGCCGCTGTATGCCATGAACTGGCAACAAGTCCGTTAGAGCAAGGGCTGGGTTATTCTCAAACGAAGCACACTCACGCGCCTTCCCTCACAAGCATGCAGGCCTGGCAGATGCGAAAGGACTTAGCGGCGCTTCGCAGCAATGACACGGCTGAGGACTTGCCTCGTGTCTGACAATCACTACTTTTACAAACTCTTACTTGATGTCCTTAGCTTCGAAGCGAAGACGCCCTTCCCAAGAGTGTATTGACGGGCAGCTTACACACTTGTTGAAGCAGCACCCCTGTGTCTGAGTCTGGGGGCTGTGGGTGGCTACAAGATTTTCCATTGTGTATGTTCGTTGCGTCTGAACTGATTAAGCGCACGGCCACCGTGGTGCCTTTGTCGGAGTTTCTGCTTTGAGGCATGTGAACTGCGCACAACTGAACTGATGGGTGTGCCACACGCAACGGTGTACTGAACCGAGAGCTTGAAAAACATTTGGAACTGAGCTGCCTGCGCCTGCGCCGCAAGCGCGATCCATTGCACCTGGAGGAAGTCAATCCTCCGTGGCGGCGTCGGCACCTTTATAGCCAGAGCCCCGGCTCCGAAATGGCACGCGTCGCGCTATGCTGCCTAGGCCTGTCTTCCACAACTGGAATCAGAAACCTTGGACTTGTGACATGCTTGCAACGGTTTGTGACAAACCTCTCTACGACAATCCCGCTTTGTGGTGAACATCATTAGGAAGCCCTCCTTAGGTCCTTGACAAAAGACTGAAACGATCTGCCCACGACGTGAGTGTATCACATGGGTCGGCAAGGGAGAACGGAACAAGCAGTGATGCAGGGTCAAAAGAAGATGGTGAACGAAAGGTACAAATTCAAACTCCGAAACGATGGAAAGCGACCGTGCAGGCAGTTATGTAATGTTGAATTTGATCTGAAGCCATGTTTCTCGACAGCAAGGCGTTGCTGCAAAGCTTGGTCTCGCGACTCGAAACATTGCCAGCGAAGCGTTGAGAGCAGAGATCACATTGACCATGACTGCATTAGGTGGAGATTCGCATAGAATCCAAGGGAAGGATGCCCCTGCGTTCTTATTCCGGGCACGCCCCAAATCCGTTTGTGGTAGTTCTCATCATAAGGTGGGAACAAGATGGCTGACCTGCCGCATTTTGTCGCCATGACGGCATCTCCAAAAAACACCTGGCGAACAATTTGCACATGAGAAGCCTCGCTTGAAACGACCGTCGCGATCTCCAAGTAACGCGGAAGGATGTAAGGCTGGGGAAAAAGTCATCATGGACCATGATGACTACGTGACTAGGCTCATCTCAAAGAATCACGGCTTGAACGTGGAGCTGATCATTTCGGGAACGTCAATAATGTTTTCGGTTTCGAAGCTCTTCTGCAACCCCGCCAAACCTCGGAAATATCACTCGCAGCGCTCGGCTTTTGCATTTTCCAGCCCACATGAAAATTCAACAATTGAACACTCAAACATATCAAGGTTCCTAACACATTCGAGTACTAAGTCGAACTGGTCGCTCACCATGATGGTGTCAACAACCGTTGCGGTGCTGTGCCGCCGCCTTGAAAAGCTTTCTCATCCATAGTTCCTACCCGAGTTGGTACCGTTTGTTTCTGAGTAGCCGTGCCCTTTGTTGCAAGGTGAGGATTCCGAACAAGCCATCTCCAGCAAGAAGGCTGCGGCTCCTGCCCCTTAAGATGCTTCCGACCCAAAGAGACAACAACCTTCCGTGAACAGGCAAGGTGGCAGCCTTTGAGTCGACAGGACACGCAAAGCTGTGCCTCCAATGCATCTTGTCCGTCCCCGAAGTATTTGTTTGCCGGGTGACAGATCCTTGCTGTTTACGTTCTGCAATGGCAAAGACCAGGAGCTCGAGGCTGTTCGTAAGGCTTTCGCAGACATGGCGAAGGCAGGAAGCTCTGAATCCGTCTGAAGCATTCTACAATATTCTACATGTGTTCAGAGTGGCAGAGCTCAGCCCGCGAAGTCCAGATTGGCATGCTTGCAGGTGAACGCAGGGGAAGTCATATCTGACTTGGGCGAGGACGGCCCGCATTCTACTTATGCACGTTGTGAGACTGACTGCCTTGCATGTGATGTGCATGCTGTGGCCAGGACCTCGGTTCCGAAGATTCCCAGGAACAGGTGAAGATCCGCCATGCGTCGTCATGGTCGGTTACTTTCGTGCGGTTGGCCATGCGCAGGACGACATCAGGGGAAACCAGGAGGCCAGACTCAGCGCAAGGCTTTAAAAATGCTCTAGCATCGCAGAACAACTTGTGTTCGGAGTGAGTCAGGCTGCTCAGCGTGCTTATGCGGCTGTGAAGACATTGCTCCAAGCTTATGATCATGTGTTTGAGCTTCGAAAGAAGTGCTGGCTCTGCTTTGTCGCTTGCCTCAGGCCCTGCATGTCTCGAGCTGAGCATTGGCACCGGGAGCATCGATCAGGGGATCACTATTCTGCTCTCATGGGCTTGTAGAGATTTGCCGAGGCAAGCCCTGGCTCAAGACAAGGCAGTGGCCTTGCTGCAGGCAGGAGAACTGCTGGAAGTTCCCGGAGGTTGTGCGGCCCCCATGTATCGCATTTCGCAGCAGGTGATGTGATGTACATTTTTGTGCACCGCAGAGCTGACATGCTCAGTCCATGACAATCAGACACTTCTGTCTTTTCCTGTTCTCAGTCACTCTCCATCAATGAGAAAACAGCTCTTCATCCTTGTTTTACAAGGTTCTTCCCAGTACTCTTGGGACTGCAAAGACCCACAGAGACGGCTCAATATTAGGCTTTCAGGTCTCTAGTCCGCTTAGGGGCTTCCCCTCGTTGTCCGCAAATATCAAGGCAAAGATGGCAAAGTTGCCTCCACACACGGAACATCCAGATGTTGTAACAGTATTCTAGGCAGGTCTTGCTGCCTGCGCGTAGGCCCCTCGGTTCCGTCTCCTCTCACCCCAGGTCAGATCTTCGAGCAGGGCGACATTGCGTGCAAAGCCAAGTCAGCAGGAAGTTTTTGCGGAGCCTGACAGAAGTCTGACGGTCTGAGGGAGCACATCTTCATTGTCATCCAGGGCTCGGTCGTCATCAAGGCCTGGACTAGTGTACTGATGCGAAAGCGGCTCACTTGAAGTGGGCCAACTGCTGGCCAATTGTGGACCGCTGTTCAGATCCTGATCCCCGAGCTCGGGCCCGACGTCATCCCTGCATCCCGGTCTGCAGAAGATTCGTGGTGTTGGAAGTTGTTGGAAGTTGTTGGTGCTTCTTGGAAATTGTTGGAAATTGGCGAATGCATCGGAGCCTGTGCAGAGCAGGTGGAGACCCTGTATGATGGCCAGGTGTTTGGTGATGCGAAGGTGCTGTGCCATGCAGTGCCATGCGGTGCCATGCAGTGCCATACACTACTACGACAAGCCACTCCGCAATTGCAGTGATGACGCTCGTGTCAAAAGGTTGCTGCTTGGAGGGATGCGCAGGTCAGTGTCCCAGCAGTGCTGTCAACCTTGCACCACTTGCACCACAACAGCCATGCGACACTCGACCGCCGTGCGACAGCCGAAGTATTTTGTTGATTGTTGAAGGAGGGCCCTCCCCGTCGAAAGGCTGGGGCATTGGCTCAGGAGGCCTGCAAGCCTGGCGATGGCATACGTGAAGGCGCTGCTCGATTTCATACGTGATTGCCATGTCAGGACACTTGTCTTTTGCCTGGGCCAAAGACCGGAAAATTCTGCACACTTGCCAAGTCTCTGCAGCACGCTCCCAAGCCTGAAGTACGGCTAAGGCGAATATGCGCAGGAGACTACCGCCAGGCCAGAGATGGGGAAGCACGGGGAAGATACTGGGAGGGCAGAGGTTCGGCAAGAAGACCGACAGAAGTCGGACCCTGTTGTGATCGCATCATGGCCTTGACTTGGTGTCCTGCCCGATGGACGTGGGAGGCTATGGGTTTGGTGGACCAGCCGACAGATCCCAGCCCCAGGAGCGTTCGTCCAGAGTCATCGTCAAGAAGAGATGTTGGAGAAGAGCGAAGAGCGACTTGCCAGGGCAAAGCCGACAGAGGCAGCCAATGAGCAGGACTTCTGCAACACGCTTCAATTTCAGAAGCTAGGGAGTTGCACCTGCAAGTTACTCCTGCAAGTTACTTGCCTGCTTTGGTATGCTTTGGTCGCAATCTGAGGGGCTCAGAGCAAAGTAAGGGCACATGCTATGGGCCATGGGTTTTCAGCGATTGCACCCGTTGCAGGACGACCAGTCTGCAGCATTGCTGCCCGACGTGCAGCGCAAGGCCGCGATATCCAGAGAAGCATCAATATGGTGTATGTAGGGTTGCACAGTTGTGTGCTGTTTAGCATCGAGCGTAGCACCTGCACCTCGCGTGTGTGTCACTCGAAGCTGTTGACTTCTCTAGCCGTGTTCCCCTCTCTGTGTCCCTTTGGGGTGTCCATCGTGTTGTGGCTCCGAAGCACTGTGCTCGAGCGCTTTTCACGTCATAGCATGTCATAGCTACTGTAGCCATGGCTTTACACGTCAGAGTCATAGCTGTAGCTATGGCTCTCTGTTGATGCACCGGGCCACATCGGGGCACTCTTTCGTGCCCTTCTTCGGCTGGCCCCACGACTTCTGAGGGGCAGTCCACGCCCGCAAGTTTCCGATGTTCTGCGGATCCACAAGATCCGCGGGCGACGTTTTCCTGCCTTCTGCGAATGGGGCCGGCCTCAGTCTTTCGGGCGTTTGGCATGCGCGCGCGCGTGGGTGTGGGTGTGGGTGTGGGTGTGTGGGTGTGTGGGTGTGTGGGTGTGTGGGTGTGTGGGTGTGTGGGTGTGTGGGTGTGTGGGTGTGTGGGTGTGTGGGTGTGTGGGTGTGTGGGTGTGTGGGTGTGTGGGTGTGTGGGTGTGTGGGTGTGTGTGGGTGTGTGGGTGTGTGGGTGTGTGGGTGTGTGGGTGTGTGGGTGTGTGGGTGTGTGGGTGTGTGGGTGTGTGGGTGTGTGGGTGTGTGGGGTGTGTGGGTGTGTGGGTGTGTGGGTGTGTGGGTGTGTGGGTGTGTGGGTGTGTGGGTGTGTGGGTGTGTGGGTGTGTGGGTGTGTGGGTGTGTGGGTGTGTGGGTGTGTGGGTGTGTGGGTGTGTGGGTGTGTGGGTGTGTTGGTGTGTGGGTGTGTGGGTGTGTGGGTGTGTGGGTGTGTGGGTGTGTGGGTGTGTGGGTGTGTGGGTGTGTGGGTGTGTGGGTGTGTGTGGTGGGTTGTGTGGTGTGTGGCGGGTGTGTGGCGGGTGTGTGGCGGGTGTGTGGGTGTGTGGTGTGTGTGGGTGTGTGGGTTGGGTGTGTGGGTGTGTGGGTGTGTGTGTGGGTGTGTGTGGGTGTGTGGGTGTGTGTGTGTGTGTGGGGGTGTGTGTGTGTGTGGGTGTGTGGTGTGTGGGGGTGTGGGTGTGTGGGTGTGGTGTGTGGGTGTGTGTGTGTGGGTGTGGGTGTGGTGTGGGTGTGGTGTGTGTGGGTGTGTGTGTGGTGTGGGTGGTGTGGTGTGGGTGTGGGTGTGGTGTGGGTGGGGTGTGGTGTGTGTGTGTGTGGGTGTGGGTGTGGGGTGTGTGTGTGTGTGTGTGTGTGTGTGTGTGTGTGTGTGTGTGTGTGTGTGTGTGTGTGTGTGTGTGTGTGTGCGTGCGTGCGTGCGTGCGTGTGTACAGGTGTGTACGAGCGTGTGTGCGCGCGCGCGGGGGTGTGTGCACTTGTGTGTGTCTGTGTGTGTAAGAGCAGTTGAACATGGCGCGGAGTACCTTTGCGGGGGCATGAGGGAATATTTCAATTCTGCCGCCAATGCTAATTACGGCAGTCTCTGCTTCTGTCGGATGCACATGTGATTGGTCTCTTGCTCGACCTAAGTGTAAGATTGTTTTCGCTTACCCGACATGAGGCCAGATCCCAGAAGCATGCGTGTACAGTAAGCGGATGATCGCTACTCAGCCTGCAACGCGTGAATGCTCATCGGCATCACTCCAACAGGCTGCCAAGTGCCCACGGTGGGCTTCGTGGCCTTCGTGGGTCATTTGCTCAAGCAAAGGGCCAGACACAGCTTAGTCAGCTGGATGCATGTGCATCTAGTTTGGCAAGGATGTTCCTGGTGGCTCCTGTTGGTAGAATGCTTTGCACCAGTTCTACTCCATTTGTCGCGAAAGGCCCCCTGGGAGATTCCTCCTTCGAACGAAGTGAGCCGAGAAGGCTTTAGGGTTGGTGGGGAACCGGGATGGCCAAAATGTGTCTCCATGTTGCTAGTTGTTGGCTTGTGGGGTGTTTTCGGGTGGGGTTGGCTCCTTCTCCCGTGGCGGCCGGAGGAGAAAGGGCGACCCATTGGTGCTCATGATGCGACGGGTGGTGACGACATATGCTCTTGATCCTGGCTTTCGTAGCGAGTTCTGGCCCCTGGTGTTTCCCCGCTGTGGCGAGGCGACGCCATGCCGCTCATGATGGTCAGCCTATGCCTTGGCGATGGTAGTGGTTTCGTCCCCCACGCCGTACGTTTCAAGTCTTGGCGATTTTGTTGTGCCCGCGGGGCCCGCGGCGTGGCAATTGCGCTCCCTGAGAACCATTCCTCTAATGTGCAATTAGTGGATATCCGCGCAGGAACCTCGCCAGGTAGAGTCGAAGATCAACCACCGTAAGGCCGTCAGACATCGTCAGGCCCAGTATGCTCGGCCGGAGCAAAGGCAGTCGCTCCCGGATTCCAGCAGCAGGGCTGATCTGGTTCTCGAATGCAAAGCATCTCCGTCATTCATTTCCCCATTGCGACCCCACAGTAATCCAACAGGCCCGATGCTCATCCCCCAGCGAAAAAGCGGTGTCGGAGGGCCGGCAGCGGGTGCACCTGCCGCACGCGGAGATTCAACTCCTCTCCAGCACATCGCCACGGACTTCCTTCACGCGGTCGGGGATGCAGCGACCCAAGTGCGCACCTACCGGTCCATGCGGTCGGGCACGGCTGCAAATTCTGCACGCGTCCGATTGCTTCCATCCTCTCTCAGCTGGTACGCAATTTGTCGCTGAACGGCGCGGACGCATGCCCTCAAGTAAGGTGCATCTGCAAGCGCATTTGCAAGTGCAGCTGCAACAGGTGCAAGCGCTGACGAGCTCGCCGTTTTTCGAGGGGGCGAGTATCAACAACCTGGCGCTGTTGGCCTCCAATGTGGAGGCCCCGCTTGCTGTCAGAGTCAGACTTGTCAAACCATCAAAGAATCTCTGAGCTTGTCTAAGCATCCTACATCAATGTTGAACAATGTCAGGCTCAGTACATGGTTGTCAAAAGCCGCCTTTAATCAGGAAATCGTACTACGGTATGATGACGTTTTCTTGGAGATTGGGCAGGCCGGTGCAAGAAGTGACAGTCATGATGCATGCACTTTCGTGCGCTTCACGCGCTTTCGCAGCATGATTAGGTGTGTCTGAAAGTCTGCAGAGCTCGCCTGCAGCCGAAGGCGATTCACGCTTGCTTCCTCGTCTCAGAAGGCTATGTGAGGGTGTCGGTTCCTGTTGCAGACCAGGAAGCCGGCATGGGCAGCGTTGAGGATGTCTCACGGATCATTGGGATGGGCCGAGTTCCGGGAAGCCTCCTCGATGGGAGCGCGCAAAGTAGTGCACAGGACTCTGGGTCAGGAACAGCAACCCAGTCTCGACCCAACAGTGCCTCAAGACGCATGCGCGCTGACAAGCTGCCAAGTGCACGTGCGAACCATGCGAATGCGAACTCCCGCGCGAATAAGAATCTTCGCGCTCTGAGACAGAGACAAGAGGAAGCAAGCCAACTCAGTCGCTTTAAACTGAAAGCTACAGAAGGCTCTGAGCTTCCCGTATTCCAGCTTGGAAGCCGACCGCTGCTGCTTCCGGTCACACACAGCACATCTGTGGCAAGTGGAGCTTCCCAGCGACCTTCGCGCTTCATGCCTCGAAAGCCGGGGACCCCTCGCCGTGGAACAACTTGGCAGGCAGCACTGCGCCAGCGACGGACAGCTCCATTCTTAGGAATTGCTCCACCTGATGTGGAGCTTTGCCAATTGCATGTGGGAGAATGCTTCGGGCTAGCAGCTCTTTACGATCCGAAGGGCGAGTGCCCATACCCATCCGGGTGTGAGGTGCGAGTGCAAAGTAGCGAAGCAAGGATTCTGGTTCTGACGAACGGCAGTCTACTGTACCTGAATGAAGCACTGGCTCGCACGTTGGTTGACAGGGCAAAGGAGCAGCAAGATCCGGTTGCACCGCTCAAGCAAGAAGTCAAGCGCGAGCGAACCCACCGCTCGAGCTGGAGGATGCAGAAGCTGAGAGTGCTCGACAGGATTATCATGCATGAATAGCATGGAATAGCAGAAGAACGCGAAAGACCGTGGAGGACGTAGCCCCTGTCAGTCACGAAGAGAAGAACTCCTCGTCTGCGGGGCGCTGCGGGCTGTGATGCCCAGGATGTGATAGGTCCTGGAAGGTCCGGATGGAGCTTTCGATTGTACATAGCCAAAGTCCAGAGAGCTCTGAAGCCGTAGTTTTCAGTTAGATTGAGACAAGACGTCCCGATCGGCTGTAATCGGCTAGCACCATGTTTCTCATGTTTCTACGGAGCCGTTTGCTGTAAAGATGCTGCCGCAGTTGTACTCATCGATGTCACTCCTTCAGCCTGCAAACGAGTGGATGAGGGACATTGATGGACATTGCTCGTGCCATTCTTGACCTCTACAGTCTCCAGACTCCACGACTCCACGACTCCACGACTCTGCGACCCCGAGCCTACCCGCATCTCTGGGCCTCCCGCATAGTGCAGAAGAGAGGGAGAGAGTCAAACCACTGAGAGTTTTCTCCCAGCATGGATGGCGCAGAAGTGCAGCGCGCCTGTTTGGTGTGATTCCCGAAGGCCGGAGATCTCTGTGTTGGCTGTGCTTGCATGGCAAGACCATGCCTCAGGCCAGTTTACCTCGTGCAGGTGCCATGTCTGTGCTTAGAGAAGATCCTCAAGAGCGGAGGCGCGACAGCAGGTTGCACATGCATGCATCATTTGTTTGAAGAGCAGCCAGGCCCTTGACAGCAGGGTTGCTCCACGATTGGAGCAATGTTGCTGCCTGGCTCTTGTCTTGACACGGCCTGTTGCCCTCCGCAAGTTGGGTGGATTCGAGGCATTGACCGCAATCTTCGTCCTGAGCGCAGCTGCCCTGGAGTCTGGTGAGGACTGAAAGGGAGCAGATGGTCCCAACAGCTCGTTTGCACGTGAGTCGCAGGAGTCAGTGCTTCACACGATAGTTGTGGCCGTGACTGCAGCATACTTGGTGAGCGATGCCTTCTGGATCGCGCTGCAGCCAGACATGGCAGGGCTCCCGGATCTTACGAGATGACTCCCATCGGCCAAGCTAGTCCTCAAGAAGCGATTGCTTTCCCCATGTGTTCTGCTCGTATGCCGTCTGTTTGTTTAGTGGCTTCAGTTAAGTTGGATCGTCTGTTGAGCATGGCGACATCTCAGAAACATGACGTAGTGTTCTCCATGTACTCAGTGTAGTCCGGACAGGTCAAGGCGCCAGTGAGCATCATCTTGCATCACCTGGTACTGGCCTTGACATCCTCGACAACCAATCGCAGAACAATGCAGAGTGCCCGCATGCTCTTGGTGTGAGGTGACTCTGATCGTCATAGTGGAGCCCATGGAGTATGCACCCGAGCGGCAACGAGCTGCAGGATTGGGGAGGAGTGCGCAAGACCTCAACAGACGATCCCAAAAGAGACGACAAAAGACAAAAGACGCGACGCACGAGACAATGACAGGTGCGCGGTTGTCGTTGAGTCGATCGCACTTGAGGTGACCCATCGCGTCAACGCGAGCCGGGCCTTGCTCGTGGAGGTTCGAAGAAAAATTGGCTACGATTGATCCCAAAATTTCTCAAGATTGGAGAATGTGCAGGTCAACACGGTCCTGCTCACTCTTCGCCGACTCTTAGGACGGCCAGCCTGGTGCGAAGTCGGCTTCTACCTGACCTGGGTGCAGATCTCAGATGATAGGAATGACAGAGCCACAGAGCTTCGGAAAGAGTATTCTTTAGCTTGAGAGCTGCTCCGCTGCCCGGCCGGGGGAGAATCACATTGCTCGTGGATTCTCTCTTCAGCAGAGCCAATCGCAGAGTCTCTGTTACAAGCTGTTACGGGAAGGCGGCTGCCTTCTACCAACCTGGCTTAGCCATGTATTGTGTGTATTGAAATCGAAAGTGCGACATGAAACATAGGGCCTCAGTGACGGATCCCTGAGCAAGTTGGAGCCTGCAATGCCGCCAATGCTGACGAAGGGACAAGAAGAAGCCCAAAGGCCGGCTGCCAGGCAAGTAGACTGTTCCGGCTGTTCCTGACGGTTTCGTCCTTGACGTTAGGTATGTGGACAGGCATGGCCTGGACCGCCTTGTCACAAAGATGATGAATTCCGTCCTGCAGGAGCAGCCTCAGGACCTCGCATCATACATTTCTTGCCTCCGGACCGTCTGCCTTAACGAATCAAGCAAATCCACGAACAACGAAAGGAGGTCAGGAGACGGCCAGGAGACGGCCAGGAGACGGCCAGGAGACGGCCAGGAGACAGCTCGGAGACGCCCGGAAACGCCCGGAGACGGCCAGACGGCCAGGAGACGGCCAGGAACGACGGCGGACCTGGACCACCATCTCGGAATAAATATGGAGTTATCTGGAGTCCGGAGATCTAAGATCTCGGTAGAACATTGGCATCAGATGCCGTTGGCATCACTGTTGGCATCCGCTGGGCTTTTGAAGCAGCTGTTAATTTTGACGCTACGCGACCCGCCTCGGCCTGGTGGGGGGGGGGTGGGGGGTGGGTGGGGGCGTGGGGAGCTGGGTAGAACATTGGCGTCAGATGCCGTTGGGGTGTGGGTTGCTCTGTGTTACCCAGACACCTGCGGCCCGAGGCCTCGGCGGATGTCCAAACGCACCGGGACCGCATTGCGCCCGCTAACCCAAACGGATCAAACCGGTCTGCTTCTGTGTGACTGCGCACCAAGAATGTTCGCAAAGGGAGGGCCTCTGTGCGGAGCATGGAAAGTTGTCGAAGGGAGCTTGGCCGCCAGGATCCCGAAGTTTACATGCTACAGTGGCTCACAGAACGCTCGAGCCCAGCTCAAGTTTGCCAGGCGGATGGATACTGAACATTACTGAACTAGGAACCCGTGTATCTTCGTGCCCCCAAATCAACATTGGTGCCAGGCCGGTCTGCAGCGAAAAGATGGTGTGACCGGCAGAGGCAATAGAGACTGCGACCCAGAGAAGACGCCCTGAAAGGCACCCCTTCGTCGCACGTAGTCCGTCGTTGTCCCTATGGAGTACGTATGATTCCGGAGACATTCAGAGTTCACGTCCTCAGCACAGGCCGTGGATGCCAAAGTTTTAGCTGAGAGAATTTTGCAAGGGCAGTGGTCCAGGTTTTGTACCTACGCGGAGGGTTCAAAACCCTCCCCGCCTGATGCACAGTCGCATGTGCCAAGGCCGCAGGTTTTTCAAAGGAAAACGGCCTGAACCAATCCGATATACTGTGATATACCGTGCAGATGCGCAACAAAGTCCCAGCGTGTCGTTGTTGTCGTTGAGCTCAGGATGCAGGCGCTGTGCTGACTGTGCTGGTGTGAACAGGGCAGGGTCTTTGAAAGCGCCCAGGTGCTCATACGTCTCATATGGTTTCCTGCGCTCGGAACAGCGCTCTTGGTCGACCCCTCAACTGCTCCCCGATTTCCGTGAGTTCGGGTTGCGGATGCCCGGATGCTATGCCTCAGGCAAGCACATTTGGGTTTGCTTCTCCGCTAACAGCCAGCATCTGAGATGGCATCTTCACGGTTCAGGCCTTGCTGAAATACCTGGGATAATGCCAACAGATTTCGTGGATGTGCAGCAAACATGCTAAAGACTTGCACTGTGGCTTTCCCCAGCACCAGCGGCAGCGGAAGTATCGCACAACAATTGCTTGTTCTTTCGGCTTTGACTGTGTGCTAATGTCGACATCCCAAGAGCTCAGCTTGTCGTGTAGCCGCGAAGCGAACCGAAGGTAGCAATAGGTCCTCCTTAAATAGGTAATTAGTACACAGTACACCATGTTGCATGATGAATGAGAAGGAGTTCCTAGCACGGACAGGTGTGGGCAGGATCGTTTTAGAACCGGGCGCTCAGCGTTGTGTCTGAAGGGACCAACAGGTTCTCCACGGTTTTCGTGGCCAGAAATTAAGTTTGCTGAGGCGCTTCCAGCGCCACTGACTGCACTGGTTGTCGAGGCATCAGATTGTGAAGTGTATCTTCAGCTTCTATCCATGTTGCGCACGCGCGCGCGCGCATTTTGCTAGGTCAGGCCGCCTGCGATCAGAAGCTACGCCTGCTCCCAAGCTTTTCAGAAGTGACAGACGAGGAGATGGTGGAGAGATGCAGGCGGAGGCATGGAATGCTTGGCCTGTTAATCCCACATTCCCATTGTGGGATTTCATAACAGCTGACATAGTGTAGCACTGAACATCTGGGCCATGGACCCACCCCCCCGGGCTTGAAGGAGGGCATCGTCACGCAACCTGATCACTCAGATCGGGAGGGGGGTGTGGTGTTTCCGGTTCGGTTGGGTTAGGCAGGACTATTGTGTAGAGGGGGTTCTCCAAATATTCCTTTCTCAGCTGATCTGAAGAAGGGCAAGCTATGCAGCTCAGCTTCAGATATGCAATGCAGATACAGCTCTATTCAAGCTACTTACAGGAAAACGTACTGTTCTGCTTTGTGTATACATAGGTGGTAGAAGTGATGCATTCGCTGTTGCACGCTGGTGCCACTAACATTTGACAGGACTGCAAGCATTTGCCCAGGCAAGCCTTTCCTTTGCAGCAGTGGTCGTCCTGCAGTTCTACTGGACCTTGGTGGGCCCAGCGTCCATTCTTCCTCTCTGGGCGCTTGGGCGCTTGCAAAAGCTCTTTTCGTGGATCAGGCGATGGGCCGTGGGCTGCTCAAGTCCTCAACCAATCGGACTGAAAGCGCCAAAGCCAAAGACAGGAGTTTGGGCCCCCAGCTCTCACTACAATGCTTTTACGATTGAGTTTTCTATTGGAGTCCAGATTTGTCACGTGTGCCTTGCAGCTTCAGGTGCCGAACCTTCCGCACCAGCTAGCTTCAGGCTGGGAAGTGCAGATTCGGGGCGTGACCGTGGCCAGTCTTTTAAGCGTTGCACAGGTATCTGGCCTTGTCATTGCTCTCCACCGGCTTGATTGCCGGAAGCCTGCGTCCTGCTGGCACGTAAATAGAAAATAATAGCAAATTATGCATGGAGAGCTCAGGACACAGTCGACACTGGCTGTCGGTTCTGACCCTGTCATATGACACTTCAACCCGGCTAAGGTTGTATTGGATGTTGCCCACCACTTTGTCCAGCAGACAAGCTCAACGTGCTCATAGTGACTTGTGATGCACTTGCGTTCCGCCCTGTGCGTGAAAAGGCAGGCCCAGTACCACGGCGAGCTGACGTGTGCACAAGATGTGTGGACTTTAGCTTGCAGCATTCTCCTGACATTTCGGACCATCAGCAATATGACATCGTGCACGCAACATGTGCAGTTTTGAATGCCATGTTTGCGAGTCCTGCGCGCACCAGAAGTCGGAAAACGAGCTTGTGCCTTCAGTCGAACTTCCGACGCATAAGCTCTCAGGCTAATTACCTGTCATGGTTTTTCTGCGATCTTGATTTTTAGCAGGCGATCCAAGAATTGAGGCCCATGGTGCTGGAGTGTGCTGCGGGTGGGTAGAGATCATGGCCTCCAGGTCATGCTTTTTGAGGTTGCAGAGGTTTCCACAAAAAGACAGCCCAATTTTAGGAGCGGTGAAGACTGTGAGCTGGCAAATTGACGTCCGTGATGAAATGCCGCATATGCCGCCAGCATTGGCTTTGAGAGGGGCAAAGTTGACACGTGAGTGAGGCCGGCGGAAAGCTCCACCTCAGAGTTTTTTCCAGCTTCCAGACTGTGCTCTTGCAGCTTTGGCAGCTTTCTGCGTTGCGTGGCTCCTGGCCGAGGTCTTCATGGCTGTATTCGCTGCAGCGAGGGGTGTGACGAGGACCGCAGCATCGCAAACGTGCAGCATCAATGCCGCTAGAAGAATTGTAAGCGCTTGCGCGCGCCTCGGCAGCCGGACTGTCCCAACGCTGTCCCACAAAGGGTCTTAAGAGGGGTCCGAGGAGGGGATCCAGGGCTCCTCCAAGTGGTCCGGGGAGGTGTCACAGAAAAGGGGAGGGCGGGGTACCGCAGGGTTGCAAGGGGGAAGGAGACCAGATCCTGCTCCGCTTGTTCTAGATTCCAGATGCCTCTCGGCCGGAAGCCACACATGCCACACGCATAGGGGGTACCTGATTGTGAGCGGATTCTGACTGCGCAGGGCCATCTCGAGGTATGCGAAAGTCCACTCACGAATAACTTCCCAGCAGCTTCCTGCGCTTACGCAGAGTGCCGACGGCTCATCGCAATGCACCTCCTTGTTACAAAGCTTACGCCTTGCTGTCTGCTACGATCATTGAGGTGCGGGCTTTCTCTCGCACAAGCTGGGAGTCCGGTGATGACGTTGACTTGGATAGTGTGGCCTACGGCTTCATGGCATCACAGGCGATTCAGTGCAATGTTGCAGTCGAGCGAGAATGCGGGGTCAATTCCGTCCCGACCAGGCATTGTTCTCCGGTCTTGAGCTAGGCATTTTTGACAAGGCGCAACCTGTCAATCACGATGATAAATGGGGTGCGAATCTAGCATGGAGGCCCAACGGGCATGTGCCGTCACACAGAGCAAGCTGGCTCTTTTGTGGTCTAGGCGTAGGTTCCACGAAGCGCCAGCGTTGGGTTCGTCGTGCGGATGTCGTCCCAGACAAAACAAAAGACTTCTCCAGAGAAAACTCCGCTCATGGTCTCGGGTTTAGGAATTGAGGGTTTGTTTTTAGGGTTTAGGGCCTTTTAGGGTTTATATAGGGTCCCCAGAGACGACCCCGGAAGCCTTCCAAATTTATGATCTGGATGTGCCAGGGTTTGGGGTTTAGGATTTGGGTTTAGGGTTTAGGATTTAGGGTTTAGGGTTTAGTTCTTTCCTGTTTTCGGGTTAGGGTTCAGGTCGTCATTGGAGTCCAACAGTTTTCATTAGTGCGAGGTTTCTTTCTCGTGAGCTTTCACAGGCCGCCCATTGCCTCTTAGGGTTTCAGGTTTAAGGTAAGGGTTTAGGGTTTTCAGGGTTTTCAGGGTTTTAGGGTTTTGAGGGTTTGGGGTTCTGAGGGTTTTGAGGGTTTAGGGGTTTTAGGTTTTTTCGGGTTTTTAGGGTTTAGGGTTTTAGGGTTTAGGGGTTTAGGTTTTACCCACCCTGGGTGTGGGGTTGTTAGATTTTAAACTCAACTCTTCTCCTCGCCCGGAGCTCTTCTCCTCGCCCGGTCTACTCCTTGCTCCCCAGCCCCAGAGTCAACTCCAGAGTCTGCCTGGAGTGCCCCAGAGTCTCCCTGGAGTGTGAGTCTGCCTGGAGTGCCCAACCCAGAGTGTCCCCGAATTGCCCAGGTGCTGCCTCGAGTGCCCCACCCCGCCCAGCCCCAGACCAGACTCTCCCTGAAGTGCTTCGGGTTTAGGGTTTGAAAGTGTAGGGTTCGGGCCTTAAAGGTTTCAGCAGCCGAAGCCTACAGGCTGCAAGTACAAAACCGCATGGACAATGACATTGCTTTTGTCACACCTTGCCGCTCTCCTGACTCTCAACTTAAAACCCCTGGCTTCTGGCTCCCACCGCTTGTCCAAGTCAACTATGACACTTTCTGAGAGTAAAGTTCGCTGGAAGTGCGTTGCGCATTCTCGATGCATCTGCGCCAGATAGCCGCCGCTGGCGAGAAAGGATGTGCTGCCAAAGATGTGCAGCAGGAGCTGGGCAATGAAACATGTGTAGACATGCGTAACGCTACCAATGGGTGTCTAGCGAGTCTATTGCAGTATTTTGGAGTCCAGCACGTTGAAGAGTTGATGCGTGTTTTTTCACTTCAAGGCATGGGGCTAAACATGACTCAGGCCTGTGGTGTCGAAGGCCCGAGGCTGACGACTTTGCTGACTGCCTTGACAGCCGTGCTCGAGGCTTAGCCAGGCTTAGCCACTGCAACCGCTGCATGAGAATGGTGGAATCCTCACAAGCTGAGAAAGCTTCAGCCCAGGAAGTGTTTGCGCCGCAGCGATGAGGGTCTGTACACCTTGTCGCCAAACACTTCTCAGTACATGGTCGGAACCCTTGGCATGGGGTCTGTACTCCGCGCGACCCATTGCACCATCCGCAGGTGTCTTCCTCGAGACACTACTACGGCGATTACTTGCAGTACCAGATTGGACGTCAGGACAGCAGCTTTGGCAGCTTTGGCAGACCTGCGCAGTTTCGCACGCACACCTACCTGGCAGTTCTACCATCGGATGGGAGCGCTTCCAGAAGTCATGACAACCGGCAAAGCTCCGAGCTACGCGCAAAGCCGCCTTGATTGTCAAGGAGAGTCTATAGAAATGTCCAGGTGAGCGAGCATTGAAGGACCACTTCTGTGAACAATTGCTTTGCATAGATTAGATCACGCAAAGCACTCGAGGAACCCCATCGTGTAGTTCCCCGCTAAGAAACAGACCGGGCACCGGGACTTCAGGCAACCAGCGTCAGCCCTGTTTCAGCACTGTTGGTGCTCGCGGCTATGGGGGAGCCTGGTCCTCCGCTACTGCTACTGCATTGCTGCTGCTGCTGCTGCTGCTACGACTACGACAACAACAACAACAACAACTGCTGCTGCTGCTGCTGCTGCTGCTGCTGCTGCTGCTGCTGCTGCTGCTGCTGCTGCTACTGCTACTGCTACTGCTACTACTACTACTACTACTACTACTACTACTACTACTACTACTACTACTACTACTACTACTACTACTACTACTACTACTACTACTACTACTACTACTACTACTACTACTACTACTACTACTACTACTACTACTACTACTACTACTACTACTACTACTACTACTACTACTACTACTACTACTACTACTACTACTACTACTATACTACTACTACTACTACTACTACTACTACTGCTACTGCTACTGCTACTGCTACTGCTACTGCTACTGCTACTGCTACTGCTACTGCTACTGCTACTGCTACTGCTACTGCTACTGCTACTGCTACTACTGCTGCTGCTGCTACTGCTCCTGCTACTGCTACTGCTACTGCTACTACTGCTGACTACTGCTGACTACTGCTGACTACTGCTGACTACTGCTGACTACTGCTGACTACTGCTGACTACTGCTGACTACTGCTGACTACTGCTGACTGCTGCTGCTGCTGCTGCTGCTGCTGCTGCTGCTGCTGCTGCTGCTGCTGCTGCTGCGACTACACGACTACAACTATGACGATGACGACTACTACTACTTCTACTACGACGACGACGACTATTATTACTATCTACTACTACTACTACTACTACTACTACTACTACTACTACTACTACTACTACTACTACTACTACTACTAGTACTAGCACCACCTCCACCATCTCTGATTCTGTTTGACTTTGTTGATCCTCCTGTTTAGTTTTGATCCGTCACCCTTTCATAGAGGCGGGGTTGTGCTGTTTGCTATCCTGCGTTGCCATTCTGCGAAGCTGTCCAGCAGCCGGGGCATGCAGAGCTTACCGTGCGTTTTGTCTACTCTCGGAGATCGCCGAAGCTGTCGGGCGGTCTCGTGAGTGCTGGTTGGCACAGCGTCGGCACGTGGTTTATGTACTTTATGCTTCTTGTTCTGCTTAAACGATTCCTGCCGCTTACCATCTCTCGCTGTGCTGCACGACTTGGCGGCGAGATTTTCCTGATCAGTTCATCTCAGCCTCAGGACAGGGGATGTTTCGTGAAGACTAGCATTTGCAGCCCTCTTCGTTGCTGACCTTGGCTGCAGACATTCTGGCCGTGTGCTTGGCACACATGCGCATGCCTCAACAGACCTATTGGCGTTGTGGGAGGGTCATGCGGCAAGCGATGCTGAACAATGCGAAGACCCTAAGAGTGCGCGAAACTTACATCAACAACAAAGGGAACAAACGGGCGGGTTTCAACATCCTGGTTCAGTACACTTTTGAGCATCTCAAGTTGCACAGATACATGCACCTCCTTTGGCCAGGTCCTGGTTCTCTGATCCAGAAGTTGCCAAGACCTACACGCAGGCCTTCGACTCACGTTTGCTGTGCGTGACTGGCGCCCAGGTGTTGAAGCAATATGCGCGCATGTGGTTCCTTTCTTCAGTTGCCATGTCCGTGAAGCATAGCGACACCAAATATGGCTCGGCGACCCTGTAGCAACGAAGTTTAGCAGGAGACAGAAACCCAGGCTTAGCCTTCCAGCTGTACAGACTTATCGAAAAGTTGCAGCAAGCACTTTCACTGAAGATCGAAATGGCGGACAGTAGCCCATCATCTGGAGACAGATTGAGACATGTCCATCCGCGTTGGCGCGCTTCACACATGGTCTGGTTGCGGTGCTCAAAGATGGCACAGAGGCCGGACCGAGGCTGACGCATAGCTTGACATAGCTCCAATGGCTGTATGCGAAACATGTCTATCCGTTGAGGCAGACTTTGGCGATGGAGTTGCAGGAATCGCGCTACGGCGACGGCCACCATGGCAACAGTCATGATGGCAGCCTGTGCCACGAGCTCTCACAGTACAGAGCCGGAGCCCTGGCTTGGCGAACGACGTCCAAATGCAATGTGCCCCATCATGTGTGAAAAGGCCATCATCAATGGCATCAGCGGATGTTGACAGAAATGACAGAGAAGCTTGGAGGCAATTGAGATCGGAATTGAGGCAGCGACGAGGTATGATGCCACTTGTGTACTTTGCGGATTTTCCTCCTGGACGAGTGCCACGACGACGACGGCTACTGCTGCTACGACGACCAGCACCGCCACTACTACCACTTCTACCACTACTACGACTACTGCCACTCCTACCATTACAACAACGACGACGACGACGCTATCTTATCTGCTGTCCGCTATCTTTTCCACATTCTACTTTTTTCTACTGCTACCGCCACTCCCACTTTTGCTAGTTCTGATTCTTAGTAACAGTAGCTTCAGCAGTTGCAGTAGCAGTTGGAGTAGGAGTATGAGTCGGATTAGAAGTAGAAAAGTAGTAATGTGCCTCCGGCAAAAAACCTTCTTTTCCTTTTGGCTTGGTGGCCAAAAAATTCATGGTGAGTGACAGGGATTTTGATTGATCGTTTGGTTCCCTTGTGCTCCTTGCAAAATCACGTGTTCATGTAATGCAACTCACTCTATGCTGTAGGAGGCGCCAGGTGTGCAAGCATCGACCACAGGTTTGAATCGACCTCAAATCTGAAGACCAAAGACCCCCAACCCGACTTCCTGCTTTACTCCCTGTCCCAAAGCCCAACATTGACGTTGGGCTTAAGGCTTTCTGCGGAGCTTCGCATGCTTGCAAGCTGCCGATATCAAAGTTGAAGCTCCATGTAGAAGATGGTTGGAATCTTGGCTTCTCACTTCCCTTGAAAAGAGTACCCCTGCCAGAATATTCAACGCCTGTTGCCAGAGTCTGGAGGCCGTATTCCCGTTGCGATTCTTGCTCCCGGCTCCTTCTCGTGGACGGCTCAGCCCCAACCAGCAGAGCTCCTAAGATCCGTCTTAGGAGCAGGAGATGAAGGAGGGGCACCAAGGGACTTGAGAATGAGGCCGCCAACGCTGCTTCACCTCCGCATGTTTGAGGAGGAGACGCGGACGGACTTGCCAAGTCTGTTCGATGCGATATCCGTTCAGATCGCCTCTCCGCCAGGCACGCGACGCTTTTGAGCGTGTTGGTTCAGGCCAGGTTTTCGGCGTGTCTCTGCAGAGAGGGCGCACATCAAAAACAGCTCGACTTGGTGGTCGACGGCAGGTAAATTTTCGGTGGTGGGAGGATACTTGTCGCCAGTCCATGACGCGTATGGCAAAGCAGGGCGCTTAGCGCTTAGACACAACGTGAAGTCATGGGGTGGCCCTGGCTTGAATATACGATAATGTACGTGAGGTAACACTGGCGCCCGCACAGCACCGCCTGAAAATGCATGCTGCCCAGACAGCATGCAGACCGAGTCCAGCAGCTTTGTATTTGTGCTCTCCTATTTCTGTCGTACTTATTGCATCCCCCAGTCAAGGGTGGAGGCAGCAGTTTCGGATTCTGACTGGCTGATGGCAGATGGCGCCTGAATTGCATGTTGGAGTGACCGTGTAGCAAGCTGCAACCTAGTGGGCCTCCCCCACAAGCAGCTCACAAAGGTTGGGAATGCACATGTCAAAGCACATGGACTCCGACTGTCGATGCCTTTGCCTTAGGACCTTAGGATCCTTGTGGTTGCTGGCAGACCATGCAGACCATTGTCGTGACACGCAGCCTTCTAAGTACAAGTTGCCCAGGTCGTATCCCGTTTTGCTGCAGAGCTTGCAAAGGACAGCTTGGAGAGGGATCATGTCGCTGCACCCCTTGATAGATTTCTATAGAACTTCGCAGCTTTAGCAGGTCAAAGTATCCATCGGCAGTTCGCGGCCTGTGCCTGGCAACATTCGGCTGGTCAGCCGGCTGGGCATGCACAGTTGCATCATCTGGTTTTTGGCCATGCTTAGGTGGTATTTTCTGCATATGTCTGCAGGTGATGCTATGTGGTGGGGATGTGCTTGAGTCTTTCAATGCAACCACAGAGAATGGAACCCGAGTATGGCAAGATGAAGAACTCGAGGCAAGTGGGCTCCTGGTTTTACAGAAGAGGTGCAACAGTTCAATACACTGCGTCCATGGCAAGGTCATCCTTGGGCAACATGGTGTGGTGGTTGTTGGGCGCGATGATCAGGACTTAGAGGCCTTTGCCGCTGCCTCGGTATGTCGATACTTTTGGAGCAGCAGGCCTCAGCAGTGCGTATCCCGCATGCAAGGTGCGGCAGTGTCCACTTCTGGATCGACACAAAGACAACATCACTATAGCACAACCTCGCATTCGCACAGGCACTTTCGGTTCATTGAACATACAGGCGTAAATTCTGTGTCCACAGAAAGTCTCGACAGTTGGCCATGCTTACCATGCTGCCCACCATTGTCACCGCCTCCCTCGTCAGTACTAGTAACAACGAGTACGTTGTATCATGTATGCCCATCTAAAACAAAAAATACCGAATGCGCATTGCATTGTAGATCGCCCGGCCAGATATTCTTACTCCCAGACTTGTGTCACGTTGATGCATTGTGCGGGTTTTCTCCTCATTCTCGGTTGAAGTCAGGGTTGGCCCGTTTGGAGGCTTTGAAGATACACGAAGCATTGCTTCGCATCAGAGCCCTCTTGTTGTGTTGTGGCGGAACCGCAGGCATCAGCTCTTCAGCCGTGCGAAAGCATCTAGCCCATGGAGAGAGCATCCGCTACCTAGTGCACGACAAGGCTGGAAACATAATGTGTGCTATTGTGAACTTGGCTACAAAGGTTGGAGTTGTTGGAGTTGTTGGAGTTGTCGGTTGTCGGAGTTGTTGGAGTTTGTTATAGCCGTGCACACGACCTGGCCCAGGTGTGGCGGTACATCTTTCGGCATCGGCTGAACGAACTACCGAACTGGCAATGACGATTTCTTCGCTGGGCAAAAATGAAAACGACTGCTGCTCCTTCCATGCCGAGCCCTGCGGTTGTACCATAGCTGAGCAGCAGAAAGGGAGGGCCAACCAGTTTCTAGACGCTGGTAGTGCAGGCACAGCACAACGGATCCGTGGCAACCGCCAAGTTCCCCTTGCTTGTGTTGTGCTTGTAAGGATGTCTTTCTTTGCACAGATGCTGCTACCATTGTATGGAAACCTAAATCCGGGCATTCTGGCACCGTCACCTCGGCATAGGAAGTTGTCAAAGGCAAGGGGATTCATGGCCAAAGCGCGGGGGAAGTCCTGAAGGTGCAGTATGGATCAGCGAAGGTCCCATAGATGCAGTGACAAAATGAGTTTCGGTGGCTTGAATGAAATATGAACTGGCAGACGCCAAGGCAAGCCAAACAAAGGTAGCTAGACCTGCAACAATCCTCACACCCACCAGACTACGTCACGGCGCATGGCTTGTGTTATCCCGTTTGTTTCCACACGTCTGCCCTTGAAGCCAGCAATGCTGACCTGGTGCAAGGTACCTTGTGCGGAAGAAGCTCGAACTTGGTGGAATCAATTCCATGCTTGACGTTGGAGGCGGGAGTCGCAGAAGGTTGAGTTCGAGAGCCCAAGCTCAAACCTGACCCAAACCTGTGCAGGTGGCTCTGGAGCTTTCTCATACGTTTTCACCGAGGTACCGAAAAGATGAGCTCGGTAACTTGGTCGCTGTTTCAGAATTGATGCAGGCCACCCCGGGCCTCAAATCAACAGTGCTGGAGTTGCCAGAGGCGCGGCGAACATATGCGAATCGAATGCATGTGGTCAGAACTTCCAAAGTCTGCAATTGTCTGAGTTGCGGATGCCAGGTGTGTCGAACAGGTGAGGGCATCAAGGCTCAGCAGCCTCAGGAGACCTCTCAGCAAGACATAGCGACACCGTCCGGAGAGGCAGCAGAAGCACTGACCGCTTTGCAGGACATTCAGGACCGTGTGAATTTTGTGGAGCTTGACGCGACAAGCCCAGATTGGCCGGTGGCAGACTCGGCCTTGCCATCCAAGGAATGCATGAGAGCGCATGAGAGAGCGCATTAGCAAGCGCATGTGATGAGGTTAGTGACAGTAACTACGACATCGTGCTGATGGCCCTGTACTTGGAAAATCTTAGAAGTAGGAACCCGCTACCGTGGTATGCAGCTTTCATCTGCAACATGTCATCGAACCACTGTGATTGAGCCGTCTGGAACTTTCAAGTCCTACATCAGCGGCTCCGTCCCTGAGAGCGTCATCCTGCCCCTCTACAAGAATGCTTTCAAGGTGACATGGATTGCCCACGAGATGGCGTGTCGTCCCGTGTTATGATGAAGTTTGGCCTGCTTTCCTCATCATTGAGGTCGATTGCAAGCTTTTGCTTTCAGCTTTCAACGTTAGATCTGAACGAACATTGACTTAGCTAGAAAATCACTGGGATCGGTGCAGCAAAAGATGACTGAAAAGTCCACGATCATGAGCTATGTATAGTATAGACAGGCGTCAAGACAGAATAGCAGCCATGGCTGCCGTGGTCATGCCAACGCCGGGGGCCTCTCTCTTGTGGGGACCTGAGTGTCGTAGATCATCACAGACCTTCTTCGCCAAATTGTCATCATGCTGTGCCTTACAGATGTGGGAGGACGGTGCAGAAGCCGCAGACAGTTCTGCGAGCACCAGCTTTACAGGCACCGCTTAGTATTCCATTGTCTGTTAAAGTTGGAGCTTGAAAGCTTTTGTTCAAGGCAAGACCCTACACCGAGAGAGGACATAGGCGAGCACATGCCTCGTGTGCCTCCGACTGACCGGCAAATTCTGCATGTGCAGGAACGGCCACGGCACAAAGGCTGCGAAGGGCTTGGACCCAGACAGTAGCCCTGTCGGTAGTTGATTCCTAATTCTTGGATTAACCGTTCAAAGTTCATCGAACATGTTTGGAAAGAGGCTCTAGCGGCATGACGTCACTTGACTCTGCTGCAGTCTGTGCAGACTGTGGCCGCGGCAGCAGTACCATGCCTCATCGGCGGAGTGGCAGCATCTGGAATCCGCAGGAGGCAGCGAACTGGAGCTCTGGTGCTAAGTCTCTAACCACAGTAACCTAAGCATAGTTGCATGGTCGCTTACTCATTGTGGTCCTTACTTCGTTTGACGGGTTGTGAGCCATGGGCCCTTGGGTTTTGTCGGGGATATGAGGGGGTATATGTCCGTATATAAGGGGTCCCCATTTACGGGCCCATGCGAAGGGCCATGTAGCTCCCCTCAGATGTAAGGAGGCACCTCTTCGCACAGACATGACAGGCTTCGGGCAAGTGGGACCGTGAAGAGCTGCAAGGCGAGATTTGATAGCATGGACGTGCCGTCAACGATTTTTTCCTGCTGCCATGTCCAAATTGTTTGCATGCGATTGAAGAGGTGGTCATGGCTGGCACCACCATAGAAACTCTGTCCGTAGCTCTGCTGTTTGGAGCGCACAGTCGGCGAGCAGTTCGTGAACACAAACACGAGCTGTGTCTTTCAATAATGCGAAACGGCGTGGAGTCTGAGGGAGAAGGAAGAACTCACTGAAGAAGAGCTGTTGGAGACCCAGACGATTCGCAATCTTGGGGTATCTCTGATCACCCTGGGCCCATTCGTGCTTGCCTGCTTGATGTGCTTGATCCGGCTTGTCACATATCTGCCTCCAAATTTGTTCGTAATTGTGAGGCAGTCGCTTTTTGATGCGGCTTCAAAGGGGAAAGACCTGGTGACCTTCGACCAAGCTGCAAGTGTGCAGCCCAGGTCTAAACAAAACAGGACCAGCTTTGCAATATTTTGCAGTGAAGCTGCGTGCGGCCGAAGCACCGTACATGCTGCAAAACCTGGTCGGAATGAATTGAGCAGTCATGACCCCCCCCCCCCCTCATTATCCCATTCCCCTCCTTCGCCCCATTCCCCCAGCAATATACCAATGCTCCGCTCAACTGTCGAGCGGGTGAGGCTTGGAGGGGGTGGATGCGGTCCTGGAAGAGGGAGCCGCCAACCTGGAGGAGCTGAAGGTGATTTGGGGCGACCCCGATGAGCCCGTAGATTTTGAGGGCTTCTGTGCTTGGCCCAGAGCAGAGCAGTGCGGCTGTCGAGTCTGGTGGAGACGCTCAAGTCAGAGTACCCGCCACATTCCTGTGAATTCCGACCTTCTAAGGCGGCTGGTACAACGACGTGCTAAAGCTATATGATTGCCTGGCTCGTTTGCACAGTCGCATGCGAGAATGCTTCCAGAATGCTGGATACTGGTGGGGGTGTAGTAAGTTTACAGTTCAACCCATGCCAACATGACTGGCATTTGCGAAGAACCACCCTGATTTTCAATTCACGCAAGCCCAGACCACTGACATTTACAGCATCTCCCGCCTTCAAACCGTTGTTTCGCTGATCAAGTTCCGTTATCTACCCGGGCCCTTTTACGCCGACTTCAATAGGAGAGGGGGGGGGGAGCGGCAGGGAGCTCTTTAAAGACATTGGGGTCCTTTCAACAGTGCTGGCAAGGTCGGCGGATAAGAGCAGAGCCAGGAAAAGGGTCATCTCGAGCCAAGACGTCTTTTTGCGCCCTTGTTTCGATGATAAACATGTTGACGCTAACGCGCCCCGCCTTGGTGCGGCCTGCGCGCAGCTTTTTCTCATGCAAAGGCAGAAGCATCGAAGGTCCACGGCTTCACAACGTTACATAGGGCCTCAGGGGGGGCCCTTCGAGGGTCAACTGCAGAGTTTCGTAAGTGGTCCATGACCGCGCAAAGAGTCTGTAAGGACCTCAAAACAGAACACCTCTCTGTGCGGAGTTCGTTTTGGGTCCATCGGTCGGGCATTGACATTGTTGGTACAAGATTTCAGGGTTTGCTGGCCAGGGTGCCATCGTCATCCCACCAATTCGGGACATGTTCGGGCCATGGTGAAGGTGGGTAGAAGTGGGAGATAGTCAAAAAAGGGCGGTGAAGGAATCCAGATTGACGCTGCCATTCTCATGTTTACAGTTTCGTCCTCTTTGCCATGAGGCAGGGCACTATCGTACAAACATGCAACCCCCGACAGGCAGGCAAAGTAGATGGGACACGTGTTGAATCGGAAGACCTCGAATCGTGTGGATTATCGTGCTAGTCCCACGCAGATTCCAGCGCAGCAGTCGCGGCCACAATCGCTCCCTTTCGCTTTGGCCCGCTCGTGTCCGGTGAGACTAGGACTTCGGTCCAAAAAGGTGTGCTGTAGCATCTACAATCTACAAGATAAAGAAGATATGGATGAAGAAGGCATCCTACAAACAAAGAGGTGTAACAAGTTCTTGCATGACAAGTTTTATGTGAAAGCCTCAGCTGTGGAGCTGCACACAGGGAGCGAGAGCGCAGCAGGATGCCTTTCTTTGGCAAGATGCAGTGGCACCTCCTATGGATGTTTTCGACGATGATGAAGAGACGGGTCTTGAGGACAGATGTGCTGATGGGGTTGGTGGCTTGATACTCTGGATGACCCTGGTCTGAGATCTGACGAGGACACGCGGAATCTGGACGATGAGCGCCCCTGACCGGTTGAACGAATCTTCAGTGTAACATCCTTACACTTGCACTGCGGACAAAACAATTTCTGCAGGCAGCTGCTCGAGGATGCTCCTGCTGTCGGAGTGAAAGTGCAAGAATTGAGCACGAGAGCTCTGAAGCCAAAACAGAAGATGAAGTACGGCACTCTTGCTCTGCTGGCTAGTTGCGAATGAGTGTGTGAAGTGGCCTTGTGTGTTGACAGCGTCGCTTCGACTTATGCTCACTGCGGGATGCACGTGAGTCGCGGCCAGACCGACAAAGTGCCGGAGTACCAGAAGCCTCCATGGAAGCTTGCCGAAGAGATCATTACAGGAAAGACAGACGATGATTTGGAAGACTACAGCATCTTGACGGCATGCCAGGAGTGGTAATACATTCTCGTGAAAAAGCGCCCGACGCTGCACAGGTGTCGAGGATGAAGAGGATACACGCAGCACAGAAGGCCTGGCGGCTCCGTTGCGTCCCCAATGTGTGTTGCGGCCATGCAGAAGACACAGAATACGCGCAAGAAGTCTGCAGCTGCCAAGCACGAGACTGAGGTCTGCCGGCGGAGGAAGACAAAACGTTGAAATCACCCAGCTGTTTCGACAGGTAAAGCGGCACTGCAGCTGCGTTGCCAGTATACGTCTGTTGCTCTTGCGCAAGATCTGCGGCAAACTGCCTGAGCAGGCCTGTGACGAAAACAACCTCCTGTCCTTCGAGGCGCTTATGGAGATCTCTGAGTTCGAGGATATGCTTGAGCAGGAGGACTCAGGGAGAGAGGGAGAGAGGAGAGCCAGAGAGTGAGAGAGGGAGAGAAGGAGAGAGACCTGGGGTTGGGAGAGCCCTTTTCCCTGAAGCCCCTTGCCTTAAATGCGTTACAAAAAGAATGAAAGAACGAGAGAACGTGCAAAAAAATAAAAGAAAGAAAAGAAGGAAGAAAGAACGAAAGAAACCAATCAAGAAAGAAAAACAGCAAAGAAGAAGCAAGAACAACAAAGAAAGAGAAAAACAACAAGAACAAGAAATAAAGAGAAATAAAGAAAGGAAAGAAGGAAAGAAAGAAAGAAAGAGAGACCGGAGACCAGAAGGATGGAAGCAGGAGACAAGATGAGGAAGGCTGAGGGCCCAAGTCCAACGAAAGAGGAACTGAGCACCGCGAAGCGCATCGGAGCAGAGCCTCGGACGTCCCCAAAAGCGACGAGCCGTTCTGGGAGGACACACGCAGCAGTCACACGGGGTACCGCACCAGCCAGAAGAAGGAGCTTCGACACCAACACCTGGGTGGACAACAAGACAGGGCAAGCAGGAGCCCGAACCCAATGCCCAGTCGTGACACGCAAAGCCAATCCAACAGGCAAACAGTATCTCGGTAGCTCCACGACATCCCACGACAGCGTTGGAGGAGCGTGGCTGAAATTTAGACATCCAACCAAGACGAGAGACCTGGGACAGTCCTTCTTGGGACAGGCCTCTCGCTAAACTAGGGTAGAGGGAGGTGAAGCATGAAGTGCTCCGGCAGCTGGGGGCACTTCAAAACGAGGAGGGGCCGTCCAGTCCAACATGGGACTAGAACAACTGACATCAACCCGATAACGGAGCAACTGCTGCACAACCCGAGGAAGTTCCAACACCCGCGGTTAAAGCATACTACTCGTAGGGTATCCAGCACAACTATGCGCAGATCTTGCTGTGGCAGTCCAGAGTGGGCAAAACCCTCCGTGAATAAGTGCAGCAATACTCAGATGAAGCTTTGCACAAAACACAGCAGTTTTGGTTCAGTCACAGCCTGTTCTTGAGAAACGGTTGTGCCAAGTTCTCGATTGCTGGCTTCTTTGATCTGCCTGGAAGAGTCAGAACCCACAAGGTTCAGATAAACATACGCATACACATATCCTCGTACCTACGTATACACATAACATACATCCCCGTACGCACATCCGCATATGGCATGTGCACTTATGCATGTGCGTAAGCGCAAATATGCACACACAGACATACGCATGCATATACCCACATATAGACATACATACATGTGGACAACATATATGTCACATGTATACATCTTTTTTTATGCACGCTTTTTTGAGGGGCTGAAGTCAAACGAAAGCCGCCTAGGTGCTCAGTTCGTGTCTGTGGGGGATCCCAGAACAAGTTTAAGCAGTTCAAGCAACGATGACTGTGACCGACCTTTGCTACACACAATGACAGGGTTTTGATAGCATGACTGGGACTCCACCAAAGAGTTTGCTTGCGAATGTTCAGTTATTGTACGTGACAAGAGCAGTGTGGATACGGCCCGCGTTTAATTACGGTTGGCAATCCATCTCTTCGTGCTGCTCTGTCAGAGTGAGTGATTGAGCGAGTGAGCCCGTGTGTGTGTGTGTGTGTACAAAAGTTCTTGTTTCAGCAGGGGGCCATCCCTTGTCGTTGGTGGATGGACAACGAGGGGCCCATGACGGGAGCTGTAAACGTACCAGCGTCCTATGAACGGGCCCTTTTCTGACGGCTGAAATAAGGTTTTAGGCATTGACTGAGCGAAACACTCTGCTTGAGATGCGTGAGTGAGAGTGTGAGTGTGAGTGTGAGTGTGAGTGTGTGTGTGTGTGTATGTGTATGTGTGTGTGTGTGTGTGTGTGTGTGCGTGCGTGTGTGGGTGTGTGGCTGTGTGGCTGTGGGGGTGTGTGGGTGTGTGGGTGTGGGTGGGTGTGTGGGTGTGGGTGGGTGTGTGGCTGTGGGTGGGTGTATGGGTGTGTGGGTGTGTGGGTGTGTGGGTGTGTGGGTGTGTGGGTGTGTGGGTGTGTGTTGGTGTGTGGGTGTGTGGGTGTGTGGGTGTGTGGGTGTGTGGGTGTGTGGGTGTGTGGGTGTGTGGGTGTGTGGGTGTGTGGGTGTGTGGGTGTGGGGGTGTGGGGGTGTGGGTGGGTGGGTGGGTGGGTGGGTGTGGGTGTGGGGGTGTGGGTGGGTGTGGGTGGGTGTGGGTGTGTGTGCAAGTTACGCGTGTTTTCGCGTGTTTTCGCGTTCGTTCGCGGGTGTTTGCGTGAGTTGGCGTGTGTTCGCGTATGTTCCAGTGTGTGCGTGCGTGCGTGTGTGAGTGTGTGTGTGCGCATGTTTGTCGGAGGACCTTTCGGAGGAGGAGTTGGAAGAGATGTGGGACGAGCTGCCCAAGAAGAATGCCGCTCACATGATCTGGTCTCTATGACTCTATGCTTCTAACTTTTAGGCTGTGGTCTTCACTATTCACAAAGACGATCAAACTTTTGAACCATTTCCGTTACGTACCGCACAGCCTCTGTTCCGTTTCCGGCCCTCCGTGTTCCGGTATGTTCCTGCGTGTGGATTTTATGCCGCATGTAAGTTCAAGTTCCGTTTCCAGCCTTTTACATCCTTCCATTGCTACGCAACGTCCCAGCCTGAATGACCGTTCACAGGGCGACTTCATAGACGTGCTGGCCTTTAGGGACTTGCTGGCCAAGGACCCATGGCTTGTTGCTTTGATGCTGCCAACGTGCTGCCGAGAGATGAGCAGGTTGACGAACTCTTCGAGTATGTGGAAGAGGATGAAGAAGAAGATCCCGACAAGCAGGCTGGGCGAGTCGACTTTTTCATGTTGAGGCGCATTGTTCTAGGCTCAGCGCAGATGTGCTGAATGGCCATGATTTTGTCCTTCCGCTAGCCAGGCTTTGATGCAGGTCGAGGGTGGAGGCGGCATCTCCAAAGCCAAGAAACGCGGTCTGCAAACAGTCGCGCAGCCAGCATGGAGAGCAGCCAGTTTGACTCATGAAGCCAGCATGAAGCACATGAGATCACACGGGCTGCAGAGGTCAAGCAGGATCTGCTGGATGCTATTGCCAGACTGGAGGCATGCCAGAATCGGCCAGAAGAGCCAAGAATTCAACAGGGTAAAAATCATGCCAGGCACAGCATGACAAGCCTGCGGGTTTGGGCTCCACGGAAGAAAGCGATGGTGCCATCCGCTCAGAAGTTTGATCGGCCAACCTGAGCTGGTAAAAACAGAGATGTCTCAGGCGATGTCTCGCATTTTGTCTCCCATATCGCTTCAGCATGGCACCGAGCAAACATGCAAAGACATGCAAAGGAAATCGTGAAGCTTGCTGGTGAATTGGAAGATGTGTGGCGCGATAAGGCTGTGTGCTTGGATGCCACATGCGAGTATCGAGTGCACACGTACACAGCGCATACCGCGCATGATGCGAAGACGTACGTGCTTCCCACCTCAACAAGCGGAGCGAGCTTGCTGGCAGGTAGGCGACCTGAACAAGTTCGACGGAAGCAAGTTTGAAGGAACATGGGAGCTCATCTACTCCACATCTGTGAAGTGGCTGTGCAAGCATGTGGTCGCAAGCATGCGTGCACGAGCATGTGGCCACAGCTGCAGTCGCGTCTCACATCATGTATGCGAAAGTTTCATGATGTTTGCCGAAGGTTCCGAAGATGGGAATCAGTGCTGAATGGCTGCAGGGACATCAAGAACGGCCAGTTTGAGGCCACCAGCCACATGTAAATGCCACCAGCAGCGAGACCATGTGAAACACCTTGATTCGACAGAGGCCCTTGTTCAGAAGTTCAGCGCTGGAGCCTGGCCAGCATTTACGTCGGCCCTACGGTCGACGTCGTTGGTGCTGGCGCTGGGTTGTGGTGTTGGCACGGTGTTGGTGCTCAGGGTTGGGGGTCATCCTGGTGATTGCTATGTTTGCAGGGTTGGCAAGGCTTGCTTGGGCTTGGTTGATTGACTGAGATGCTGTGAGAGCCGAGAGGTATCTGGACGCTTACAGACATGTCAACGCCTTAACCTGCAGCCTTTTCGGATCTCCTTCTGATATGCCCTTATCCTTAGCTGAACGTCATGCCTTGTGCCATCTTGCGATCCCAGTCGGGAGCACCTCACATCTCATGAGGAAGAAGTCATGCACTGCCAAAACCAAGTTCATACGGCCTGGGGTTGAGAGGAGCATTTTAGGTACTTGCACTTGTCACTCGCCTTGCGGCCCCCCGTCTCACCCTGCCCGAGGTGAGGACTCACAGTATGAGAGCTTCAACGAGTACGACATGGAAGAAGTGTTCAAGGTTGGTCCATGCTACATGTTCATCATGTTCATCTTCAGAGGCAGATGAGCTGAGTAAGAGCTTTTGAGGCTCCGAGCGAGGACGGTGACGAGGATCTTGAGCTTTGCATGCGGGGGCAGGCGCGTGACGGCAAGTGTGCCGAACAATGCCTTCAGCCCAACGCCGCGTTTAGTCAGGGCTCTTGGAGACTGGGCATTCAGCAGAATGTCGTCACCGGTGACGAGGCCGGCAGATGCCGTGCTTGTGGCTGCGACTTGAAGACTTTGCTTGGAAGGACCTGGTTCTCAAGCTCGAGATCACAAACGTTGAATACGACCCGCTGGCATGTCTTTACAGTATTTTACAGCTCAGCTTCAGGTGCTGACAACCCCGATGTTTCTGTTGCCAGGACACACCGGAAGACAGCGTGGAGTACTGCGGCGAGAAAACCTTGATGAGTCCGATGTGCAGGTATCCAATGTGGGTTCATTCGATGAGCATATCCGAGCGTGTGCAGCGTGATTGCGCTGGATGGGCAGGACTTTCAGCTATGGGTTCCTCAGCTATATGGACGATGAGTACCGAGCAACTTGAGGGCACAACCGACAATACAGATAATTGACAGTGGTAAAACTGTGTATGGATGCTCTCACTGGTCAAAGGTAATGAGGACGAGCCTGACGGGGAAGTCAGTCTACATCTTCCAGAGAATCAAAGACGAGCCTCAGCTGCCATGGTGTTCGTGCAGTTGCCTGATCGGTTGCAGATGCATCGCCGATCAGGACGATTGATACCTGGACCACAAGAAACAACTTCATGGAGGCAAGGCTTGCAGCATGGTACAGGAAAATGCAGTGCGGTCAGCAAGCCGTCGAGGAAAGCCCCATTCGGAGTTTGGCTGAGTATGGGGGTCACAGCCCTGCAAGCGGCCCGCCACATGAGCGTGGGAAACTGTTTAAAACTGTCGTCAGGCTGAACGAGACGGGACGGTTCTATTCAAAACGTTGTCGTTTTGCAGGCCCTTGAAAGCGGAGTGGAACCTATTTCCTGGATGTTCCCCGAGATGCAAACTCGTTATTCCTGGCCCCATTGTTTCAGCTCTTGCGCCGCCAAGGCCAGTGCAGACCAAGTCGACTTCTGTAAGCAAGTTTTCCGCCCGCAAGGGCGTGGCTGCGAGGAAAAAGCCAAGTTTTTTGCACTGGCACTTCGATTGCAAGACTCCCCGGAAGGGTGCAGCTTGATCAGGCTTTGCGACCAGGGGGGCGACTTTTGGTCCATGACTTCATGGCCTCTTGGCCTGGCATTGCGCTGTCGTTGCGTGAGCACAGGAAATTTGAGACTTTCGGACGAGTCCAGGGTACGGAGCGTGGATTCAATGCGAAGGTGAACGACAGCCTGGATGGTCCTGCGCTGGGAGCACTCTGGGGTTCGGCCCCAAAGAGCCGTTGCGCATGACCAATGGAGCTTGTGAAGTACATTGCATGAAGTGCACACTTGTGCACATTTGGAAGTGCACACCGTGACGTGAAGAGCACTAATACTTGTAGCTGATTGTGCATGTTGCTCTGGACGCACAGGGCTTCAGCATGTGACCGTCAACGCGCAGGGTCTTGGACTATGCCCAGCAGAGGCCCTCTCACTTGAGATTGCGCAAGTCTTGCTGAGGATCATGACATAGTGGTAGCAGGTTGTGCCAGATCGCAGTCTCCCTGTTCTGTCACAAGAGTTGTCTGTAAGGATGTGTAGTGGCAAGTGCCCATCAGGTTATCCAACGCATGGGCCAAGCGGGCTTCGAGGAGAGCAAGTGCCAGACCCACGAGATGATCCACGGTCTCTCCCCTCAAGGGGTTGTATTGGCTTGCATTCCGTGACTACTCACAAGATACTGCAAGCACCGGTTCTTCAACTTCTTCATATTCTCCTAGCTTCAGGCATGACCAAGCTCATTGTCGCGCACAAGGCGTAGGTGGTGAAAATTTGTGCCGGAAAGAGGCCTAGTTGTCAGATAGTCTTTCTTATTTCTTCACAGGCCTTGCCGCAGCGCATGTGCACAGCACATGAAGTTTCGTGGCAGGGCTCGCCTGAAACAATCGGGCGCTAATCCAGGTGCTTCTCTGCCGAGGCTTTGAAGTCAGGGCAGAAAAAAGCCTGAGGGATGGCCGTTGCCCCCGAGCACAGGTTGCTACTCCTCTTACTCGGTCCTAAAGCAGCGGTTGAGGTTACAGGGGACATGCGCTGGCAATCTCACTAGTCTGTCAACATCCCCACAGTCCCCACACCTCGAGAAGAGGCGTTCCACATTTCCCTGCGTACTGCAATTGTTTTGCAACAAGCCTAGTCACATGACTGCCGTGGCAGAGCTCCGCTGACATCCGCAGACACTAGGCTCACATGACATTGACAAGACAAGGGAGAATATTCATGGTTCCAGTACGTTCAAGCTTTCAAGATGGTGATGAAGTGCGTTGCTACCGGCACAGATGCTGCTTTCAATTGTACCAGGGGCAACTTTGCGCACACGGGAGCAGGGAGCAGACGTCACACAGGATCAGGAGTCCCTCTTGCATTGGACTTGGAGTCGATGGCAGAGGCAGTTGCTGCATGAATCACAATCTGAGATTTACGAAGTTTAACCAGGTTACCAGTTTAAACGAACAGCCAGTTTAATTGTGCCATCTGTTGCGCGCAGGGCGACGGCGGCGGCTATGGTCGGGCGTCTGGAGATCAGTGGGCTGAGGCAGAGCCTTTGGTGTTGAAGTCGCCGCCCGTACTCCATCGTACTCCTGAACTTGGCTTACCCAAGTTTACCCGTGAGCCATGAAAACTCAGCGAACCAAGGAGCGCTGGGCATCCAAATGAAGCAGCGTTTCAAGTTTGAAACGTTAGCGCATGTCAGCGCGCAGATGCGCACGTGAGTATGCGCGCATTGTTCTTGGGCGCTTGGCTCCAGGCACGCATCGCTTCGCTGCAGGCTGAGGTCAAGCGCCTGCGGGCTGCCGGAGCCTTCTCCATGGTGCAATTCTGATGCTCGATGTGTGACGTACGTGAATGCATGTCTCCATTGTCTCCAATGGTTCGCCCAGATGCTGCCAGCTGAATACCGAAAGACAACATCCATGGCGCCCACTGTAGCGCTGGCGGGCCAGCACGTCAACGAAACCCTCTACGAGGCACCCGCGGAAAGCATGGCTGTGTAGAAGCACAAGAGATGTACCAGCAAGGCTTGCATGGACAGAGAATCACGGAGACCACTAGTCCTGACGGACTTGAGGGGGTCTCATTGCTTCGGTGATTTGGTTCGCGGTTGCTGGATCGTGGCTTCATGTTGCAGACCTGACCCTGTCAGCTTTGTTCATTTTGTTCTACATGCAGGAAACTGTCCTCGCGCTGGTGGTCAGCATGATGCTCATGCTGTGGGCAGTGCCCTTCTTGAGGCTCCCTTTGAGAAGTTCAGGTTTTGTTGACGATTCGACGCTCCGATCAGACGCGTCCAAGCCGGTAGGCCTTTCCGATATTGTTGTGAGACGAGACTCCACAAGGCCAGGTCCACATGGTCGATGCTGTCCAGTCACGGGCTGAGGCACAATTCGGCAAATCTTTGCTGATCATTAGGTGTATCCCGCCATCACGGTGTTCAACTTTCTTTTCCTGGCAGTCACCCTGCACTCGTTTTGCTGGCTTGGTTACGGAGACCGCTCTGAACCAGAGAGTTGTGCTGAATACAAGCTGGATACATGATGATCTACGACGATGACAAATGCTGCTCAACGAACGCCAGGTTAAAGTTCATCACGTTCAACGATTTCTTCTTTGGCCTGGTCGATGGATTTGAGGCGGCCGTTGAGTTGTCTGAGCAGGTGGGCGGAGTGATGCTGCGTGCATTTCGGCTCTGCACCGCGTCCCATTTAGCACCGCCTCCCGGGCCCATCTGCAGCTCCTCCTGGGGGTCGCCGCGCTCATCGCGATCGCGGTGGTGTGGAAGTCGGCTCCCCGAATCTGTGGCTGGGTGTGCGCAGCCGGCAAATTCTGAGCTGAGGTTCAAAGATCGCGTCTTCGAGGTTTCAACGAGAACGCTCCGAATATGACTGCCCTGGCTGCTAGATTAGCCTTCGCTTGAGAGAGGTTCTGGGTGTGGAGAACGCCGCCTCCGTTTTTGGGGACTTCCGCGACTGGGCCACCTGCTGGCCTTGGACTCGGCATCCACCAACTTTCCCCCCCCCCCCCCACCCCCCCACTTGGCCCACTTGCTCGTCCGGAAGAGCTCATTCAGTTTGTCGCACTTGCCCCACTTGACAGTGCCAGCGAGGCAAGTGCCCCTTCCCTCCCCTCCCCTTTCACACTGGCTAACAGATTTTCTGGAATAAGTGGGGTTCTGTTACAGATCCGAAACCTTAGGGCAACTGGCCCAGGCGGGCGGGGCCTGTTGGGCAAGTCCTCTCTTGACCCGGCTTCCGGGGCACACTAGGCTGACTGGGGCAAGTGGCAGAAATCAGTTTTCAGTGCCGGTTTTGCCACGCGCACTGAAAGATTGCTTCAGGATTTGATGACGCTCAAGGCACAATCAAGTGTGTGCTCAGGTCCATGAAGCGCTTTCACCCAGTAGAGCTCTTCATCTGGAAGGCGCACGCAGTGAGACATTCATTGTGGCGAGACTAGCACTTAAACAAGCTGTCCAGAGGTGGAAGGGCTCCCATCTGCCCGCTTGCACTCGCTAAATGATGTCTTTTGTGAAGTTGGCGGCTGAGTGGTTGGCAAGTAAGTAAGCAAGTACATCCGGATCTGAGCGTTGCTTGGCCGCCTCAGGTCTCACTGGGCTACAACATGACCATGAAGACTCGGGCCCAATCCCCATTTCGACACGGCTCGGCAACACTCTATTCACCCCCGTGCTCACACCTGTCATCGTTCTCAGGTGCATCACCGAGCCGGTCACACGTGTGTCTTCAAGGTTGGATCTGGGGATGATCTGGGGCATCTTGCTGATGCTGGCTGATGGCCAATGGTGAGGAGACACTCCAGTTCAATTTCGACCCTTACGACACCGATCACAGATTGACAATCTCTCTCAAGAGCCAGGCGTGGAGAGTTTGATGCCTCCATCTCCATCTCAGTTTCTGCTGCACCCACATTCAACACTGCACAGGGGTGTTGAAGGGGCTTAAGGCAGCGCGCACCCTTTATGAATGGATGTTCGCGGCCGCGGGGCCGTGCACCCCTTTCCCCCCGCGGCAGTTCTCTAGCGAATGCTGGGCGTCTCATACTTCTTGTCCTGCGCACTTGACAGGGTCCGTTTGTTGACGCAAGGGGCCGTCGAAAGTGGTACGGGGTTGTCACAAGCCTGCGCTCAGGAAAAATGGATGGTCAATGGCTGATCCCTGAGAACCCCGAAACCAAACCTTGACATGAGTTTCGGATGGCAGCTGCTAAAGGCTGCCTAAAGGCGGTCAGCTGAAATTACGGCAGTGCAGTCCTAAGAGCCTCGCAAGAGCGACACGCGGAAGGACTGACTTTTGTCATGAACCGAACGCCGAACCCAGAACGGAGGCAATGTCACAGAGCAAGCTTGAGATAAGCCATGGCATGCCATGCCATGGCTCCGTGTGTGTGTGTGTGTGTGTGTGTCTTGTTTCGTCTTCTTGTGTTTTGTTTGTCTCTGTGTGTGTGTGTGTGTTTTTTTTTTTTTTGTGTGTGTGTGTGTGTGTGTGTGGGTTGTGCGCGTCCGCGCCCGCACGCAGCCTTGCAAGCTGTGAAGGGCCCACAGTGAGATGGTGATCCGGGCTCTGGTTGGTGTGGGTAACCGGGGAAAAGTGGGACAAACTTTTGAGAAGCCGTCGCAACAGTCTAATCGACAGTCGTGCCATTTTTTCACCGAGCACAAGCGAATCCAAGGAATCTCAACCCGCGGTAATCGGGAATAGCATGGAATAGCCGAATAGCCAATTGAATCCAACTTCATCTGTCAGGAAGTAGTTGGCTCGGCTGAGATCGTACAGCTGCAGCTGGGTGCGGAGCAGGTCCAGAGAGTCTCTGTTTTGTTTGTGGCTCACCTAGGACCTATGGCTCACTTAAGTCTCACTTCTGGCTCACTTGCAGATGTTATGCTGCTTTGTCTATCTTTGTCTCGTGGGAGGTGAGGCGGCTTGAGGAGCGTGTATCGGAAGATGCCGGTGTGGGAAGGCACAGAGCATCACGGAGCCTTCTGCGACTCTGCGATTGGCCCCCCAGGCGCCCCACCTAGTGAGCCACGTTTTGGGCCCGCTAGGACCATTGGCTGGGGCAGCAAGGCCGACCCAGCTGCTCGACCCTCATTTTGCTGTCATTGGCTGTTCTCACCGCAGTATCTGTACGTGACGAGTGCTTGATTAGTTGAATTCATGCAAATTGTGTTAAAGTCAGGCTACATCAGCCTGAAACCAGATACTTGTAGCAGTGATCCGCGCCATATTGCAAACGCAACAGCTTCGTAGAGGCGTATGGCGACAAGGGGAAGTGGTACGGTTGGAGTTTTCAGTCATTCATTTCGACAGCAGGTTTCAGACGTGTGTCGGTCCAAGGGCTGGTGAGCCGATGCCAACTCTGCAATTTGGCAAATGTGTGGAGTGCATGGTCCAAGTTTCTGGACAAAGAGCAAGGTGGACGAAGAACTGCGAACATGGTACCACGCGGTGCCAAAGGAACAAATACTCTAAATACCATTCGCTTTCCATGGGCTTGAAGCGGCCCCGTGCATCTTACCGCGCAACACGAGGACGGCCAATACTGTTGTAGAGATAATCATGTTCTGACATGTGTACATGTTTTGAAAAGTCTTCAAACCGTCAAGGTCTGGGCACCAACAAATTTCAAATGCATGGACTTGGTCAGGAGCTTAAGACGTGAGCCCCCTTTGCACCTTCCTCGGCATCCTTCTACTGTGCTGTTTTCCTGATGTGCTGGTGCAGGTCCCGGCAGGGAAGATCTACCTGCGATTTGTGCAGGCGTGAGCGCCTGGAGAAGGGGAAGTTGCAAGTTTCACACACAGGGTGGTCCGGCTTCTGTGTGTAGTTTCGGTGAGGAGTTTCGGGTCTCAGCCACGGCTGGCTTCAGCTTTCAGTTTCAGTTTCAGGGCTATTGCTGAAGGACCTTTAGGGTCCAGTTGGCGCTTGGTTGGCAAGAGAATGCAGAATTACTGATTTATCTTTAAATTGGTGAAGCGCCTTGAGAACTCCTGAAAAATTGGATCGGCATCGGACTTGAATCTTCAATGTTTTGGACTTGCGCCTGATGCCCATCTAAACCAGCATACAAACTTCCCTGGAATCCTTTCGGGATCTAAGCTTGGAGCTATCCCGATCATGTTAGTTTGAAGAATCTTTAAGTGTAAATCCGGAATGGACTTTGTGCTGTCAGATCTTCAAGTTTTTAATGAATTTGAAGGACTCTACGGGAGATTCTTCGGAATCTATTGGTGCCAAGTGTCTGGAAGGTCCAGGAAAATGTTACGACAGCGGCTAAAGCCTTCAAAGTCTTCAACATATAAGTCCATACCAGTACGGATTTAGTCAGTCAAGATTGTTACAAATTTGCTGCCCTTCGAACCTGAGCTAGGAGTTTTCGAGGGCCGGCGTTTAAGCTGTGCAGATTTAAGAGATTTCAAAGGCCCGTGAGTTTGTTAAAGTCTTTAGGATCTCATTCTGGGCCCTAAGGTTTTATAGACGATTTCAGGAGAAAAGCAGCTGAAAGAGGATTTAGAGAGCATTACAGCACCAGACAGGCGTTAATACAGAAGCGCAGCTTCGGAAATCTTTTCACATAAATAAAGCACCGGAGCGGGCGTTAGAGTCATACAGCTGTAAGTGGACACGCAGTTCGAATAGGTTGTAGAATGGAAACATTCCGCTGGATGTCTTTGAAGAGAAGCACAGTCTCATATAATTTGTGGGTAGACATGTACTGTCGGATGGTTGTTAGGCAGATTTATGGTTCGGAAAAGCTTGGGATACAAGTGCGGCATCGGAAAATTTACGGACAAGGAGACTTCGTTCAAACTCATTCATCTGGGGGCTCGGTTATTTTGGAAGAGGTTGTCGAAACGTCTGAGTCACTGAGGGACGCCGTGCTTGTGCTCCGAAGTATGTCGGCCAAAATCTGAACATCGCTTTCGAGACCAGACTTGTTGGAACGGGGGCGGCTTGCAAGCGCAGGCTTTGTGGTAAAGATCCTAGGAGCTGGAAGCGGAGGTTTTTGCCCGCAACATTTTTCTACTGCTGCTTCATTGCGAAACACAAAGCGGCTCGACAGCACGACATTTTCTGAAATGAAGTCCTTGAGAAATTTGGTGCCCTTTCTTATCTTGCTTCATAGTAGCATGACAAATATTCACAGCACCACGTTTCCTGAAAGGAAGGCTTCAGAAAATTCGGTGCTATCGAACCGCCCGCCCCTGTTGCCTCATCGCAACCAAATTTTCTTAGACAGAAGGTCCGCAAGAAAACTCGTGCTTTCGAACCGCGCCTTTTCTGCTATAGTGCTCTTCGCAGGGTCTTCAAGGAGACCCTTTTCAGGTGCTGCTTTGAAGGTTTTGCAGAAGCTGTTTTTGAATTGCGCGCGCATGTGTGTGTGTGTGTTGTGTGTGTGTGTGTGCGCGAGTGTTTCTGCATAAGGGTCTTTTCAGATGGTTGTTACAGGGCTTCACAGGAGGTTTTTACGTGCATGTAGAAGGTTGTAGAGTTTGTTTCTCGTAGAGATGTTGATGTTCGGCAGGTGCTGAAGGACTTCCAAGGAAAAGGTATTGAACGGGTTTTCACGAGTTTCCGTGCTGTGTCAAGACAAACCTGACACATCTAGCCCTCTCAGTGCAAGTAAGGTGTTAAGGCTTGTTGAATTGTGGGGAGCCGGAATGTGTTGAAAGGTGGTCAAGAACCCAGTTTGTGAGTGCGAGATCTATGTCGAGTTCGTTTGCAACTCAAGATATTTCTTCCTTTCTGTTCAATTCACAATCTTTAGATTCGGGGTCCGGGGACAAGCCGTTTGGACAAATCACAGGGCCAAGATGCAAAGTGGGGCGAATGTGGCATTCACATGCGGTCATTCGGGCTAGACTGACAAGCATGACAAGGTTAACCGGTCATGGGTTTGACGGGGTTTTGAGCGAAGGTTGCGACACACAGGAGGGCTTAGCCGCTCACCCCTCACGGCGCGAATGTTCCTGACCAGGCAGGGTGACCGGGCTGAGGGCTGACAAGGCCAACGCTCGATTTTTTGTGCTACGCTGCTGCAGCCTCATGGGCGAAAAGCTTCTTCTTTTGTCAGGAACTGTGACGCAGGCAAGGGTTTGTACATAGAGCAAGAAGCTCCGCCCAGCGCATCTCCCGGCAGTGTCTGTGGTTCATCAGGCAATGTCCTGTTGAGCTGTGAGTCTGATGTAGAAAAAATCTATGCTAATCACCGCTTATTGTAGTGCTAGGGGCTTCTCTCGCGCTGCTTATACTTCATTTGCAATTGTATGAGTTCGCTTGCGCAATAGATGCTCATAAATTCACTGTTTGGCCCATAGATTCCCGGGCCCTTCAGAATCCTCGGGTCGAAGGGTTAAGGGCTACCCGCGCTTCGTGCTGCCGGCCCTGTTTAAGCCCAGACACTGATGTGCACGTGCGTTGTTCCTAGCCTAGGATGGACCTTGTTGTCTGTTGGCTGAAGCCTCCCTTGAACATGATGATGAATGCGTCTCGAAGCTGGAAGAGAGATGTCTTGTGATGGCAGGAATGCAGCACGGCGTCCTGACTCGCTGAGAGAAGATGAACAGTCTGAGAGTATGTGCCGCAGCCGGGACATGCTTTGGAGTGTGTTCTGTAGCGCTGTCATCAGGTTTGTAAATCTTGCCGGCAGGTACATTGCTTACACTCTCCGCTTGTCTGCGATCGAACGCAGCCGGCTTAGTGAAAGATAGCCACTCCCCTGCAGATTTGTATAGAAATGCTTCAGCCGTTCAGATGTTGTTGGCCTGTCCAGGCCGCCAAGACATCCTCTCATCAAAGCTACAAGCCTACTGGCTACACGACACGGGCTTGGAGGGTTGTCGCTGTCCTTTCGAGTTCTTGTACGCAGTCGTGGCATCTGCTGTGAGCTGCTCAGGCAAGATCCTGTGTGCATTCGCAACAACTGCGTGAACCCACTTGTGCTTACCCCTTAGCACAAGGGCAAGCGCTAGGTTCGGGCGTTGCATTGGCACAGGGGGCATGTCCTCGAAGCTCATTTCGCTCCATCTGCACTGTTTTGTTTTGCCCAGACATTCTTGCACTATGAAAGCGATTAGCAAAGAATTCATAGAGGCCCGTTGAAAGCAAGCACTTCTGAGGCCAGCTTTGGAGGAATTTGGGTCCAACGCTGGGCCCTGACACATCAACGGACACATTGTTCACACATCAGTGTGACACATCAGTCACACATCGTCACATCTCGCTGATCTTTCGCCTGAAGTGGCCGCAGGTCTTGGAAGACTATGAAGCCAAGTCTTGGAATTGCAGCTGTCTGAGCTGACCTGGCAGCACTGCGGTGCAGATCATGCTGCTCAAATTCCTTGGCAAATGAGGTTTGGAAGGTCACGAGCAGGTGGGATCGCCTAGGATTGGGCAGAATCAGAATCACTGCTCTCCTGAAGTCTCCCAGGATGGCAGCGCCAGGATGTTAATGCGCGGCAACTTGAGCCGGCATGCAGGATCCTCAAGGAGCCGGGAGTAGTCCGTGGCATCTCAGAGCACTGGGTGTTTGCATTGTTCGTGACTCACAGGCCCCCGAAACCCGGTCGAAAGGACCCCATGGAACCTATGCCATGTGTTGCTTCTGTGCTCTTTGCGAGTTGAACCGTTTACCCCACCAAGGCAGAGACTTGTTAGAGTTGTCATAAGTTCGGAGAGCAACGCCTGAGCAATGCTGAACACGACCCGGGCGGGGGGGGGGGGGCACCCTCAAGAAACGATCGAGCTTGATCGAGCGCGATAAGCATGGATTCACAAGAATTTCTAAGAAAAGCACTCGGGGCAACCTTGATCTTGCGAATGTTGGGTACAGATGCAACACAGACTCAGGCTGGCTTTTGCGAAAGAGCAATCTCCTCCTACTCGTTTGCCGTGCCGCAGGCACTCGATTGGCTGAGCTTTCAGTATCTTTGAGTCGCTCTGCAAGTTCTCCAAGTTCTCCATTGCATCGCCTCAGTGAACAGGATGCCGACGGGCACGAGCGGGTCATCCGTGCGCAGATGCAGAGAGCCGCTTGCTAGCTGTTGTAGGATGCTGTCATGCTGGAAGCTGTGCGTGCTTGGCCAATATCGCCCAACTTGAGTGCAAACAGAATCTGCAAGGCTGTGAGCAGCTACGTGGCTCACTTGCGGGCCATCGGCTGGACGCTGAGGGTTCAGTCGGCTCAGTGCCGGACAGCGTTGTCAGAGTTCGTCGCATTGGAGCAAATGTGGCGTGAGGTCGGGACTTTTGGGAGTACCAGGAGCCGTGGAAAGAGGATGCTTGCATCCAGGCATGAACTGTCTCTCACTATCGTCTATTGATGCGGTGGCTTAGTGTGGGTTCCACATGGAGATTGCAGGCCATATGGAAGGTAGCATGCTACACTCACTTCCCGCGCTGCAACGAGAAGGACCAGGCAGCCCAGTCCAAAGCTGCCCCTAGCGTGTAGTTCCAGCAGGTCCCGTGTGCAGACTGCAGTGTTGGCAGGCTAAATACCTTCGACCATGCGTCTGGAATCCCAGATATTCCCAGACGACGAGCATGCCAAATCTCTGCAAAGCTCTGTCGCGCGCTTGGGATCTGAGGCAAGTGCTTGTCAAGGCCGCTGTCCTTCTCGCAGTGCTCAGTAGAGACACGCCAGGAGCGCTAGCTTCCAAGTGAGAGTGACAGAGCGCGGGGTGCAGGATACCTGGAGGCTTGCCAGGTCAACTGTTGTGACGACGGATTGGATCTCAGTTTCCGAGCGCAGAGCATCCCAAAACTGCTGCTTGCGTTGCATCATCCCAAAGTCAAGGCCGCATATCTCTGCCTCATGGCCACCGCACTGGGTTAGACATAGTCCACTGCACTCACCCATCTGTGTCGAGTGTGTGTCTGTCCCTGTGTGCGTGTGTGCCCGAAACGTGCACCCTCCGCGATTCAGAAACCAGATTCGCAATCGTCCAATCCTCGTTTCGGAAGCGACTCGAGCCCGAATCTCCGTTCTTGAAACACCAGTTCAGTGATCCAGAAGTTGGCGCGATTCAGGAGCACCTTTCAGAGACATTCCCGGTTTGAAACCTTTCGCGACAATTTTATAGTCTTGGATTTGTGCGCTGCCCTGCCTGCTTCCTGTCCCCTACATCCAGGTCCTCTTAGAAAGCCGTTTCGTTTTCTCAGACTTAAGGCCTCTGTAACCTCGCGGTTCTCAGCTCGAATCATGCCTGAAACAACTGTTTGCATCAAACGGGTTGTAAACGGTTTAAGGCTGTTGTACGGCCTGGGCTTTCAGCTCCATTTCCAGTCAGGCTTTGATACGGCCTGAGAAGCCTCAAGACACATCACATGATGGTGAACGGACTTGGCCATGCTCAGCTTAAAAGCTTAAAATCGAGACCACTTCTCCTGCTTTTTGGCAAATGGTTGGCTCGTATCGTCTGAGGCACCAAGTGCGTCTTCACTCATCACAAGAAGATGTCCGATGGCAGCTCCCTTGTTGAGAAGGCCGGAGTGCAGCTGGCAGGGAGAGTTGGCAGTTGAAACCCTGTGAATGTTGGCGCCGGCAGGGCTACGATCATCACACAGGGCCGTCGCCGTTCTGCACAGGCCCTCTCGGGGAGCCCACAACTTCCCGAGAGAACAGATGGGCCCACCCCTTTCGGTTCACCTTCATCCCTCATGGTATCCATCTGTCAGCGGGGAGGCTAAAATGTCCGGTCGGCGAATCGCGCTACGGCAGCCGTGAGAGCAGACGCAGTGACTGGCCTATGCTGGAAAAGCTCATGCTGAAATTCTGAAATGCTGAGGAAGATCAGTTACAGGATCGACGACGCTGTGTGCACACACGTTCAGCTTCCTGCTCCAGAGGGACGCGAGTCATGCCTGACTCCAGATATCTCCTTGCATGATTTACCTGAGAAAGCTTGTTGACTTCTTTCTTGACATTGCTTGACTGTCATAACTGTAGACAGAAGAACATGGACAGACCGCAAGTTGCAGCAAAGCAGTGACTCTGAAAGCTGTTCTGAAGCTGAAATTGACAAACAACCATCAGAGTCAGAACATGTGCCTGGGTTGCCTCCATCTGCAGCGAAGGCATGGCCGCAAGCCCAGGAGCTTTGAAGGAACGCAGTGTACCAGTGCTAAGCAACCGTTTCTTCTGAGAAAGGAACGGAATACATCCGGGATTTCTCTGAGGCATCCGAGTTGATACGAGCGGCCTTTGGAGAGGACAGACGTTGCACAAAGATCACAAAGACACGGTGCGCAAGGTTTGTTTTGAACACTTTGTGGAACAGTTTCGGGTTAGTGAGAGGCGAATCTGACTTGAGCCAGGAGCCGGTAGACCTTTACGGGCTGTACCTAGCTCAACGCCCGCCAGATCACTGCACTTCGTTGAGATCTCCAAAAGATGTTATACTCGCCAAGGCTCAGCATTCCTAAAGCTGCGAGTGCTGCTCAGATACGAAAGGGGTGGGCCTTGCTGTGAGAACACAGACTCTCTTGAGTCTCTTGAGCTCTATGTCAACAGCGGCGCAGGTACTACAAGGCCGCACTAAAGTGGCATCCCGACAAGAATCAGGGTCACGCATCTAGTTTTTTCAGCGTTCTCACGAGAAACCGGCTGACAGCCCTAAACCAACACAGTTGCGTGAGGTTGCAAGGAAGCTACGCTGAAGTTTCAGGCCCTTGGCGAAGTGTTTGGCACCTAGAATCGCCAGCTGGTGTGCCGGCGCGCGAATGAAAATTGATTGCTAAAGGCATCGCATCTTAAGTGACCCTGATCTGCGTGCCGAATACGTCCGGGCCGAAGTCCGAAGTTGCGTCAGCAATACATACTTTGCTGTTTGCTCCCTTGCAGCCTGTTTTGCTTGATGGGCGTTGCAGCTTCGCGGCACTTTCCGCACCTGCAACCATGCCTTGGCTTGGTGACGGTCGCGTGCGCGCGTGTGTTCTTTGTCACCGGATCATAGATAACACTTACCTCATCAGCACGTCACGGCAAGCTTGGCAAATGTTTGAGGATGCAACCGGCTGCTGCCCAAGCGAGTACGGGCTGGAAACTTACCAGGACAATGGACTGAACAAATTGTCCAAGTGAAGTTGAACGGCATAGAAACATTGACGTTGAGTGGCAAGGCTTGAGACTGATTGGTCTTGGCCTCGGCTCCACAGTTAAAACTTGCTTCAGGCAGAGTGACTGGGCAATGTCAGCATGCAAGGCGAAGTTATTTCACAAGATTGTTCAAACCAGTCCAGCCCTGAGTTGTGAGATGCGGGTCATTCCTGAAGAGCGTACACAGCGTGGCTCATGCGGAGGTAACAAAGGAGCGCCTCCACCAGTTTGAGAGGGAGTACGTGTGCGGCTTAGGAATGCTTGGAGCGAAACTTTGGAGTTTGACACTCGAAGGGTTTGATCAGAGGTCGGCTCCAGCGAGGAGAGAGGTGACGTTCTCCGCTGTGGCCTCATACAGAGCGCGTACTGTACGTCACCTCTAGCTGCACCACACTTGGTGGTTGTGTAAGGGCCATAACCCCATAAACACCCCTGCGCCACCTCGGATAGCCATGAGTCCATAAACACCCCGTGAACCATGCTCGGAAGCTGTTGTTGTGAATGTGCCGCCGCGGCCGGTGACAACAAGATCACACCTAAGTTCTACGCAAAGGTGCCTACGTTGAGGGGAATGGGGACATAGGCTACATTGTGGACAATGTAATGCGCGTGCCTTGGACAAATCTGTTCGAGTTGCAAAAATGACTGGAAACCTGTATCGGGCTCTGGCCTACTGCCTTGCAAAGTGTTGCAAAGAGTTGCCAAGAGTTGCCGAGGCTTGCAAACGAGGGTGATGCGGGGCGATTCGAAGATCTAGCCGCTCCCTTAATTGCAGTGCAAGTCTGTTTCTCTCAAAGCTGTGCTTCAGCGGCATGTGCTTCTGTGTGTCTCAAACGAGGCTGCGCATGCAAACGGTCTTGGAGCAGCTGAGTGGCTTGTTCGGTAAGAGACGGGCCACTTTCCGAGGTCCTTGAAGCAATCGAAGCTGGTGAGGCATGGACTCGATACAGAACTCTTGAGGGGATCATTCTGCTTTCCGCTTCTGCTGTCCCGCTTTCGTGATCAGAGGTCGTCGGCTTACCGGGCCTCAAAAGATCTGCTTCGACCTCGGCTACAGCCCGTTTACTGGCACAAGGTTTGGAGTGCAAGCCTAGACCGGAGCCGGAGAATAAGCATACTGCCTCACAGTTACATTTGACAGGGCTTGGAAGGTCCGAGCTACAGGCGATTTGTGCTCGTCAAGGCGAGCATATAGGTTGACTTCAGCTTTGCCCCGCGCACCGAGGGCCGGGGTACTGCCCAGGCAAAGAAGAGGTCGACTGCAAGTTTGAATTTCCGGAACTTTTTCGATGCAGTGTCAAGTGTCAAGTTTGGTCTCCTGCGAGGCAGCGCAAAGCGGCCAAGGAAGCCGCGGAGGATTGTCCTACATGTGGTGTGAATCCAGTCGAAGCTATCTCTTCCGAGCTCATGCCATCGGATTGCAGAGGCAACGCGGACAACAGCAACAGAGCGCAGCACCAGCCATGGCCTGATTTTGCTAAATGCCCTTGCAGTCCTCGGGTCTGGAGCACGGGAACTCGCTCTTGAATGCTGCGGAGTATCATAAGTTGTACTGCAGTACGACTGAACAGAGCCTTTCACTTCGAGAGCTACCGTAAGGCGACTTGGCAAACGCCATCCGTGCTCGCCAGCAGGAATGCAAGGGCTCATGCTCGGTGTGGGTGTGCAGTTTCAGGGCCATGCAGGTTGGTTGACATCTTGCTCACTTGCACTCAAGAAACATGTTATGTTGATTGCAAGCTGCAGGAGAGGTCTTCCGGTTTCCTTGCGCAGCTGGAAGATAGGCCGGCAAGCGCAAGTGTGTGAAGAACATAGATGAAGCGGCAAAAGCGCAAAGTCGCTCAGGTACAGCTCTAGCGCCAAACGGCCACGGACAGCCAAGAAGCGACCAGCGGCAGCAAGATAGCGCAAACGCTGATCACGGTTGGCACGTGCCTGGAGTTCCTGTATAAGGTCTTACCGATTGCCTAGCGGGTTCCTATCGCCCTTGAATTATGCAGCATGCTGCATACGTATTGATATTGATACTACTATCAATATCACATACACACAGATATATATATATATATATATATGTATATATATATATGTACGCATGTATGTGTCTATATTGTACACACATACATGCATTTGCCTCATGAGCCTACTTTTCCCTGTTCAAGATGGATCTGTGTGCATGTGATTTGGCCCAATTACAACCCCAGCCTAATTGACACGGAAACGCATAATGTTAATGGGATCTGGTGATGTATAGATTGGCGCCCGAATTCAGATCAGCTCAACATCTCAATCAAGTACTAAAGTAAATGCGAACTAGATTCTCCCAGGACAGAATTGCCTTACGTTTGTCCGGACAGTTCATCAACGAAGCCACCATGCCCCTCTCAGGCCTACGGTGCTCATCAATCAGAAAACGATCGAGCCGTGAAGTAATCAGCTCTCTACCTGCGGGATGGTTAGGTGTCCGTGTGACCATAGGTTTCAGCTTTTGTAGGTGGCCCACATTTCATTAAACCGTTAAGCCGCTGAACCAATCAGTCCTGCCCAAGCAGTCAGGCTGCCTAAGCCACTATATTATATGTGTATGTATATATATATATATATATATGCTGATATGTAAGCCATATCTGTATCAACATCTAGTTACAGAGTTAGAATCAGAGCACTTGGCTCGTGGATTAGGTTGAGGGCTCGAATGGCGATGATGTCCTTCAAGCAGACCATCCACCCTGTTTTGGGTAAATAGGGCAAGAGCCAAACAGTCACCTCCGCTTGGCAGTGCTCCTTGTCTTGATGCATCTTTGCCGCACCACAATTCTGGGTTCGACAACAGTGCACGATTAATTCGGTGCAAGTTCATGACATCATTGCATGGCATATTCCAGTAACCCATCATTTGACTGACTGCCATGTTCTTAGCGATGTGTGTTGGGGCGTTTTAGGGACAACCATGTTAGAGAAAACCATGGCAGGTAGAGAGCTTTTGTATGACCCCGCATGGTATCCGCATCTGCTCAACCTATGCTGAAAGAATCTGAAAAATGGGCTGATTGGGTTCCATGAGCCGAGCTGCCGAACGTAGCCTTCTGGACCAACTTGGTCAGGCCCGCCGTTACCCGTTAGTCGGCAGAACTCGCAAACCGCGCCCTTGAAAGCACATCTGCGTCAAGAGCGGCCAGCCATGAGCTCCTTGCCAGGACGCCGAGCTCTCATATGCGCTGGCTATCATCACGCACGCAAGGCCTTTGAATTGATCGGTCTCTTTTGGTTGGCTTCGTCTTTGCAGTTTGCCAGCACCTTCATTGAGGCCGGGCACCCGTTGCTACGAACTTCGCCAGCGCCTTGCAGGAGGAGCCACTACCGTCGGAAGACACGTGGCCAAGCATCTTTACGTCCTGCCGGGCGCAGGCGCTCATGGCAGACACGTCACATTGCTGGCTCCGGACAACAGTGCAATTGAGAGATTGGTCAAGGTCGGCTGGGAGTTGTGGAGCATTCTGGATGTTCCATCGTTCGCTAACTTTCTGTCGCCTCTGGTTGTGCACTGAACCTTGGCAGGCCAAGAGGATGACGCCCGAGGTCTTCTGTCGGCTGCCAGATGCGCGCTGCCTGTGATTCCAACTATCGTTGCGTCCATGCTGCCAGACACATTCAGCTTGTGGTGTGCAGGCAGCCGAGCTCATGGCGGGGCATGCTGCCCGAAGCTCAAGACCCCGTAGATATGTGCAGGAGGATTCAGAGAGATGTAGTGTCTAAATGTAGAAAGTAGAGAGACATGTAGACGAGATTGCCTATCGCTACAGCACGGACAAATTCTCCGAGTCCCGGGCCAACGCCCCCGATATTCTCATGTTTGATGAGATGTTTTCCTGTCCGTATGTTTTTTCACGTTGGAAGTACTTATACGTTGTACTTGGGTTGTACTTGCGTTGTACTTGCATTGTGAAAGTACCTGCGTTGCACCGAGCCGTTGAAAGGTGGAGGAGCGCTGGCCGCTCGCGGCGCTGCGGATGCTCGGGGCTCCCCTGGAGCGCTCTCTGCATCTGCAGAGTGCTGTGCTACGGCCAAGCCGAGTCAAGCCTAGGGCCAGAGAAGGGGTCCAGAGAGGGGGCATGAGGGGTTTGGTCCGGAGCTTGGCAGTTGGCGGTAGTTCTCAGACGCGGTCCAGTCGTGGTCCAGTGGAAAATAGCGGGTCCCACAGCGGCTTTCGGAACTTCATCGGGGGTCAATCCATGAAGGGTTACCAGATGGCGGGTCGGGGCCATGAGTTAGCAGGGCCCTTGCCCATGCTTGGCAGCAATGCTACATCCCTATACTCTTCCTGTAGAATAATAAAGGCTTCAACCCAACGTGCCCCAGAGCATCGTCACAGGAAGTTCCTAACCGCTAGGTTCAAACTATGGTACCTCCCAGGCATCTTTGATGTATTCTGGCATCCATGAGACCCTCATTCTCTCAACAGGAGACCCTCCGTGGTGCGAACATGACGATGGCATTCCTGCTCCGTCCTCGAGTGCAGGATCAAAAGTCGGACGCATGGGCCACACGTGGCAATACATTCTTCCTTCTTCCCTTTCTTCCCCTCCCCCGCCTCGGGTTCCCGAAGCTGCTGTCTTGATATGTCTTGACTGGGGGAGCTTCTTTGAGTGCGGGCATCTTGTAGAAGGAGCGACTGCTGCCCGATTTTGTTATCCGGATTTTTGGGAAAATCTCTCAGGGCTTCGTCTTTGACTAAGCAAATGAGGGGCGTGAGTTCCGGGATTTGGGTGTGTTTTTTAACTCTACATGGCAAGTCAATGCCAAGAGATGCTAGCAACGGTGGCTGTGTCCCGTGCAAAGTCTGGTCCGGATGCTAGTACATGCTTTTACTCTGATGCTGGTGCATGCTGGCGCAAAAAGCATGAGCAGCAGGAAGCAGATGAGGAGTTTCTATGCGGTTGAGCATAATATAGCAAAATTGTGAGGCCCAGTGGCGACCGACGGGTGGCTGTGAAACTGGCCAGCTCTGGAGAGCTGCGAGCTTAGGGCTCCCGAGCTCGTGAATGCGCAGTGCAGTGAGCAGTCGTGGGGAAGTATGTCTGAAGTCATCCGCTTGCCAGTCGGCCCGTGGTACTCCGTGGTGACGTCGCCTGCCGAAACGGCCTCCTGCACAAGATAGGGTCTGCCTGCCGGTAACAGCAAAATGACGACACTTCTTGCGCAGTCCAATGTTAGCTGCGCCGTCTCCTGCAGGAAGATGCTGGTGCCTGCAGCTGTCAATAGGTGGCAGAGCAGCACCAGCGCTGCCCCCCAGAACATACTCAGCCGGCGCATCCAGTGCAAGCCTACGCCCGTGTGATGCTGTATTGAGAGTTAATAATAGTCGTGCGCGTGCTCCAGGTTTGGCAGATATCCGTCAGAGGGCTTTTGACTCAAAGCAGGAGATGCTGAAGGCACGATGCACGATTGACACGATATGAACTCGGTACTGACATGTACTGAGAATTACCGGCGGAAGGATCGGGTGCAGATGAACAGTGCTCGACTCAGGGGTTCTAACAACCCAACGCAGGGACAAATGATGGAGTGTTCAGGCAAAATTGGCGCAGTGAGGCATCCTGGACCAGTAAACAAGGCAGGGGTTTATTTTGTCCTAATGCCGGAAAATGGCAGCGGGCAATCGTGTGTGCTATTGTGTGCCACAGGCCATCGAAAAGCGCCGAACTGCCGGCAGCTGAATTGGCTGCGGTGACTGCGTGCTGAGCATCACTTGGAGCTTCCGGAACCTGGGCTGAGGCATTCGCGTTGTTCGACCGCGAACGACCAGAAGCCTTCGCTCCGCTCTATGGTACCGACTACGTTGCTTGGTAGGATTTCTGCAGCATCTGAGTTGCTCGCTTAGACGTCGCTTTCAGCTTTGTCAGAGATGTTGTCGAGTTAAGATCAAACACCACTCCAAGGAACCAAGAATCTACACAGGCACGTGGGTTGCATGTGGGTGCACCCCTTGAGGAGCTCTCTACTCACTGCTTCGAGAATGGCAGGTGTCAAGGAGCTACCGGAGCACAGGGACAGATCTCGACTGAGGAGCCATGACCAGGCAGAACTCTTGAACAATCTTGCACAATGCTGAAGATTTGTTCACGATGTGGCAAGTACATGCAGTCGATTGCGCTTGTGCCGCGGCCAGGATATGGGTCCAGACAAGACGCAGCCCTCAATGCCACCGACGCTGGAAGAGGTTTGGGAGGAGACACGAACAACTGAGACAATGTGAGAGATAAGGACTGTGACAATGGAGAAAGTGAACAGTAAGTGAACAGTGTGTCGAATGGTGTCAGTGGATAGATTCGCGATGGGCAAGGAGTGGGAGCCGCTCCGGCGAGAAGAGCTGAAGCTGAGTGCGGAGTACAGGGCAAAGACACCACAAAGACGCGACATGTAAACCTATGCCTTAACTGTGCTATAGCTGTACACAGTTATGGCATATCTTTGCGGCCATGCCTGTGGCAGCATGACGCCCAAGGCTAAAGCAGTTCCGTGAGCACCTCGACTCGCAGGAGGCATGTAGCTGCCACAATATAGCTGTAGCCAAGCATGCTATAGCATGTCGACCTGCTGACTTGCCGAGTAAATTCAGGGTTCCTGTTGCCTGTTGCGACATGTTGTGTTCATGGCATATTGTGATGTCGATGCTGCAAATCTTGATTTGATCAGAGCGCAGCCTTCGTGACTCATGGCCTTGCAGATTGCATTCCAGCCTCGACATGTGACTCTGTGGTGCCTTGGGCCACAGGCCGTTTTCGCGGAGCATGCCGCCTTTGTTCGCGAAGCATGGGGCTTGGGCAAAGTGATGCTGTCCTTCGCACGACTTTGCACTTGAAGTTAGCACGAAGGTGATTCCAGGGGCAAGGCTGTCATGGACACAGGCGCCTCAACAAGCCATTATGACGGTGCAACTGTTCAGTGCGACCCTTGGCAGAAGAGTCTGGAAGAGTGGCATAACATGACTGAGCATGGCAAAAGGTGAATCTGATTGTCAGCAGGACACTCAGAGTTTTGATGCGTGGAATCCCCGGACCGTCCGTCCTTTGATACACTAATTTGTGCGCGAAACGCAACTAGTCGCGTAACACGGCACACCGGCATATTTTGCCGATAGCGGCACAACACAGCCCGCAAAACGAGCGCATGAATGCGCAAACCAAGCACGTATCCCCCCGCAAACGAGCGCAAACTGACACTGCACATGTTCGAATGCAAATCAGTGTATCAAAGGAAGGTCCAGGTCTCCGAGAGGGTGGAATGTCAACGCAGCTGCTCTGCCGCGAGAATTGTCCAGGCTGGTGCGATCCAGTCTATCTCGACATGATCCGTTGCTAGTTGAAACAGAGGCAAGGGATGCACGACTCACCCTTTTTGCAGTCTTGAAGTCGCTGCGTAGAGGTTCTTGGTGGTGCTGTGCAATAAGTTCTTGGCAAATCACAGGTGATTTTAGCTTTTTCAGGTCCAGGTGGGTGGACGGACGATTCCGGCTCAAAGCCGCCTCTGCGATGCTCCGTCCGTAGCTTCCGGAGCGACGAATTCGACAGTGAGCTTGAATGAATGTGAATGAATTTGGGCCATTTTGGGCGTTGGCTCAGTCAGGTCCCGTCGAGCGCTCGACTACCGACAACGCTGACTGTAGCGGTGCAGCTGCCTCGACATTTCTCGGCAATGCCTCAGCCATACGCAACGGAGCTCAGCGCAGACGAGGCCTGAAGCCATGCCGGGTGGTTCTGCGTTTCCGATGTGGAAGGCGACCGGCTCTCGTAGCCAGATCGCAACGTACCTGCGGGTATCTACCGCAGCAACGAATACGTATAATCAAGTCCATTGACCAAGCTCTCGCCCTCACCTCCTTGAAGAAAGCACGCTTTAGTTTTCCGCAGCCCTGCCCGCTTGGCGAATGTGAGGCAGGTGTTACAAGCGTATAAGATTTGCTAACTGTCCTGGGCTCGTGTGAATCTACGAACGGAAACGCAGCAGGTTGAATCACAATTAGACTATACGCCCTTGACTTGTTTCTGTTTGTGCGAAGGCACCCGTTGAGTCCATTTCGAAAGCTCCGGAGACGAGCAAGCGCTGGAGCCCGGAGTGAAATCTCACAGGCCTCATTTCCATTGAAGCGCGTTTCTCTTAAATACAACCCTGTCAATAAGTATGCTTTTGTAGCATCTTGTAGAAGTGTAATTGGGCTCCAGGGGTGAGACGTGCTCTCCGATATTTCTGCATCCTGTTTTGCGTATCCTGTGGCCTGTGGCGTTCTTTTTGGTGTGTTGAGTCTTGCAAGCTTTGGAGTGCTGGCGGAAGGAATGTGCGAAACACGGCGCGCATCTGTCGTGAAAACTAGAATGACAAAAGCTGCTTATGTAAATGCATAGGTCTTGCATTTGGTTGGATAAGTGTTTGAGGCCGCACCTTGAAGTCGGAGACCTTGACTCGTTGACAAACGCGCGATTGGCCTCGAGTGACCTGTGGCCCGCATGCGGGCCCACTTGCTAAGAACAGCTCCAAGGCCAGCTTGTTGCTGGAACAAGTTGCGGATGCCTTGTTGTGCTGCCCCTATCTGCTGGTTGCTGCGGGGCCTTGGGACGCTCACGGAGTTTTGGTGAGATGCATCTCTGACTGCAAGCCATTTTTGCTCTCCAGACCTTGTCAGATCATCGAGGATGCTACTGTTGGGCAAGCCATGTGAGGACGACAATGCTCTGGTCGCACGGGCAGCGGTAGAGGCCACGCGGTGCACGACACGCGGGACAGGATTTCGCTTCCCGAATGCCCGTCGAAATGCAATTTCTGCACCTGGTACAAGCAGCACGACCAGCACATGTCCACCATGCCTATCAGACGGGCAGAGCAAGCCATTTGCCATGACGAAGCCTATGCAGCCTGTTCAGCAAGTGCTGCCTGGACCGGATGAGGAATGGCAGCCACCTCTTGACCATCCTGAGTATTGTGAGACTTGGAACATTCCCATCACTCCCATGATTCCCATGAATCTCGTGGAGTCTTCAGCTCCTACACTGATGAGAGCAGCTGCTGCGCAAGTCCACAGCACTGCGTTGCAGCCAGAACTGCGATCCCAAGGTCCCGGAAACCAAGAACATGGCCAGTATGCCCTTCCGTGGCAGAATGCGGACAATGCCGACAAGCCTGCCTCCTTCAAGTCATACCCCTCCCCCACTTCACTCCCCGCTTCGACACGAACCTTGGCTCATTCTTTGCTCATTTTGCTCAATGTTCTTGACATCGTCTGCAGGCATTGTCGGCAGTAGCCATCAGGTTGCACAGAATGAGTTTGTGAGCCCAGGTACTGAAGGCCAGCTCTCCCAGTCTGCTCGCGCGGAACGCACGGAACACACGAAATATGGGAAGACCCCAAGCACGGCAAGTTCCATGCACATGGAGGCCATGGAGGCTATGGAGGCCAGAAACTCTCGGTCAAGATGGACACACATGCAGTCTCTTTCGAGCCACAGCCTGCGGAACCTGCGCAACGGAAGCCGGTTCTCTGCCAACAAGGTGCTTGAACGAACCCCTTTGATGCAAGCAGCAATGGCCGGCGTGATCTCTGATGTGGAAGAGCTGTTGACAAGTTTGACATCTCACCTGGATCTGCAGGATGATATGGGCATGACTGCCCTGATGTGGGCCGCCTGCTCGGCGGTATATCCACCCTCCAAGCCCCAGAGTTTTATTGGAGTTATGCAAATGCTGCTGGATGCCAAAGCCTCGGTGAACATGGAGGACGACAACGGAGTCTCAGCACTCATGCACACGCTCTCGGGACGGCTTGGCATTCTCAACGATCCGCTTCAGCAGCAGGAGGTCGAGGACTGCAGGCTGCGAACCATCAAGCTGCTCTTGGAGAGACGCCGCGCGGACTCAACGCGCTTGAACACGTTTGATCACCGGATGCCAGTGCACGACTTGTTGAGTGTCATCATGTGTCATCGCGCCGCGCGCATCCGCAAGGCCCGGGCAACACAGGGCGCGAGCAACCATCCAATTCAATTTCGCGGCCACATGCAGCAAGCACTACACTGCACTTGTGACTGTACTGTGCTTTCCTTTCAGGAATCAGGAGTTTTCGGGCGGCTTCGTCCCTGCCCTCCTTTCAGTTACGGTGCTTTTGCTACTTGAGACGTCCTGCCTTCAAGAGCCCACAGGGGCCCATAGTGGAAAGGCACAGAACATCAACAATGTGGGGTGGTGGGTTAACTGTTTGTGTGCATATGGCTGTTATTGGTGAGTGTGATTGTGGTTCCGTACAAAGGTATTGGCGAGTGCAAATACTGGGTGTGCTTCTTGGGATACTCGCAAGAACCCTACCCCATACCGGGCAATCACGGGCAATCCCTCATGCCCCCAGCCTCGACCAATGCCTCCAAAACTTCGACGAGAAGCACAAGCCCAACAATCATGATGTAAGCTCTGGCCCGGGACCCCTCGCAGCAAAAGCTTGAAGAAGAAGCTAACTCTCTGTATATGTCTCTGTATGTGCAAAGAAAAATATATACATATATATATATATATAACATACATGTTTGGTTTAGAGCCGTCCAAGTTTGCGTCACATGGCGTCGTCCTATCAGGTGTTTGCAAGCTTTTCCTTGTGAAGGAAAGCCGGAAACAGACAGCATCCTGCAAAACTATTGAGGGAACCGTACTTGTCATGTTGTGCTATCTTCAATAAACGGAATGGTATTTCAGGATAACATAGACGACATGGACCGTTCCAGCCCATCGGATATGGATGACTTCCCACTTTTACAAAGGCGGAACGGATGATTTCCTGTCAAAAGTATCTCAAGATTTGACATCTATGGTCTATGGCATTAGAATTGTGGCTTTCCAGGTGCACTCCCAGGAATGGTAACAAAATGCACAAACAAACTCTCCGCCCGAACCGAATCACAACCAGAGCACTTTTTCGGATTTTTCGCGAGGAGTCTTGGGCACAAACTGGCCACCCGCTCAATCTAGAATGTAGCCTAGAGTTGAAGCTTGCTTTTCGTGGATCCAGGATGATGAGCAGAAGGGGTCAGAAGGAAGTTTGTCTGGGGTCGGGCCGAAACCAAGGGGCCCGACATAACCGAGTCCAAAACCTTAGGAGGGGTAGCCGAATCTGCCCAAGTTCCTGAAAGTAGATGAGAGTGCGGGGGATGGAGCAACGATGACCCTGGAGATGGGGGTAAGTCGGTCATTGATGGCCATGGCTGAGTGTTTCCAAACGCCAGTCAGTTCTTTCAGTTCCCAACAGCTAATGTTTCAACACCGGGATGCGCGGTCGCCTAGGAGCTGACCCAAACCACAGCTCTGCGGATGGCTTGACGCCTCTTATGCTGACAGCTACTTGCGGCACCACAACCGAAGTGCAGTTGCTTCTTGGAGCTCGGGCAAACATGGAAGTCAAGGACGTTGTGCCGAGTTGTCTTCTCCAGATAGTTTAGAGCGTCACACAGTCACACAGCCATTGTCATGCGAGTGGGTGCTTGCTGACGAGCAGGATCAGCATGGTTGGACAGCATACCTCTGGGCGGCAAGCGAGGGACGTCTGGACGTGATCCGCTGTTTGAGTCGTGCCGGAGCAAAAGTTACGCCAGCAGACCGCCGCTCGGCCATGAACCGCACGGGCTGACCGGAAACCTGTGGTGCCGGCAAGGGCATGTGGTTCAGATGTGTAACCGCCAGGTGCAAAGCTCAGTTACCAGAGTTGCATGACAAGTCCTTTGAGGTCCTTTGTGGGAGGAGGCTCTACGAGAAGTGACGACTGAGCAAACCGCTCAATCACAGAGGGCATTCGCCCTACAAGCCTGCCTTGCCGAAGCATGAACGAATTGAATGCCAGGTAGTAAATCCGATGTTCCTTCGGAAACAACTTCGTGGCCTGAGGCCGCCCCCTGAATTTGTGTGCTCTGCTCCTCACTTGATGCCACCGGTGCCCCGCTCCCCTATTGGCAGCTAAGCCAGCTAAGCACTTTATCCTCCGAGAGTCCAACGAGATCGACGTCCACATTGTCACATGCACCCCGAAAAGAAGAGCTGCTGCCAGTTTTGGGTACCTGTTTGGTAGCTTGTCGGCTTCAGTGGAGCCATGCAGATTCGACCAAGTTGGCTGCATTCTGCACGCCATAATTCAGTTAGCCTAGAGCTGCATCTGTCGCAAGACCAGTTGCAAAATCAGGCTCGGTGTTTCCATTGTGATCCATGATCTTCGAGTGCTCATGCAACATGTAGCGCAGACTTGAGGTCCTCGGAGACGGTGGGGGAGCCCGGCATGCAGCTGGAGAAGCTGTGTTCAGGCATCGCCGGACAGGCGGGATGCTGCTCAGCATGAGGATGTGCGATGGGATGTGGGGTGACGTGAATCCACAGAAGCCGCTCAGGACGAATCTGCAAGTCTGGGAGCCGTGCTGGCCTGGTTGGAAAGCCACGGCGTGCAATGGGGTCCAGGTCTCGGGAGCTAAGCCAGGGCCACGCAGCTAGGTGAAATTGTTTAAGGTTTGGGTCGAGACTGGACCCTTGCTAAGAAGTTGGCAATCCATTCCCATTCTGGCCTTGTCCAGGCACCAAAGCCGTTCCCGACTTTTTGAGGAACGTTTGACCACCCCCCATACGCATCCATGTAGCAACGAATTTGGCATTGCTCAGAGGTCTGCATCAGCGTTGGAGCTTCGCAAGATTCTTCGAGGCCAAAGCACAAAAGCGAACAGCACAGCATACACAGCATACACAGCATACACGCATGTACTATCAGCGTATGCTTTCAGCGTCTGCTTTCAGCTCCGTGAGCGGCAGCAGAGGCAGCGGAGGCAGCCGCCGCTCCCGGCAAGGAAGGTGCGCGTGATGTTGTGGTGCAACTCGCACACGGCAACAGGGTAAGGTCGGGTAGGGGTCACAGTTGGCTTCAGGCATATCTCCAGAGGAGAATCTGCAGGCACCTCCCTTTCGTACGATTACGAGCGTGGGATTTTGCAGCGGTAGTGGCAGTTTGCTGCTCACCCGTCCGAGGAATCCGAGCTGACGGATTTGTTCCGGCTTCGCATAAAGAAGAAGTCCCTTGCCGCCTTCTTGAACATGCCGAAGCTGCCGGAGGACAGTCTCCTCGTTACAACACAATCGCCTGCAACCGTCAAAGACAGTGACAGCGCAGCGCTCAGCACACCGGATGGTCGTTCATAGCTGCCGGCAGCCGCCTGCACACTGCTGTCAACGCTTCTCTTCTTCTGTGAACGGGACATTGACTGTTCATAGAGCAGGGCCACCACTTGCCAGCAAGGTTTTCGTATGTCGCGGCAAGTAGGATTCAGTGAGGAAACTTTTTTGTATACTAATCCAGTAGGATTCAGTGCGGAAGGAAGATTGTTCGTATGCCTAAATGATGAGACTGCGACACCTTATGCTCATCATTTAGGCCAGGCATATGAAGATCTCCCTCACTGAATCCTGGTTTAGGCATACGAAATTCTTCCTCGCTGAATCCTACTGGTATAAGCAGAGCATACGAAAAAGCTTCCGCACTGCATCCTACCGGTTTAGGCATTTTTCATCTCAGCATTCCCAGTTTCATGATGGCGAAGCCGATAAAAAACAACACTCCCGGTCTGCTGTGGGAAAGAGCTTTCTGTCCAGGCCTTGACTTGCAAGATGCAATGGAGATTGTTTTGTGATAGCCATGCGCTGTCGGACAGTCATCCAGACGTTCGTTGGTACGGCTCTTCTTTGCAGTTGGCAGGAGCATCATGAGCTCCAGTCATTCGTGGGCCACTTGCACCCTGCTTATTGCTGTTGTGAAATCTTGTGAAGCTTTGTGCGTCGAAACACGCGAGCTTCTCAGGCGGCATCTTGCAGCTGATCTGCGAACAGGCCTCTTGCTATGACTATGCGCAGGGCATCGCAGGGCTGGAGTAGCTGGCGATTCTGTCTGGAAAAGTGACAAGCGAGAGGCAAGCCAACTCAGCGTCTGGAGCAGGAGGCTGAAGCCCATTTTCCGAACATGACCTTCTCCTGACAGCATGACTTGTCCACGGTTTGGGGATGTTTCGGCCCACAACAGTTTCCAGGTGAAGTCTCAGTCGGCCGAGCTAGAGGTCCTCAGAGGAAGGTTGGAGGTCATGGAGTGCGCAGCTCAGACGCGTGAGAATGTCTGGGTTGAGCAAGCAGAAATGTTTTTTTAGGGAGTTCGAGCAAGTTTGCGCAGGTCCAGCCTGCCAACCCCGTGGTCACCGCCCGTCGCCACGTGGCAGGCCCACAGCTGCCGGTTTCATGTGTTCTACAAACAGCCTTGGTAAGAGCACATCAGTCAGATTTAGCATTCTTGTGACTCTAGCAGGTCTAGCGTTCATGTGGGCCCATGTGAGTTCTCGTAGCGGCTGACACATCTGCCAGATGATTATGCACGAATTGACCTTTGCTCTGTGATCACACTGCGCGTCCAACGCAGTTGAGTCATCGTCAGGAGCTACTTGGCACCCCACCTCCACCTCTGTCGCCTGAGGCTGCGCACGTCACAGGTTGCAGAAATGGGAAAGACCTTGGCCTTCTTGGGTTGAGGAGTTGCTGCCAATGGTTCACGAGATGCTGGCAGATGCCCCGACCTTTTTTGCTCGCATCGTTGGAAGTCACTGGGAGTATCGGCATGATTGTTTGATGTGTCCTTCCCTGTGCGAGGCCAGGACAAAGGCTGGGCTGGGACCGAGAAGCATCGCTCGCTGGTGTTCTGTAGTCGCAGAGGCTATGCAACGCTCAGAGCAAGCAGCCCTGGCTGCAGAGGTACCTTGGAGGTATTCAGAGATCCTGTGGTTCCTTGCATGTATCTGCATGTAATGTCAATCCCAAGTCGGAGAAGTCGCAGTGAGGCCTTGAGGGCCAGTGCGGACAATAAATCCCGCCAAGTCAGTGGCTTACCATATGTCGAGCTCCACTGAGTGCAATGATTGAGCCAACGTTCGCAGTACCTCCAGACAATTGTACCGTCTTACTAAAGGTCATCTGGGCAGAATCAAAGGCATTCATCGACCACAATCTCGCAGTTCTGTTTTGCTCGGCCTCGCAGATTCCAGCAAAAGTTGTTGCTGCGTGAGGCGGCTGCCAAAGAAGCAGAATCAGAAGTCCTGCAGGCAGAGCTCCAGGAGCAGGCACTTTGGCAACATGCGGCAAGAGCAGAATGACCATTCAGTCAGCAGGACAAGTCGAGTCTTTTGGCGAATTTATGAGCTAGATGCTGCTAGCGGAGTGAGCTACATGAAAAAGATATTCGAAGCCACTGGGTCTTGCTGGTCTTGGCTTGGTTGAAGATGCGGATCAATCACACACATCCCCACCTCAGTGGTTTATTTTGTAAATCTCAGAGTACTTCGACAAAATTAGACAGTCTGGCGTCTGGTGCTCAGAAGGCATTCTGGGATGAACGAACTGTCTTGTCCTGCTGCTTCCTCGTTCTCCGCGCTTCCTCCTTCACGAAGTCACTGTATCGTCATCACTCAGATCCGGCAGCATCAACCACAACGACCCTTGTAGAAGTGGCGAGCGATGCGCGCGCGAGAGATCATGAGAGCATGCGCCGCAGCACTCTCCCAATCCCTTCGGGGCCTCGAGCCACCAGCACGGTGCAGTGCAGCACCACGGGCAGCGTCATTGATTGAGGTTACGACATCGAGCCTCCTCGCCGAGTCCGCATCCAGAGGGTGGCCTCGAAGGAGATCCTTGTCATGGTTGGGCACCCAGTGGACAGCCACGCACCAACCACGGCGTTCAAGTTCACGGCGAGCATCAAGAGTACGCTTGCAACATCGGCGCTCAGCAAATGCACGCGTCGCGGCCTTGAATTCCAGAAGGATGGTCAGCGTGGCCACCGCAGACAACTGCAGCGAAGCCAACATCACGCAGCAGAGGCCATCTACTTCGGCGCGGTGCGGCGGTTGGTCCTCGCCATCTACCCCCCTGGAGTGCGTCGGCGAAGTGCCCTCAATCACCACGGCGAATGCAGCAACAGTTGAAATCTCAGAGCCATCGGTGCCAAGGAACCCACGTGCCAGCAGAACCCAGATCGCGACCACCGACGCAGCCAAACAGTTGACAGGGGCATTGACAGCGGCATGTAAGTGGATAGTCCGGGTGCGCTGCCACGCCAAGTGGGGACGTGACGGAGTCATCAGCCCGCACAAGCATCGGACATCACCTCGAGCATTGTGCTTGTTCTTGTGAAGCCAAGCAGAACATCCAGTTGCAAGGCATGATTGGCGTGTGACAGCATCCCTCTCATCATAACATCCCTGTGACCTTTAAAAATGCATAGGGCGTTGGCGGGGATGCCCGGTAGCAGAGCCCCTTGCGCCAACCCATCTCCCTCACAACGGTGCAGCGATCGAAAGGTCCTGCCGCACTGGTCCAACACCTCACGTCGGTGCCAGTCGCGAAGCAAACTAATTAAAGAGGACCTCGGCACCCAACGTTAATCTGGAATACGCGGACCTGTCACGTCGGCATATGCGATTTGCCCCAGCATCCATCCACCATCCGAGCTCACCGAGAATCTGAGAAAGACGGCAACCAAGGGGGAGCACAGCATGCCATTGGCGCAGCTTGGCGCAGCGCAACTTTGACCGGAGCCGAGTCCTGCCAAGGACGGTCCCGGCCCGCCATCCCAATTGCTCCAAAAAGAGCGGCGGCGGCGCATCAGCCTGTGGGTTGAACAACATCAGCACACAGGGCCGCCGCAGTGGCCGGTGGCACTGAGGCATAAGCACCCGCGTGAGCATGGGCGAACCATCCAATGCCGAGGCCACCGTCCGCATCAAGCACAAACCCAGCCTGCTGAGGTGCCACACCGGGGTCGAAGGCAATGGTCACGCCCAGCACGTCGTCCTGTGCGACCAGCATGTAGAGAGCCTACATGAATCATTCATGCCTAGCTTGATCTAGGATCTTGTATCTGGTAGCTGATGCGGAGCAGCTGGTTTCAAGACCACGCAGACTGTGTGCTCAGCAGTCGCAATGCCGTCTGACTCGAGAATATGCAGAGCCTGAGGCTCGACAAACTCAGCATGCTGGAGTCAGCTGGAGAGGAAACACAAGACAAGTCCGCACAAGAAACGATCGCCCTGAGCCAGAGACTTTCTGTAGCAGCCAAACGTAACAACCCTTGCCAATTCCCATGACCATACCAGGATTGTGTGAACACTGAACAGCCCAGGATCCCGCCTCACTCACTCTGGACTCGTCTTACAGTGTTGCGAGATATTAAATTGACAAGATGTTTCAAGCTTTGGAGTCGTTTCCATTCTCACAGGCGCAGCATCTTCAAGAACTCGAGATGGAGCGGATTCGAGGCAGGAGAACCATTGCTGGGCCACGTCGTGCCTCTATCGGAGCGACTCGCATGCGACGCTTGTATGACGAAGCATGGAGGCAAAAGAAGAGAAGCTGCGAAACAGACGTTTGCTGCGGAGGAGGATTGAAAGATTCCCAAAGTGTTTTCCCATGCATGCTCAACCTCTCCCGGCCTCTCCCTGCGTCAGACAGGAAACTCGACAAGCAGATGCGCTTGCACTGCAAAAAAGTGCTGCTAAGGCTGCTTGCATGGATCCCTGGACAGCCGAATGCAGCCGATATTTTAACTGGAAGATTTGCAATGCAGGTGCAGCGAATGTGGAGGCATCGCCAAGAGATGGCTCAGCGTCGAATTCGAGCAGCCCGCAACCTCAGACAGTTGGTACAATTCTGGCGTTTGGCACTTGCACTCCACTTTCCTGCGAAGCGGTGCGATCTGGCAGGTGCTGCTCCTGCAATTCTTTGTTCGACGCTGGCGACGAAAGCGGCAGCTGGCCGCTCGAAAGATCCAAGCTCGCTGGCCGGCTACTTACAGAAAAGAGGCGCATCTCTGATCTTGTCAGAAGGTCGCCGGTTTGCATTGCGTTTCCTAGGTCCGGCCTGAAGCGTGTGCCACAGAGCATGCAAGGCAGGAATGTTGATTGTGTAGGTAGGACTTGCATGTTTGTTGTCACTCCACCTAGCCAACCAAGCCCTTTTCACCCTTTTGCCCTCAAATGCTTTTAAGTGCAGGAGCTGTGAGAAGCGGTGTCTCACTGATCGGACGTGGAATTCAGTCAGCTGTCGGAAGACAAAGTGTGAAGATGTGCGAAGCTCTTCCAGACAAAGCTCTGCACCAACACCAAGAATTTCCACGCTCTGCATCGCTCTGCCGGTGCTGCCCTGGGCTTCAGTCACTCGAGACTCAAAGCGCTTCAGAGAATAGGCTGCAGAGAAGTGGAAGCTGAAATCAAGCAGGTGCCTGATTTTTTGGTGCAAGCGGTCTTCAACTTCGTACTGTACTCAACAGTACTCACAGTACTCGCAGTACTCCTAGTACTCACGGTACTCACGGTACTCACAGTACTCACTGCACTCACTGTACTCACTGTACTCACTGTCCAGCAGCTCCAGCAATGTACAGGAGGTGAACATGCGTGTGGGACGAGATTCGGTTAGAAAGTTTAGCAACACGCATGCCGCAGCCTCAGGAACAAAATGTTCTTCAGGTATGCGCCAGCTAAGCTCGCCAGAACAAAGAACAGCACAGAATCGGCGGTGATCGTAACTTGGGCATTGGGTTCAATCAGAAAAGCTCAGGTGTTCGCGGGTTTGGTATCCATGTCCTGGTGGGCGCCTGGCACGAGCCAAGAGTTGGACATGCCGTCACGGCCCAAAGATCTGGTCAACTCTTAGCGCCATTGGCCATTGGGGGAAAGCATGGGTCGTGTTATTTCCATGTGTTTCGTGAGTGCAATCAGGTGCACAAGTCTTCCATGCCCTACCGGATACTTGCAGCGCTGGGATGCCGACAGCACCTTCTGTGCCGGTGCATGTAACTCCTCGGACGCAGAGGCTGGTTGTCCAGTTAGCCTCCTAGATTCCTAGATCCTGCGATGCTGCATCCACCTTCCAGATGTGCTGCTTCAGAAAGGGCTTTGCATCACACAGCAACACTGGCCTGATTCGACTCTTTGCTGTCAAGAGGTGTAAGGGAGCACAAGATGAATGATGGTATGGGTGTGGTGGTTGTTGCTGCTGTCGCCGCTGCTGTCGCCGCTGCTGTCGCCGCTGCTGTCGCCGCTGCTGTCGCCGCTGCTGTCGCCGCTGCTGTCGCCGCTGCTGTCGCCGCTGCTGTCGCCGCTGCTGTCGCCGCTGCTGTCGCCGCTGCCGTCGCCGCTGCCGTCGCCGCTGCCGCCGCGCCGCCGCCGCCGTCGCCGCCGCCGTCGCCGCCGCCGTCGCCGCTGCCGTCGCCGCTGCTGTCGCCGCTGCTGTCGCCGCTGCTGTCGCTGCTGCTGTGGCCGCTGCTGTCGCTGCTGCTGTCGCCGCTGCTGTCGCCGCTGCTGTCGCCGCTGCTGTCGCCGCTGCTGTCGCCGCTGCTGTCGCTGTCGCTGCTTCTGCTGTGGCTGCTTCTGCCGCTGCTTCTGCCGCTGCTGCTGCCGTTGCTGCTGTCGCTGCTGCTGTCGCTGCTGCCGCTGCCGCCGCCGCTGCTGGTGGTGGTGGTGGTGTGTTGTTTGTTTGCGTTGTTGTGTGTTGGTTTCTTGGTTTCTTGGTTTCTTGGTTTCTTGGTTTCTTGGTTTCTTGGTTTCTTGGTTTCTTGGTTTCTTGGTTTCTTGGTTTCTTTGTTTGTTTTGTTTTGTTTGTATGTTTGTTTTGTTGGTTATTCTTGGTCCCTGGTTTGTTGGTGGTTGTTGATTGGTGGTTGTTGGTTGGTGGTTGGTTGGCTGTAGTTGGCTGTTATCGGCTGTTTTTTTTTAAATTGTTTTTTGTGCCGTTGGCTGCTGTTGGTTCTTTTTGGCTGTTTTTTTGTCTTTTTTTAGTTGTTGTTGGTTGTTGTTGGGCCGTTATTGGTCGTTGTTGGGCTGTTGTTTGTTTTTGTTGGCCGTTGTTGGTCGTTGTTGGCTATTGTTAGTGGTGGTTGTTGGCTGTGTCTGCGGCTGCGGCTGTGGTTGTTGGTTGCTGTTGGTCGTCGTCGGTATGAGAAATCAAACCTCCTTCTATGACTACGGCAACGCAGAGAAGCACTACTGCGACCTGTTCTGCTTGGCCAGGCTGGCGCATCGTCGCCTCTTCCACTGTTGGCCATGGACTCATACGCTCGGAACGGGGCACGGACGGAAAGGACAGAAAGGCTCCAAAGCCACGTTGAGGCGAAGCTTGGGATCTGGCAGCGTTGCGATTCTACCTCGCCGAGAATTGCTCGGCGGACCGACAGTGAATGATTGCTTTTTGCAGAACACTTACCGCTTCAAATGTTCTTGATTCGCAAGGATTGTAGATGCAGCTTCTGCTAGAACTGCTAGAAGCTCATTGACACAAGGACTCCTTGATAGAAGCCGTCCCAAGCAGGCGAGAGCACTGACAGGAGATTTGTAAGTCAGTATTTCGTTGTGCCAGAGGCGTGGTGGTGCTAATGGTCAAGCCTTCTCACATCACAGAGGGCGTGGAGCTGTTGCGGCGGACAGCCGCATTGACATGTTAGCATGTTTCCTGGGAGCACATAGGCGCAGCTGCTGCAGAAGTTTATGTGCCACAGTGTTTTACTCCGCAGGAGCTTTTTCATGAACCTGTCCAGTTCCCGTCGTCGACACTGCAACTTCAGCCCGTGTCGCCTGTCTCGATGACCGGTGTGAATGGGAGCAGCAAGTATTCACCACTGTACTGTCAATTGCATGGCGGCTGGAGTGGTGGATGCTTGCATGGCAGGAAGTGGTCGTCGGGTGCTCCGTGCGCAGCCGGAGAGTGCTTTGTGGGATTTTCGTGGGAATCGGATGGCACCAGGCGGGAGAGGCCAAACACGAGCTATTAGATGCTGCTGTGTTGCTCTGTTTGTTTGGCAAGTGGTGAGGAAACCCGTGGGGAATTGCAAGAAGACGCGCGGCAGTTGCCCAACAGTTGGCTACGTGCGAAAGGCAACACACACACACATGTACAGACATCTCATCTGGTTATGGGTGGCATCACGTGCAGAGTCCAGAGTGGAAATTGCAAGTCTAAGCATCAGATTGCCAAGTCCCTGTCCAGAGATTGTTAGCGATGCCACGGCAACCCGACATCACAAGAACGCACGCTGACAAGGCAAGCGCTTTCCGAGTTGCCTGCGCAGAAGTGGAGCTCGCGTCTCAGTTGATCGAAGCCGCTTGCATGAGGAATGCATACGTTGGCAATTTTTCGAAGGCAGAGTGAGAGCTCCGGCTTCTTTGCCGAAAGCCTGCGCCTGCAGATGCTGGACCTCGATGCAAGGCCTGTTTAGGGAGGGCCATGTCGCTTTTTGCTGGCCTTACAAAGAATTGAAAGAATTCCCCTTGATGAGGAATTCCTCCCCTTAATACAAGCTAGTCAATTTAAGTTAATTAGTTTAAGCTTCTCTTGAGTCTGACAGGGACTCCAACACCTCGGAGGGCTCGGGGCTGTGGCGAACGGCCGCGGAAGCAAGGAACTTGCTGGGTGGGCTCCTTCCTCAGAACTCTTTTGAAGCCTCTTTTGAGAAGAAGCCTGTTTTGGAATCATTTTTTTTAGTCCCTCTTGCTTCAATTCGCCTCTGAGTGCCTCACTGCTACGCCAGGCTGGCAACGCTGCGGCAGAGCAACGCGTGAGCAATGCCAAAATGCAGACCTCACGCCCGTGCCATCTCATGCCTGTGCTCGGAGCTTGCAGAAACATGCTGGAGCTTGCAGAAGCATGGGGTGAACATGGTGGGCCTTGCGGCTACCGACAGTGCAATGGTTCACAGGTGCCGGAAGAGTTCAAAGCTCAAGGTTCACACCAAGCGTGGTCTCATCAGTGCAACAAAGCAACATCAGCCACCAGGGTGCATTCAAATCAAGCACTCACCACAGTGCGGCATGCTTGCGGAAGCCTGACATCAAAAACGCTATGGAGGCCCGCTGTTTGGAGCTGCTTGTGAGCCATCTGTCCTTGCACCACCGCAGGTCCCAAGTCGCATTGGCCCCAGTCGCCCCAGCCTGGTGTAGGAAAAGGAGACTTGCTAGAGTTGGCAAAGAGAGTAGCATAGAGTGGCTAACCGAAGGTGCGTCACCAGTCGTGCTCAGGTCCGGCGGGAGCTGCTCCTGACATGACGTCCAGGCGAAGTTGTGCTCTGCTCTCCGCAGCCGCAACCGTATGGCCACCACCACACGGGAGAAGCCTTGGGGTCTCAGGCCGCAGCCGCGCCGTCGAGTGGTCATCAAAAGAAAGGTGCCTGACCTCAGCCCACCGAGATCATTCGAGATCTGCCGCGTGCAAAAGTTCTGGCCGTGTTCGACCTTTCATGGCAAGGTGTCGTCCTCGACCTTCGAGAGACACAAGGCGTCCACATGGGTACCCACATGCAACCGTTGCACATGTCTTTGACATTCTTTGACACCGGAATCGGCAGAAGCAAAGCCCAGGCAAAGATGGAAAATTTGGGACTTGACCCATCTGATCCACTGCCGCCGCAATCAGAGCAGCTGTTGGACATGGCAGAGGAGCGCGTGGAAGTGTGAAGCACAGTGTTCACGCACTTTTTCCTGATAAGTTTGTCCAGACCCCTTATGCACCTGGAGATTGGAAGTATGCTGTTGTGAGTTATGAGATCTGAGCTGCCGGCAGCCTCAGCCGTCTTGCCAGGATGAGCTCGATGCACCTGATCCTGAACTGTGCACACCTTGGATGCGTTCCGCATAAGCCAGGCTGTGGAGGACCAGATGTGCTCCTTTAGACTTGGGTGCAGGTCGCCTCCACATAGTTCACCGCAGATTGCGTCGCCCGTTCGCGGTGCACGAATGTCCACATCTTTGCCGAGCGGCCCTGCCGTGCAAGTCTCAAAGACATGGTTTCTGCAGGGTTGCAGTGAACTAAAGTGTACAGCATGCAAACTAATTAGAGGGGACACATTGACTGCATGCAGACCTTTCGTGGTGAGGTGCTGCCGGCAAAGGCACATCGCTTGGCACATTGTTCGTGTATGTTCGTGTGCACAGTGGCGGGCACGTGCTGGGCGTGTTTCCTCTTTCATTGAGTGAGCTTGGAAGTTCAATCCAACGAAGGCCAAGGAGAGGAAGACTGTGAGCCTGAAGACGCGCACTCTGGAGGAACAGATTGTGGCCAAGAGGTCTCGAGCACAAGCAGGATCCTTGTCAGCGAGCTTAAGTCAGACATTTGGAGGTATGATCGTGCACTCGAGCGCTTTGCACAGCAGCCCATCTCCCAGCGTGGGATTGTAAAGCTTCGCTACCAGTCCCACAAGAAGCTTCCAGTACTTTCGGCAGAGTGCATTGCTTGAGGCAAGAAGAGTGGGAGAAATTCCGGCATCATGCTTCTCGCAAGCTGGAAGCTTAGATTTTCATCCTGGCGAGCTACTATAGCTCTCCGGCACGACAACAGCAGTCGAGAACGGCAAAGGACCGGCAGAGATAAGGAAGAGTCAGGAGCTCAGGTCTCTGCATGTCGCTCTATGTCGCTCTCGCATACGTACTGCTGTCTGACAGGCTCGTGGTCACACGAGCGGAAGAGTATAGGGAGCGGCTAGAGGCGCAAACCATGCGCAATGGCCGTTGCTTGAGCTCCGCTTGGTTCGGTCAAGGCTAAACACTTTGGCTTGTTCAGCGCACCTAGCAAACCACTCCCTCTAGCTGTCGTGGCCCCTACCGGAACGCGGAGCAGAACAATCATAATACAGAAATCAACAGCTAGCGTAGTAGGATGGGCTGGCAACTCGAAGAAGGGCAAGCAGGACATAACAGGACAGAACGGGTATCGATGCATATCAGGAAAGTCGGGAAGGTACTGCGAAACCCGACTACCTCTAGCGCTCGTGGCAGTTGACACTCACGCCCGTTCTATCCCATTTTGTTCGGAACAAGATCGCACTTGATCACGCTGGCACATAATGTGGATTGCTCGTGTCTCGAAAGTCTCGAAGCGCAGGTGATGGAGTTGCTTGATCGAGTGCGCCCTTTGTACATGCCGGCGGCCACTTGCAAGATGACACAGATCCACATATTATCAGCTTGTCAGGCAACACCAGATGAGATCAAGAGCGGGGGCCCACTCCTGAGTTGCGCCGCGTAGCCGACGTTCACCGTACTGGACGCGGACAGCTGAGGTTTCAACTGGTATCACTCTCTTCGAGGAGACGGGACGCGATTCATCCGAGTCCAGGTTGCTATGCTGCAGTCCAGATGCAGAATATGCAGATAATCCGATTGCGTCCGGACGGAGGGTTTTACATGAAGGTTGCTCTCCCCACTCGCCCCATTTGCCGCACTTGCCCTTGCTGCCCTCTCTCTCCACCTCAGCGCCCCCACTTGCCCCAGTCCACACCACACACATCAAGAACAGCACTCCCAAACCTTTGAACACGGAGCTTGAGGGTCTCGAAATCATGAGAAGAGTGGGGGCCGGGGGAGGGGGGGGAACGGGGGAGGAGGGAGAAGAAGGGACCAGGCAGACGGGGGTGGGAAAGGCAAGTGGGGTAGGTGGGCGAGTGGGGCAAGCAGGCCGAGAAGGGCAAGTGAGAAGTGGCCGGGACCATTTTCCCCCTGCCCGCCCCGCCCCGCTCCGCTACACACTCGACAGTCAGTATCGTGCAGATCTCCTGTTTCAGGTTGGCAACATGTTCTCGGGGCTGTACTTGCCGCTGAAGTTGCACAAGGAGCCTACGGCGACATAAGATGGTTCCACCTTGCTGTGACAGCCTCACGACATGTTTCGAGGAGAACTTTGTGCACGAGATCATTAGGTGGGGATGCATGCACGCCTTTGCGTACTGACGCCGGTGAACAACTATTCCGGCAGCTGTGCAGAGGAAGCCCTTGCTGGTGGACCTGACGACTGCAAGGCTTTGCATGAGAAAGCCAGAAAGCACCGCTTTTCCGCCACGGGCACCCAGCACGCTTCGATGGAAGCTCAAGTCTGGCGAAGGCACACAGCGGAGGCAAGTGGCAGGAAGAAGCCTCGATCATGGCGGGATGATGAGTGGCCCCTGCAGAGAAGCATATCATGTCAGAGCTTGAAATACTGTAGGACTACGTAGTGAATTTGGGGCGGAACTAGCCGCTAGCTCGCCACTTGTTGATGCACCCACTTCTTGGCTTTTTAGTCAGACTTTGAGCATTCAGTTGTTGTCAATTCAACGTGACTGCCATTCTGTTCCTTTAAGTTGTGGCTCTGCTGCCTCATGCATCAAGCGTCGCTCCACAGTGCTGCGTGAGGTACCTGCTAACGAGGATCCGCAAGTATGGAGCAAAGATGAAGGAGAGGTTTTGCGGCAGTCACGAAAGCTAGGCCTGAGTCTTGCTTTAGATGATGCATGGATACCAGCACACAGGCATTTTCCACAGGCAGGACGTGGTGAGTTGAAATCTTCACGGGGAATACATGGTAGGCAGAGAGCATTTGTAACCCCAGACAAGTGCCTTGCCCGTGACTCCCGTGACAGACTTCCACAAAACATGCTTCGCTTGTGGCCTCCTCTTTCAGAGCAAAATGTGGCAACATACTGCAAGCTGAAAAAAATCACGCACTCAACTCGCAGCTTCCCACCAGCATGATTGTAAGCAAGCCGGCCTGCATGCTCGATCTTGCACGCACGCGAAGTCTACTCCATTGATATGTCGAGGAGTTGGCGCCCGGACAGCTCGAGTATGACGAAGTCATGGAGCCCGAGGCTGTTTCAAAGATTGCGCTCTCGGCTCAATGCGGGCATTGCAACAAAATTGCAACGCAGGTCAAGCCACTGCGACCCCCAGAGGAGGCGAAACAAGGCGGGAGCGAAAGGGAGCACCTGGGAGTATGAAGGGAGTGTGGTCAAGAAGTATGGTACAGTATGGGCAGTACGAAGACATTGTCAAGGCCTCGCTGAGGAAGAGCTCATGGCGGCCCTGCTAGAAGAGGGCAGCACTGACAACACCATGCCACTCGAACAGGAGCTCCAAGACTAAAAGGGTTCGGGTCTGAAGCCGCCACGAAGCCGCCACGAAGCTGACCCTCTGCGGGTCGGGCTTTGGTTTCGTATTCCCGCAGGAGCCGCTGGCAAGTGCTGCCTGCGCGGCAGAGTTCTTAGTCTCTTCGTGCTGGTGATTGCTGGTGAGTCTCAGCGGTCTTCCGCCATGGCTTTCGAAACCCAGGCGCCAATTGAAGGTCCACATGCGGAGGCAGTAGTGCCATGTAGTGCTGCAAGCTCCAAGTCGCTGTGAGGGCACGAGCCATGCAGGTGGCGCCGGCTCAGCTGCATTTCCAGGCGGATGTGAAGACGTCCGCCAGTCATGAGTTTCAATCGCTTCTTCCCATTGGATGTAGGACTCTACAAATCTATGAGCGTGGTGAGCCAGGGCGTGCACCAGAACAATCCGCCTGAGAAACACCGGGTCCGCAGCGATCCAGCTGCTGAGCTGCACGGATGCCTCTTCTACGGCTAAGCTCCGCTACGGCTGAGTTCTGCTAGGTAATCAGGCTTTTCGTCTGGCAAAGGCCAGAAGTTGCTTCAGCCGGCCCCAAGACTTAGCTACCTTCAACAAGGCTTAGGGCTTAGGGATTTAGGGTGTATGGCTTGGAGCACACCACCCTCAACCCGAAACCGCAATCCCTGAGGCAGCATGAACCCGCATGTTCTGGTTGCATGATCCCGCAGTTCGTCGTTGCATAACCTGCGTGCTTTTCTGTTGCATGAATTCCCAGATTCTGTTAGCTTGTAGTACCAGTATCCTCGCACTCCACACGAGATGCTTATTCGAGGACAAAGACTGTGGAATAGACAGTGGGGATTGCGATATAGAGCGTGAATCAGGCAAAAGAGGACAGTAGCGTGAATCCGAAGAGTCTTGTGCTGAGGGAGGAAGCCTAGCAGCCTAGCATGGCAAGATCACAATGACAATAGTCAGTTCCGCTTGCACTGCAGCAAATCTGTTGCAGCATGCTGATGGGAAGGTTTGAGTGGGTGCAGAACGCTCCACGGCAGGGCTTTCAGGCAGGACCAAAGCTGGCAGTTGCGCCCTTTCCCCCCCCCCCCCCCCCGGGCCCGCTTCTCTCGTTCTCTCTCTCTCTCTCTCTCTCTCTCTCTCTCTCTTTGTGTTTTGGTTCGGATGGTCGAAGCGGGAGAGAGGCTCTCTCCCGCTTTCAACCATCCGAACCAAATCGACAAATGTGGAATGGACCAAGCTGAAACCGGGCCAGCGGCACACCAACTGAGCTGAAGCAAAGATCAAGGCATCGAAAGCCGCTCTTCTCTGTATTCATCATTGCAACGCTTCAAAATCTTTAAATAAGGGAAAAGGCAGCGACGCAAGGTGGGGGAGGCGACCCCGGAGTGGCACGGACATGGAGCGGTAAAAGGAAAAGCAAAAAAAAAACAAAGACCGGAAATAAGTGATCGGACTGAGAAGGGCCGCGAGATGAATTGTGCACCGAGTATGTTTGGGCCGATTTACTAGTAGGCCTAGTAGGCTTTGGAGGACGACGTGTGTGTTTCGGTGCGAATCTGCTGTGCATCCCATTGTGAGCCATTGTGGTTGTGATGTTGCCGCGTCAGTGTATGTCGGTGCCATACATGTCAAGGCCGTATGAGGCCTTCCTCCCCTTGCCCTGCCGGAGGAGAGCATGCTGCCACAAGATCCAACTCAACATTTCACTTGTCACCAGACTTCTGGGTGGTCGCCTCGGAGCGCAGGATAGTGCAGGCTCATGCAACCTCGAGGTCTTTGCCAAAGCCATGCGACAAGTTCTGTCCCGAGGCGAGTTCTTCCGGGTGAGGATGCTCGGAACCTGATTCAGAGCTCTGCGAGCTTCAAGAGTAGCAGGGTAGTCTGATGCAAGGTGAAAAGCTTCTATCCGACCATCCCAAAAGTTCACGGATGCCCGAACATGGCTATGACTACATATGATGTTCCAAACGCGACTGCGTCGTGCGTCCTGCCGCATGAACCGTAGCGGATGGCGTTGTGAGTCGCAAATCCAATGCCTAAGACAAGACACACCCACGGCCAAATCCACATGAACCCATGCGAATCCTGTGTGATCAGTGGGTTATAGACCCCAATTTCAATGCCGGAAACGGACAGACAGCCACACAGCGGATTTGCAACACCGGCAGAGGTCAAACAAATTCACGAAATTTGAAACATGCGTGCACGGAGCCTACCGTTGCAGCATATTGGCCAAGGTTCAGACCATGTTCTCCTTCACTTCCTCGGCCCCGGGCACCTTCCAGTCATCCTGGTGCGGGACGCAACGCTCAACGTTTCAGCAACTTCAGCAACTTCAATGTCTTCCCTTCTTTCCTTCAGCCCGTGCTGACTTCCAGTCCAGACTCCAGACAATGTCAAATTGCCATGCCACAGGTGTCTCCAAACCTATCCACAGCTTTCGGCGCAGCACCGAGCAGATCAGTAAGTCTGGCAGTTCTCAGTGCCATGTAAGATATTGAAGCTCGACCACGAAACCTTCATGGCGCCTGCGAGGAACCCATTACCGAACTTGCGATGAACGGGTCAGCGACAGCTGGAGCCGCCAACCTAGCCGGGGCAGATGGCAGATCCGCAGCGCAGGAAAAAAGTCACTCTGCACAGAGTCAAGAATTTGACTGGTATCTAGCTGCTCCGTGCCGTTCACGTTACCTGCGCTCCGCGGGCACCTCGTGACTCAGGATGCTCACTGGGAGAGGAGAGCAGCGTTGCAAGCGCACATGGTCAAAGAGCAGGCGCACCTGAAGGGTGGCAGATGGGGGAGCACGTCCAAGCGAACACAGAGAGCGCGAATAGGGCAAACATCCAGACATGTCGAGCAGTCGTCGAGAGATCCTTGTGGCTGTGTGGTCATGACATCTGCACGCCACCGAGCTGTCAGACCATCAGCCTGGCCTCCGAGCTTGCTGAAGACATCGTGGCATCGGCCGTGACAGACGTCCGGAGCTGATTGTCCTAACATGTCCTAACCCTCGCAAGTCTGCAGAGCATGTTCTTGAGTCCACTGAGTGGAGCTTGCAATCTGACAGGGGTGGAAACTTTTGCCGCCACCACTGCCAGATCTCAGCCAAGCCGCGATACAGGCACAGAGCTGACACAGACACATCTTGTTTCCTTTCGCTTCGTACCGCAACGCATCACAGCAGTTTGTTGTTGGCACTGTAGCAGGAAAGGCTCTTTGAAGAAGTGAATGGCGCAGATGGCTTGTTCTGGTCGCCACAGTCTCAGTGGATACTTGCTGGAGGCATGGACGACACAGGCAAAGACGCTGATCAGGAACACTTCCTGTACCAACTGTACTATTCTGTGTTCATGCTGTTAGGCACAACGCCTGGGTCATCTTCTCAGAACTGCGAGAAAAGGCAACTTGGGGTACCCCAAGTTTCTGCGCTACAACTGCAACAGTGCGTGCCTTTGGCATCATGCCGTCAATGCCATCCCTGGCTGCAACGATGCACCCTGCCAAGCAATGCGCAGATCGAACGAGTCGTCCCGTCTGACGTTGCTGCTGATGGCGGCCGCAGTCTTATTTTTCCGCTTGCCAGACATTGTCAGACAGTCACCCCAGGCCCCATATCAAAGGTTCGAGCACTTAATTATGGATGTTCAGCGGACAAGCTGCAACTCCGCGAAGCAGTATCGGGAGGAACTTCAGCTTAAGCAGAGATCAAGAGCACAGCGACAGGGCATGCAGGGTGTTCAAGTCTCAACCATGCGTTTCCCTTGCAGCGCCGCGCGCGGTTGCGATGCGCTCGGCAAGGCCCCGCCGAACGCAGCTTCGAGCCTCCACCGGGGGCTCGCGGCCTCAGGCCGGTGCCAAAGGCCAGCAGACATCGATAGCATCAAAAGAGATGCCAATGTGTTGAAAAAAGCCTGCACAAGCTGTGCTAAGTCTTAGCTAAGTTCAAGGAAAGGAATCGACGGCAGTGGCAATGAATGACGGCAGTAGGCAACATTTGAGTGGAAGGTCGAGCCTCCAGCAGCCGAACCCTTGACGCCGGTGGAAAGACTAGACGCGCCTTCACTCAGGAGGACTGGAGGGCACATGTCCATGACATTGTGACTGACATTTGGGTACACGCTGCAACACTGTAACCACGGTGGTTCAGGGAAGGGGCGCCCGCCCCGTTCCTCAGTGTGCAGGATGCAGGCACAGATTGATCGACTTCCCAATCCGGAGCCTGATGCCGAACCCTCGAGCTGTTTGGTAATACGCGAGCGAATGTCAAACTCAACCTGTGATTCCAGAGCCGGTGTAGCTACATCTGAGTGCTCCTTGTTTTGTTAAGGAGAATGGTCAAGCTTTGCGCCAAGTCCGGAAAGTTCACAGTCGCGTGGAAGCTTGTGTGAGAGCGAGTGTCCTCGTGGCTGCCTGCGCTGAAGGGTCCGAATCCATCCAAATCCCCAGGTTCCAAGGACAGAGAAGAGCGAGCTGCAGTTCGAGCTGGATCGAGCGAGCCGCTGGGCGAGGTCGCGTCACTGGGCACTGCCATGTTCTGCGTAACATGATGTCACCGGCTGCATGGCACTTCTTTGCGATGCTTTGCGCCGCTGGGTTGAGCAGCCCGGAGTGTCAGGCGGCAGCCGTTAGAGCGGTCGCCGCTGTGGTGGTTGGCCTACGAGCCAGGGCCTGAGATCAACAATGTCCGATGTCCGCGCTCTGAGCTGATGTGAGCTGATTTCGGGATTTCCTGGGAGGACCATCCTGGAGGTTGCCTCGGTTCTTCCAGGAAAGTGGGCAGCGACACGCCAGCGTAACGGGCCTGTGACTCAGGTTCGTTCCAGAGGCGCTGCCAGTATAGTGACTATACAGTGACTGATCCGGTCTTTGCCAGCAGAATAGCTTCGTCTACAGCTATACCATCTGGACTGGCAAGTGGCCTTATCATTTTTGGACTTCTCGGGCTGCTCTGCCCAATATGATGACTCGTGCTTTCGTTCTCCACCTGTGGACTGACCGCGATGTCACTATCTCACTCAAAGTCGGTGATGGTACCATGCTGTACGGCATTGAGTTGCAGAATGTCGTATCGGAAGAATGTGAAGAGGTGCGGCGGCTAAAGCAGGAACACTAGAAGTCCCCTTTCCCGAAGGGCTTGTGGCACTACGCCCTCGAATCAACTGGCTGTTCCGAAGCTTCGAAAGTTTCGAACATATGTAGATGATGGATGGCGCCGTTGCCTGGAGGAGGATGCTCTTGGAGGCATTTGGAGATCGACGTCGTGCCACTGCAGAGTACCAGTAGGAGTCGCCCTGCGGAGCTTCCGTTGTAGGAGTCGCCAAGCGGAGCTTCCGTTTCTTTCGGTGCCTGTACGCATGTCTGTCTGGGTTTGGAGTTGCACCCTGAGTCACGTGTCTTTGCGCCAAGTGCGCTTGGTGAACTGCCCAGTTTAGATATCCCGCCCCCGGTAAATTGTAGCTGCTACCTAGTCCATGTCCGAGCAGCGCCAGCTCTCCAGGTTGGAACCTCTACCTTTCTTGACGCCGCCTGATGTTCTCAGCTCAGCTGAGCCTTGTGCAGTCGTCGGAGTATCGCAACAGACTGCCCAACACTGCCCCTGCCCTCAGGATGATGCTGCTCCAGAGGTGGTGGAGGAATACAACCAGAAGCTCGAGGCCATGATGCTAATGAGATGTGATGCACTTGTGTGCGTTGGCACATTTGGACGAACGCTCGCCGAACCCAGTTCTCCTTGAGGAAGCATCTACGAACACGTGTTTGCCTCCTTTAGCTTGTTCGTCTCAAGAGGTAACTTGTGTAGCACGCCCACCAAGGTGGTGCGCTTATGGTTGAAGCTGTCTGTGAATGCGGAAGCTATGGTTGTCCATATGAACAAAATATTCAGAATGAACAAAAGCCTCGAGAGAAGGAAGGGCTAAAGGCAAGCCCTGCCTGGACCACCTGCAAGAGTGTGCTTTTTGGAAGCTCCTCATTTTGAGAGCACATGGGGTCAACGTCATAGAGGAATGACAGTGAGTTTGCCTTCCATGCGCTTATGGTTTGGAGCCTGCAGATTCGCTCATCTTCATGCCAATGCGAAGACTGGCTTTGCTTGTGCTCAGGAAAGAAAAGCCAAACTTGCACCAGAAGAGAAGGAGGCGCAATGTGCAGCGGCCATCTTCTTTTTGCACAACTGCGTGAGCACTTGCCGACACCCTGTGAAAGGCAGAGGTTCGCGAGATTTTCTGCCGTGGCTTCATCAAGAACAAGTGGCTGGAATGAAGCATAGGTCCATCAAGGGTCCCGATATAGATTGCGTACATTGAACATAACCGACATAACCTGACAATTTCTACTCGTATACGTCCGTCTCAGCCGGAAAGGTGTGTTTCCTTACACGTATGCTTGCATTTATACGTTTATGCTTGTACTTTTTTTCTCCGTTGGAACTGTTGGATTGTGGTGGAACAAGTTGGGATCTTTGGTTTGCCTGTAAGAGGCCTCTGAGAGTCGATTGGCCGAGGTTTGGACCTGCCTGCGAGAGATTCGAGGCGACATTCCAAGAGTCATTGTGGCACATTTGTGGCACATTCTCGCAGCTCTTTGCCTCAGCTACTCTTGAGGTTGTAGCCAAAGAGGCAACGGTCACAGCTCGCATTTCGCGCGCCGGCGGCCTCTCCTTAGCTGACAGACTGCGGCTGGAACCTTGGAATGAGATTTCGTGAGATTTCGTGTACGAGATAGTCAGATAGTCTTCGACCTGCTTCGAGGCCATACCTGGGCCAGACATCTGCCGAGGCGGACGTGAAGGGACGCGGATCTGCCTCTCATGTTGTGTTGTGTGACATGTCGTAGTTGCCTGACGTGTGCCATGCAGGCTCCTGAGGGAGACGAGCTGGAGGAAGGAGAGGAACCTCCAGCCGAAGCTCAGGACCCTCAGCGACAGTCTACTGCTTCTGTAGTGCCTGGTACATAGACACAGCCCTTGCCCGAGGACTTGGGCGACGGAATTTTCGTATCGAGGGCTGCCAGCTCCTCAGGCACCAAGGTATCCGAACTGTTTCTCTGCTGTTTCTAGACGTTTTTCGACGTTTTCAGGTGTCAGAGTCCTGCAATGTGCTGCAATAATGCACCTCCCATCGTTCATGCTGCACGCATCGCGCACAGAGTCGACTGGACGTCAATAGTCACCAGCCTTTACACATCAGCACGCACGTCCTTCTGCCAGCGAGTGGGCCATGCTGCAAAGTTCTTAGCTTGTTGCGTCGGACTCAAAGCCCTGACACCAGGAAGGGTACGCTGGCTGGACGTCAGAGTTTACACATTCTTTCGGGTAGGGCAGGTGCACAAGTGATCGTTTAGCGTCCACAGCTCACCCAAAAGCCTTCGCAATTGGATGGATGATGATTCGATTTTCGGTTACAACTCTTTCTTGTTTGCAACCCAAGCGAGGTGACGACATGCCCATCTAAGGGATGTAAGGGCACCCCCTATTCTCTGATTAGTCAGGAGGCACCCCCGCCCCCCAACCCACCCACCTTTGGGCCTGCAGATTTTTATTGAGGAGCCCTGACCTGCGGATTCCTTAATTTATGGGGGGGGGGGTTTATAGATCTGAGGTTAACATTAGTGGACTCGACTGGTGCCCAGATTTCCTCAGCACTTGCTTCCGCCGCTGCAACTCCGGAATACTCTCGTCTCTGTCGTCCGCCCTCCTCTGAAATGTATCTTTGGACATCTTTAGAACAAGAATAATGCTCCGAAGAGCACAGCTCTTAGTCTTGAGTAGTCGTTCCTTCGTCTTCTCGGGACAAGTCACAAGAGAACAGTCCTTATAGCGCCTTTGACATTTTTATAGCCCCGGACGTAAAGCATAGTGGATGTCTCATCTTAATCTGTCTCCCCCAATCAAGTCGAATCTAAAGTAAGGCTGAATCCTAGCGGGGTAAGAAGTAGTCTTATGTCGTTTGGCCTCAAAGGACTAGGATCTCAGGCCTTGGTCTTCAGTATTGCTTACATGGATTCTGACATTGGTCGTGTCTACATGAGGTTCTACCCAGAGCCTTTAGATCTTGGCAACCCTAAACTTTTTCACGGGTGCCTTAGGTTCATGGGTTCGTAAGTGCCCGACATTTCGCCAAGGCCATCGAAAGTGAACTGTCGGACTTCGTGGAAATCATGTTGCATGCTCAGATGGGTTGTTTCATGCCCATAGGACACGGCATGTCACCTCTTGCTGCTGTCTGGAATATGAGGCAGCTGCCGATTCGAGCCTCGATTGCTGAGGAGGCCGCCAGGGTTAAGGGTTTAGGGTTTAGTTTCTGAACTTTCCTGGCGGGGGAGCGTGCCAGGAAGCGGCACAAGCAGAGCTGGGCAAACCAGCTGTGGATGAGGATGGCAAAGCTGGGACCTTAAAGTTCAGATCCTGGCGTGCCTGTCTGGACAATCGACAGAATTCTCAGGAAACCATCCCTGCTCCACTGCTCATAATTCTTGGCGGTGGCTTCAGTGCAGAGGCTCAAGAGGAGATGCTGTCTTCACACTTTTTTGTGCATGTTGATGCAAATACTAAACGAAAAAATAGATTGCAAATAGAAAAGTTCACAGCATAAAAAACATAGACGCATATAGACGCTGTCATACATACATATGTACATACACACACACACACACATATATATATATATATATAGCTCACCCCCCCCCCCCCCCCCAATGGACCCACCGCGGGTGGCATCCGAGTCCTGGCCAGATCAAGGGAACAACAACAAAACAAGAAACTAACAAAAAGCAAAAAACCAAAAAACCAAAAAAACAAAACCATCTTTTCCAAAACTATGGGGCTGGGGCCTCCAAAAGATGGTTTTTTTGGTTTTCTCGAGAAAAAGATGGTTTTTTTGGTTCGAAACCATCTTTTTCTCGAGAAAAAGATGGTTTTGGAGGTCTTCTCCTGGTAAAACCATCTTTTTCTCGAGAAAAAGATGGTTTTTGGAGGTCTTCTCCTGGTAAAACCATCTTTTTCTCGAGAAAAAGATGGTTTCGAACCAAAACACCATCTTTTTCTCGAGAAAACCAAAAAAACCAAAAAAAACCAAAAAAACCAAAAAAAACAAAAAAAACAAAAAAACCAAAAAAACCATCTTTTGGAGGCCCCAGCCCCATAGTTTTGGAAAAGATGGTTTTTTTGTTTTTTTTTGGTTTTCTCGAGAAAAAGATGGTTTTTTGGTTCGAAACCATCTTTTTCTCGAGAAAAAGATGGTTTTGAGCAACCATCCTTCGAAAAATCATCTTTTTCTCGAGAAAAGATGGTTTTACCAGGAGAAGACTTCTAATCCTTTAGGTATTGCCTAAACCTTTAATCCTAAACCTTTAACTTTAAACCCTTTGGGGTCAACCCCGTGAGAAATTTAGAGATAGACCCCGAAAAGACCCTAAACCTTCTTACAGGGTGTAATGGTTTAAAAACCGATGTATACCTGCAGGTGCTAGATCCAAATAGGGTGCTAAGGTTCTGGCCCTGAAGGGTTTAGGGTTAAGGCTTAAATGCCCTCTAGGTTTAAATGCCTTAGCCTTAAACCGCAAACCTTCAAACCTTCATCCTATGGGGTTTGAAGGTCAAGGGTTTAGGCTTGATTGCCGAGGGCTTTAGGGTCCTGACCCTAGAGGGTTTAGGGTTAAGGAATAGATGCCTAAACCTTAAACCCTTAAGGTTTAAACTCTATGGGCTTAGGTTTAAATGTCTAAATCTTAAACCCTAAACCTTTAAACCTTCACACTACAAAGTTTAAGGGTGTTAAGGGTGACAAATTAATTACATACTTAGGTTTAAATGCCAAAATCTTAAACCCCAAACCTTTAAACCTTAACCCTATAGGGTTTAGCAGTTCAGGGTTTATTGTTAATTGCCGTCTTAGGTTTAAATGTCTGAATCTTAAACCCTAAAACTTTAAACCTTCACTCTATAGGGTTTTAAAGGTTAAGGGTTTCGGTTTAATTGCAAGCTTAGATTTAAATGTCTAAGTAAAGAATCCTAAACCTTTAAATCTTATCCCTATAGGGTTTAAGGTTAAGGGTTCAATATGAACTGCCGGCATTAAGGGTTCAATATGAACTGCCGGCATAGGTCTAAATACCTAAACCTTAAACTTAAACCCTAAACCATTAAATATCTTAACCCTATAGGGTTTTAAGGTTAAAGGCTTAGCGTTAATTGCCGGAATCGGTTTAAATGCCTAAATCTTAAGCCCGAAACCTTTAAACCTTAGCCCAACAGGGTTTAAAGGTTAAGGGTTTAAGATTAATTGAAGTCTGAGATTTACATGCTTAAATCTTAAATCCTAAACCTTTAAAATCTTAACCCTACAGGGTTTAAAGGTTAAGGGCTTGGCTACAGGTTTAAATGGCTAAATCTTAAACCCTAAGCCTTTAAACCTTAGCCCTATAGGGTTTAAAGGTTAAGGGTTTAAAATTAGCTGCAGACTTAGGTTTAAATGCCTACATCTGAAACCTAAACCTGTAAAAATCTTAACCCTATAGAATGCAAAGGTTAAGGGCTTAGGGTTTAATTGCCGGCATAGGTTCAAATGCCTAAATCTTAAACCCTTAACCTTGAAACCTCAACCCTACAGGGTTTAAAGGTTAAGGGTTTTTTTGCAGGCTTAGGTTTAAATGCCTAGGTCTTAAATTATAAACAAAAGCCAACAGAAAGAAAAACCATCCGTGTGTGTGAGAGAGTGAATTAAGGAATACAGTCAAAAATCCGGTCACCGGAAAATCACCAGACAGCATAGGTTTTATCGGTATTTGCGGTACTTTTGCAAAGATCAAGGCCCGCGGTGGGTCCATTGGGGGGGGGGGGGGTGACCATATATATATATATGTGCATATGTCCTGGAGACGCCTTTCAGCACAGGAAGTGCTCTTGAAGAAACTAGAGCTCCTGATCGGGCTCTCACGCTTCGCAGAGTACGAGAAGGACAGCGACACATGGTGCATTCGTAACATTACTAGCACCAAGTAGTGACTGGAGTTGGAAATGTTGGAAGGGTGGAGTGCATGTTTTCGCTGGCGGCGCACTTGCCACCTACATTCTCTCAGGCCACTGGTTGCAAGTATTATGCTCTCTCGGTGCATCTGGCGCAAACCCGTCGCTGTCTGCTGCCTTCGCTGTGAGGCGTCCTGGGCATGGCGATGGGCCCCAGCAGTGTGCACGATGGCGCGATCAAAGCATCGCTCAAGGAGGCCTGGGCTGAATCGACGAATTGCTCGGAGATTTCCTTGGAGATTGCCCAACACTTCTGGATTTGATTGCAGGCTCTCCTGGAAGTGATGAGGCCTTCAAAGCTTCTCGAAGTCTTTCAGGATCTTTTCAGAATCTTTCAGAAGCTGTCAGGGTGGGCGTTTCGCACGGCTCTCAGGGCCGACCAGTTGAGACTCCTAAGGGAGACACCGGGGAGACATTGAGACACAGCCCTCCGTGTAGCATCGTGTAGCCACATCGACCCGCATCTTGCAGTCGTGTGTCTTCTGAAGCCGTTCAACGCTACAATGCTCATTCTCATTGAGTTCAAACGTTTAATCGTTCTCATCAGTTCCTCCTGAGATTGCTAAGCATGGTCGAAGCTTGTTCCCACTTCGGGCGTCGTTGACCCACAGTTGCCTCACAGCTGCCTGTCCCGCAACTAGTGCTTGGCAAAAACCTTCGGCACATTCGCAGAAGCCTCAGCCAAGGATTTCTTTGCCGCTCGACCTTGTGTGTGAGGAGGTCGCGCCCGAGGCACCAAAGTCCCGGCATCCTCAGCAAGCTTGGTCAAGTTCTGGATGTCTCGGGATTTTGTCTGCGTGAGGTCTAGGACTGTCTGGGACTGTCTACGTGGGTAATGCGAGCTGAAAGTAGTCCACTGCTCATTGTGTCGAATCGGAAAAGAAACAAGACGGGAAGACAGTGCTGCGATTGTAGTCGGGTCTCAGCAGACTGCCCTTGACAGGCGAAAGACGGAGAGGAGCCCAGTGACCCGCAGGACCTTCCGGATAAAGCATGCTAAGGCATTCAATCAGGCATTCCAACATGTTCCGATGCACATCCTCAGCTGCTGTCCGTTGACGTTCGTTGAGGATTCTGGTGCTGGACTTGCAGCGCCGTTGGCGGTGAGCAGCCGAAGAACGTTGTTTGCTGTTTGCGATGCGGTGAAGTCTTCGCTTGACACTGAGGCTGCATGGAGACACGTCGCCAGCACGCCTCTCTTCCTTGGATATTCGGACTGCCGCTGGTTCCCTAGAGTCCCTAGAACCATCTTTGTTTGCGACATGGGAAGAAAGCCTGCTGAGCAGGTGCTCTGGCACAATCGACTCAATTAGACTGAGAGAGCGTTGATAACATCTTGCAGCGTTGGCTCTGGGGCTGATGCCCATCCGATTTGTGCTGAATGCCTACCCTCCCTCGGCTTGAAACGCCTGTGCGCATACAGACGTCTGGACTAGCTGATGGCTGCCAATATTCTCCGGTGATGCCCTTGTGCACACTGAGCCCTCGGCCACTTAGTCCACTCAGTCCTCTCGGACCCGCGGGCTGCAAACGCCCGACCAAAGGGAGCCTGCTTCAGCAACGGAAGCAGCGACTGGGCAATTTGAAGCTGGACACTTCCAACACCTCAAGCATGAGCCCCTTAGCCAAACACGATGGTCTGAAAGCCAGGTATGTTGTCCACGAATCTTTGGGGCAGGGCTCCATGGGGACTGTCTACCGCGGGACCAGAAGGACCGACCAGAGAGAAGTTGCCTTGAAAGCCATGCAGGCGCTTGATGAGGAAATGACGGCATTGTTCAAGCAGGAATTCACGATTCTGCGCAGGCTGAAACATCCTCACATAATTGAGGCGCTGGATTTCTTCGTGGCCGAGGATCAGGCAGTTTTGGTTCTGGAACTCTTTGAGGGCGTAGCGCTAACGAGCGCTGCTAAATGGACGCCCTTTGGACTTCCGGAGTCTGTTGGGCAACGGCTCTTCAAGCAGCTCATGCTGGCCACTGATTACTTGCACCACCGGCAGATCATCCATCGAGACATCAAGGGCGAAAATGTCCTGGTGAGCCAGAACTTAATGGATCTCCGCCTTATTGACTTCAATAGTGCTAGGTGTTTGCTGGAAGGAGGCTCCCTTACCAACGCCGGCACACAGGAGTACGCTTCCCCGGAAGTTTGCAGGGGCGAGCCGCACTCTGCCAGCAGTGATATCTGGTGTGCCGGCCTTTGCCTTTATCTCATGCTGGCCGGGCACCTTCCCCGAAGGGGGCATCAGTACAAGAGCTTCGAGGCCTTCAAGCAAGCTGTTTCAAGGGAACCTATAGTGGCCAAGGGCCGTATCGAGAACTGCTCGGAGGCATGCAGGGAACTGCTCTTGCTGTGCCTGAAGCTAGACACGGCACAGAGGCCTTCTGCAGAAGTCCTCCTGGGATACGAATGGCTGCGAGGGGGTAAAAGGCACACAATACAGCCAAGGCTGCCAGTGGTGAGCGAAGACGGCGGCAAGGAGGAGGGTCCCACTTCGCCGATCTCACGCACGAGGAGGAGAATGACCAAGTAGCAAAGAGCGGGAGAATCCAAGCATATCAGGGCTCAAGTCAACTAGAAAGGCATAATGTGGATTAAGTCTTTGGTCTTCTATCACGTTTTGCAGGCCTTGCAGGCCTTTCGTGCAGCTGTGATCGACACGGATGTATAGTACCAGACGTGTCCTTTCTTCTTTCCATTCATTCTTTTTCTGTCTTTCTGCATTTCTTTCTCTTTTTCTTGTGTTGCGTTCACTCTCTCTCCCTCCCGCGCGGCCTCAGATCTTACTCAGGAAAACTGTTCATGATCATTCATCGTGTGCTTGCTCAGCAGAGCTTGAGCAAACACTATGTTCAACTTCAGGGAAAATCTGTTTCACGCTCGGTCCACAGCGGACTCGCGACATCAACTTTTCAGTTAGTCTTAGTCTTAGTCTTGGGCGCATTTGCGGAAGGGGCGGCTCTACACACTGCCAACACCCGCCAACGCAAACTTCTCTGGCTGCCTTTCATGCGCCATTTGTGAGGTGCTTGTGTCATGCGCAGTGACATTCTGTAGTTTACAGTGATGGAATTCCTGCATGTCCGCCTCGGACCTAGTTTGAGACTTGAGTCTTGAAGCCAAAAAAGGCCGGCCCAACGATGTCAGTCTGAAGAGTTTTCCACAGGTGACATATCAAGACTTGGTGGCAACCAAGTCTGGCATGTGTCTCTATCATGCGAACTGGCTCCCGTCCAGGTGAATGCTACGTCTCAGTGGACACGCAGCATGGCATCCTTCACCTTCAGAAGTGTGAGCTGAGAACTCGGCAGTCGAGTTCCGCATGGTGCAGCTGTGGAGGGCCCATGTGCAGAGGAACCTTGACTAAGGCCGGGAGAGCTGCCACGTGCGGAAGGCATTGGTACGTCTTATATATCTTTATATACATACACACATATATAATATGCACCGCAGTGTTTTTCGAGAGTTTGTTTGAAGAGTGCAGCTTTCCGATGCTGCGCCAGATGCTCGAGATGACGAGGCTGTGCCGACCGAGGTCTCGCACAAAGCAATGTAGCGTCTGTAGTATTCTGTAGTGTGATTGTCGAAGTTCACAAGCTTTTGTGACATCACATGGGCATCACGGTGCTAGCGTGGCTGTTAACACGTGCCTTGCACCAACCCCGCTTTGCATGGCTCAGGCCGATGGCGATGCAGTTGCGACAAGCGCAAGTGGCATCCCTGAAGCCTGGACAGTGCGGGACATCGGTCCCGCAGCATTGGAGCAGCTCAGGCGCTGGCAGTTTGTCTGCAGAGGGATACGCTGTGGCGACATTTTGCGAGAGAGTCGGTGATTTGTTTGTTCCGTTGTGCGGAGGACGCTCCTCAGGCGAAGCCGTGGAGCAATTTGGAATGGAGCTCTCGGCTGCCATGAGGAGCAGCAATCAGAAAGCACTGAAAAGCACCCGCAATTTGCAAATCGTTCAAGCTTAAGTTTTTAAGTTTGCCCGTTTGCTCCCGACTTGTCCGCTCGACAGGATGCCCGCTGGCAGAAAGGTACTCAAGAGCTCATAAACCTGCTTGAGGGCCGCTTGACGGGTGCCGGCGAGGACCGAGAGGGCTGCTGCTTTCTTCTAGCCATGTTCATCCAACAATGCATCATGCAATCCCAGACTTCGCAGTGACTGTGTGGACCTCAGGCTGACGAGGACGAGGAGGATGAAGAAGATGAAGAGGAAGAAGAGGACGAAGGCAGGAAAAGGAGGGCTGACTGTTGCGGGCAATGACTATCTCTACAGAATGGCCTGTGACGGGGCCTGCTTGTTTTTGTTTACGTAGATGATTGAATTTCCAAAATCCAGAGCTTTATTCGGCTTAGGGTCTTGCTGCTATCCTCATGGCAGTCCCTTCCACATGGAGTCTACCCTCCAAGGTCTCTAGACTTGCGGGCCAAGATCGTGCAAAGTTGATCAAAAAACATCAAAAACACACTCCCTGCGTATCGTATCTGACACCCTGTGCTTATTACAAGCCGGGTGTTGGTAAACGTCAAGCCTCTGTTGTCATTTTCATCGAACACGATGGTGGTTTATTTGCGGCGGTGGTCCGGTCAGTGGAAGTCACCATGTAATGTATGTAATACAAAGATGTATAGATACAAATGTATATATATATGTGAGAGGGACCTTTTGGGTCCATTTCACGTATATCACTTGTATGAGGAATTTAATTTATTTACCTATTAATTTCTTTAATTTCTTTAATTTCTGGGGCTCTCTTAGGGAAATAAATGAAATTAAAGAAATTAATTAATTTCTTTAATTTCTTTAATTTCTGGGCCTCTCTGTGCGAAATTAAAGAAATTAAAGAAATTAATTAATTTCATTAATTTCTTTAATTTCCGGGCCTCTCTGTGAGAAATTAAAGAAATTAAAGAAACTAAATAATTTCATTAATTTCTTTAATTTCTGGGCCTCTCTGTGCGAAATTAAAGAAATTAAAGAAATTAATTAATTTCTTTAATTTCATTAATTTCATTAATTTCTTTAATTTATTTTAAGTAGTCCCGTGAGCCGGGGGGGGGGCCCCAATTAATTTCTTTAATTTCTTTAATTTCTGGGCCTCTCTGTGAGAAATTAAAGAAATTAAAGAAATTAATTCCTGTAGCCCTTCGGGCTTGCGAGACTAATTAAAAGAGAAATTAATGAAAGAAATTTCTGGGCCTCTCTAAGAAATTAAAGAAATTAATAATTCATTAATTCTTTTTCTGGGCCTCTCTGTGAAATTAAAGAAATTAAAGAAATTAATTAATTTCATTAATTTCTTTAATTTCTGGGCCTCTCTGTGCGAAATTAAAGAAATTAAAGAAATTAATTAATTTCTTTAATTTCATTAATTTCATTAATTTCTTTAATTTATTTTAATTAGTCCCGTGAGCCGGGGGGCCCCCCCCAATTAATTTCTTTAATTTTTAATTTCTGTGCCTCTCTGTGAGAAATTAAAGAAATTAAAGAAATTACTTAATTTCATTAATTTCTTTAATTTCTGGGCCTCTCTGTGAGAAATTAAAGAAATTAAAGAAATTAAAGAAATTAAAGAAATTAAAGAAATTAAAGAAATTAATTAATTTATTAATTTCTGGGCCTCTCTGTGCGAAATTAAAGAAATTAAAGAAATTAATTAATTTGTTTAATTTCATTAATTTCATTAATTTCTTTAATTTATTTTAATTAGTCCCGTGAGCCGGGGGGGCTACCCCAATTAATTTCTTTAATTTCTGGGCCTCTCTGTGAGAAATTAAAGAAATTAAAGAAATTAATTCCGGTAGCCCTTCGGGCTTGCGAGACTAATTAAAAGAAATTAATGAAATTAAAGAAATTACAAAATTAAATGAAATTAATTAATTTCTTTAATTTATTTAATTTCTGGGCCTCTCTGTGAGAAAATAAAGAAATTAAAGAAATTAATTAATTTCATTAATTTCTTTAATTTCTGGGCCTCCCTATGAGAAATTAAAGAAATTAAAGAAATTAATTAATTTCATTAATTTCTTTAATTTCTGGGCCTCTCTGTGCGAAATTAAAGAAATTAAAGAAATTAATTAATTTCTTTAATTTCATTAATTTCATTAATTTCTTTAATTTATTTTAATTAGTCCCGTGAGCCGGGGGGCTACCCCAATTAATTTCTTTAATTTCTTTAATTTCTGGGCCTCTCTGTGAGAAATTAAAGAAATTAAAGAAATTAATTCAGGTAGCCCTTCGGCTGCGAGACTAATTAAAAGAAGATTAAAGAATTAAAGAATTTAAAGAAATGAAATGAAATTATTAATTTCTTTAATTTCTTTATTTCTGGGCCTCCAATGAAATTAAAGAAATTAAAGAAATTAATTAATTTCATTAATTTCTTTAATTTCTGGGCCTCTCTGTGCGAAATTAAAGAAATTAAAGAAATTAATTAATTTCTTTACTTTCATTAATTTCATTAATTTCTTTAATTTATTTTAATTAGTCCCGTGAGCCGGGGGGGCTACCCCAATTAATTTCTTTAATTTCTTTAATTTCTGTGCCTCTCTGTGAGAAATTAAAGAAAGTAAAGAAATTAATTCCGGTAGCCCTTCGGGCTTGCGAGACTAATTAAAAGAAATTAAAGAAATTAAAGAAATTAATGAAATTAATTAATTTCTTTAATTTCTTTAATTTCTGGGCCTCTCTGTGAGAAATTAAAGAAATTAAAGAAATTAATTAATTTCATTAATTTCTTTAATTTCTGGGCCTCTCTGTGAGAAATTAAAGAAATTAAAGAAATTAATTAATTTCATTAATTTCTTTTATTTCTGGGCCTCTCTGTGCGAAATTAAAGAAATTAAAGAAATTAATTAATTTCTTTAATTTCATTAATTTCATTAATTTCTTTAATTTATTTTAAGTAGTCCCGTGAGCCGGGGGGGGGCCCCAATTAATTTCATTAATTTCTTTAATTTCTGGGCCTCTCTGTGCGAAATTAAAGAAATTAATGAAATTAATTAATTTCTTTAGTTTCATTAATTTCTTTAATTTATTTTAATTAGTCCCGTGAGCCGGGGGGGCTCCCCCAATTAATTTCTTTAATTTCTGTAATTTCTTTAATTTCTGGGCCTCTCTGTGAGAAATTAAAGAAATTAAAGAAATTAATTCCGGTAGCCCTTCGGGCTTGCGAGACTAATTAAAAGAAACTAATGAAATTAAAGAAATTACAGAAATTAATGAAATTAATTAATTTCTTTAATTTCTTTAATTTCTGGGCCTCTCTGTGAGAAAATAAAGAAATTAAAGAAATTAATTAATTTCATTAATTTCTTTAATTTCTGGGCCTCCCTGTGAGAAATTAAAGAAATTAAAGAAATTAATTAATTTCATTAATTTCTTTAATTTCTGGGCCTCTCTGTGCGAAATTAAAGAAATTAATTAATTTCTTTAATTTCATTAATTTCATTAATTTCTTTAATTTATTTTAATTAGTCCCGTGAGCCGGGGGGGCTACCCCAATTAATTTCTTTAATTTCTTAATTTCTGGGCCTCTCTGTGAGAAATTAAAGAAATTAAAGAAATTAATTCAGGTAGCCCTTCGGGCTTGCGAGACTAATTAAAAGAAATTAAAGAAATTAAAGAAATTAATGAAATTAATTAATTTCTTTAATTTCTTTAATTTCTGGGCCTCCCTATGAGAAATTAAAGAAATTAAAGAAATTAATTAATTTCATTAATTTCTTTAATTTCTGGGCCTCTCTGTGCGAAATTAAAGAAATTAAAGAAATTAATTAATTTCTTTAATTTCATTAATTTCATTAATTTCTTTAATTTATTTTAATTAGTCCCGTGAGCCGGGGGGGCTACCCCAATTAATTTCTTTAATTTCTTTAATTTCTGTGCCTCTCTGTGAGAAATTAAAGAAATTAAAGAAATTAATTCCGGTAGCCCTTCGGGCTTGCGAGACTAATTAAAAGAAATTAAAGAAATTAAAGAAATTAAAGAAATTAATGAAATTAATTAATTTCTTTAATTTCTTTAATTTCTGGGCCTCTCTGTGAGAAATTAAAGAAATTAAAGAAATTAATTAATTTCATTAATTTCTTTAATTTCTGGGCCTCTCTGTGAGAAATTAAAGAAATTAAAGAAATTAAATAATTTCATTAATTTCTTTAATTTCTGGGCCTCTCTGTGCGAAATTAAAGAAATTAAAGAAATTAATTAATTTCTTTAATTTCATTAATTTCATTAATTTCTTTAATTTATTTTAATTAGTCCCGTGAGCCGGGGGGGGGGGCCCCAATTAATTTCTTTAATTTCTTTAATTTCTGGGCCTCTCTGTGAGAAATTAAAGAAATTAAAGAAATTAATTCCGGTAGCCCTTCGGGCTTGCGAGACTAATTAAAAGAAATTAATGAAATTAAAGAAATTAAAGAAATTAATGAAATTAATTAATTTCTTGAATTTCTTGAATTTCTGGGCCTCTCTGTGAGAAATTAAAGAAATTAAAGAAATTAATCAATTTCATTAATTTCTTTAATTTCTGGGCCTCTCTGTGCGAAATTAAAGAAATTAAAGAAATTAGTTAATTTCTTTAATTTCATTAATTTCATTAATTTCTTTAATAAAATTTCCCTGATGTTTCCCTGTTGCGCTTTTTTTTGGCCCCGATTGTTTCAGGGAAGTTTTCCCTTGAAACCCCTGTGTAGTGCTAGAATTTCCCCTCGAATCCCTTTAAGGCTTCGTGTATCTGTACCGCGTTCCCTTTTCTATTCCCTTACTTTCGTGCTGAAACCATCGCCCTTTCTTTCCCTTAATTTCCCCAGTCATCCCTTAAAGAAAGGGACGCCTTCAAGATGTAGGAAGGATTTTTCATATAGTTGTGTGTACAATGGCTTGGTACTAGCGCTCTAATTTTCAAGAAGCTGTTTTGCAAGTAATGTGTGTCACGAGTTTGCTACGTTCATAGGCAGACGATGTAAATACACCCTCTCTAAACAAACCATTTCCCCTAAACCCTGAACCCTAAACTCTAAACCCTAAACCCTAAACGCTCAAAGACTCCTACGGCCTCCAGGCCCTCTAAGAATCCCAAGTTCTCTAAGACTCCCAAGCCCCCTACACTTCCTAAGGCCCCGAAGCTCCCCAGGCCCCCTGAGCCCGCCAAGCCTCCTTAAGTCCCGTAAGCTCCCTAAGCTGTCGAAGCCCCCTTACTCCCTAAACAATTTCGCAGAGCAAGCAGAC